ATATGCATTCATACAGAGTATTTGCTGTGAAACAGACTTCAGAATCAATATGTTTTATGTACATGCTGTATTCTTCCATTTAATAATATGCTTCATTCATTGACGACATGGGATAATCTCCCCCCCCCCCCCCCACACACACACACACACCACACATACACACACACGCACACAGTGACAGAGAAGCGCTCTTACCGGCCTTGTGCCCTGGAGCTGTTTTGTATCAAATATAACATCACATCATCTGCGAATCGTTACAGCCACAGCGGTTATATTAACAGATTGTTTAATTACATATTGCTGCACTTACCATGTCGTTTTGCACAACGTCCTCTCCAGAGTGAAAACATACGGCATGGCAGGAAATCAAGCTGAAAATTGTTTCTTCGTGAAAAGTCTTCATAATGTACACGACATACCAAGGTTTTAAACGCAGGGTTCAAAGTAGCGCGTGAATAATATAAACATGAGAAATAGGGGTCTAAGCCCATTGTAATTTCGATTTTAAATGAATTCTAAACAGCTTGCTGACATTAATTTAACATGCACCGGTGCATTTGATAAAGTAAGCGTCGTCTGCTTCGATCCATAGAGTCTGGATCACGCGCAGGAAAAACTCCTGCAACGGAAGTGTTTCCCGATTGGCTAAACTCGAAACCGTGACATCACGTGACTACTCTGGTGAACACCTGCATGAAATATACAACACTTCTATCCTGATTTGACATTTGTTTATATAAATAATCTCAACCGACAAAGCTATTGGTGGTGGGGTTTGTCTAGCGAGGTTAAAGCGTTGACTCGTCACACCAATTCGCAACATGGGTACACCATGTAGAGTCGTTTTTACGTCCCTCTCCGTAATATGGCTAAGATTTTGTTCCAAATTTCGCAAATGATTTAGTAATAATAAATGGTACTTTTTAGCGGTATTCATCATAATAGAATGGAGATGTAATACAGTGGATGGTCGACCATGAGTTGCCAAGCGCCCTAACATTTTGATGCATTTTAATCATAATGATGATTATGAAAAAAAATTATCAAAGAATTATGAACAATATGTATAACGTACCACACGAGCAGAAACGTCTTACCTGAGGGTCGAAGGAGAGTATACCGAGGTGGATTTTTTTATGTAATGGAAAATTATTGAAAGAACTGTTGTTAAATTTGATTATGTCTATTAAACCATCTCTCATTCTGTGAAAAAGTAATCTGTGACTGAATGGTTTTGAGTAAAATATATTGGTTCGATGAAGGCTACGGTAGGAAATGAACTTGAAACCACATGACCCCTAACCACATGACCCCATTGAACCCCGATGTGTTGTCCGTCTTACAAAACATATTTTTTCTAGAAACAGAATGAACTTGCAGCTATATTTGAAAATGAGGATTACCCCCCCCCCCCCCTTGAATCCTCCTGTGTTGTAAGAATATACTGATCTGCAGACAGCGTATATGGCGATGTACTCCATGCATACGCATGTTATGTTATTACCCCGGGGGGGGCGGTCGGGTAGCCTAGTGGTTAAAGCGTTCGCTCGTCACACCGAAGACCCGGATTCGATTCCCGACATGGGTACAATGTGTGAAGCCCATTTCTGGTGTCCCCCGCCGTGATATTGCTGGAATATTGCTAAAAGCGGCGTAAAATCATACTCACTCACTCATTATTACCTCGGTCAATGGATCAGTGTGCAATAAACAATTATTCTCAGCTCCCGTCGGCGTTAGAAGGTTAACAACCACGTTGCCATCTCTTCCTGCCGGGCACATTCACTGCTGGGTGAACAGAGGCACAATTCCAACAAAGGAGACACCACATGTGCTGCATGTGCTTCAGGACCGAAGCCTTAGAAACTCTCAGGAACGCGGTCACCCATCCAATGATTCTCCGCAACCGACGTTGCTTAAAGGGCAAGTTCCCACGAAAATAAACCTATTTTCTTTACTCAGAAAGAGTTATCCCAAATATAACATTTGTTACATTTGACCACTTTCTAAATGGCATTGTGAATTCATAGCTTTCGGCCATGGCAGCCGTGCCAATCTGCACTTGTCAGAGGGGTACACAAAGTACGTGATTTAGACTTATCTACCAGTTGTCGGACTTTCATTATGCGGAAGCCTCGGTGGCTGAGTGGGTGAGATCGCTGACTTTGTGTGTTGGCGATTGGTGCCGCACTCTGGCAGTATGGGTTCGAATCTCGGACTGGACTCAACCCCAAAACGAAAGAGAATCTGTTCTTTACTAATAAAGTGTTATCCCAAATATAATGTAGTCTTCATAAAACATCTAATCCACACACAAAAATCATTTTCAGAAAATTCTAGATGAGCGTCTTCTAAAATGACAAAATGGACGCTGCGTTTGTTTTTGTTAACATTGATGCATGTAACATTACACTTACATAGCCATAACCATGGTACACGATATGGAGTCTGTACTAGGAAATGTATACAAGTTCTTTACACTTTAGAGAGATAGAGGGAAAACATTTATTAACTTAGATAGGGTGAATTACCGAACTGCCCAAGCTATATGGTTTTCAATTCATACCATCAAGTCTTCGGTATGATAAATAAAACAAAACCGGTATAGGGGTGGTCTCAAAAACAAAACTGGGAAGTAAAAGGATATTAGACAGCTTTGATACAGGGTGATTAGGCGTATAGTGTACAAACTTTATGAACAAAAGGTAACCCTGACTTGTAGTAGAATTTGGGAGGAATTAAAGATACAATTGATGTTAACTGCACTAACTATTGCCCTCCAAGAGATCTGATTTCGATGCACTGCGCGTGGCGATGACCGAGCACTTTTCAGGTGAAAATATTCCATCCTGTCTATGAGGTCACATTATCTCCTAACCATTCATAACTATCACAGTCAGGGTGTCCAGATAGTTTACCTTGGTGAATCATTCCACTGACAACATATGGCTATCGGCAGATGGACAAAAAGCACCCACAGACCATCAGGTAAAGGTAATCGTGTCATTGTTTTGCACGCTGCATACCCATGAAATGGGGCTTATTGATGGACGTGTGCTAGTTTTCGAGGCGAAAAAGAAAACTGGTGATTTTCATAAGGAAATTATAGGAGTTGATGTGTTCATAGACTGGTTAGAACATCAGCTATTGCCCATTTTAAACAACGTCAGTGTCAGTGTCATGGATAACGCCAGTTAATATAACGTCCGGGAATCAGATACTGTTGCCCTGTTGAATAACTCTAATTCTTCAACTATTTCTGCAAATCAAAAAAGTGAACCTCTTGTTTATGTTTATACCTTACAAAACATTACAAAAATATCATACCGTTTAAATAAATATTTTTGTCATTCAATCTGGAGGGAAGCTTATAGACAAGCAACACATATTGATGATATGTGCATAATTTTTACACCAGATTAATAATCTAATAACAGCCAAATCAGTTTATAGTTTTCTATCATGTTGACCTGATGTGTTTATTACTATTGGTTTTAATACTTCTTGAAATATTGTGGACATGTTTCAATATCACTGATGTAATTTAATAACCTTACAAGTTACATATGTTTTCATAACTGTCTCGCAAATAAACATTAATGGTACAGGAGATTTATTTGTTTGTTTTGCATGATAGATCTTCAATGCATAAAAAAATTAATTGAAAATAGGGTGGTGGTGTAGCCTTGTGGTTAAAGCATTTGATCGTCATGCTGAAGACCCAAGTTCGATTCGGGTTCGATTCCCTACATGGCCACAACGTGTGGAGCCCGCTGTTATATTGCTGGTAAATTGCTAAAAGCGCGTAAAGCTATACTCACTCACTCATATTAAAGAATGATTGCAGATTTAATAAATCTGAACTTATTGAAGATGTAAAACCATCTTAATCTGAAACTGTTCCAGATGATTGCTGAAAGGAACAACACTAAATAATTATTATTATGATTTACCCATTCCTTGATTGTGGGGTTCTAAGGTCATTCCTTTGGTACATATACATCTGTTTCCACCTTCCTTTAGAGTCACAGCATTACATTCATAAAGCAAAGAATTAATTTTAATCAAATATTTCAGGGCATATTTTCATATTAAATTTGAGCTCTGGTTCATCTCTTACTGGCCCATTGGTGTAAACAACTCATTGCATTATGCCTACGTACTATATTTTGTTATGAAATTGGATTTTTACCACATGATATAAGGTATGTTAACATTCAGAACACACTGAACACAAATTATGGGGTTGATCTGCATGCGATTATTTCCAGTCAGTTAGGACAAACTTGTAGTGGTTGTTACAGATGATTTGCCCAAAATGTCAGTTTTAATTATAGTTTCCTAAATTCCACATTTGAACGGAAATTATAAATCTAAACTTTGAAATATATATCTTAATGTAATATGAAATGTCATTTGTTAAATAACGTTTCGTGTTTAACATGGATTTGTACTGAACATAGTAATGAAAGTTCTAAGATAATTGAACAGATAACTACAATAATAGTGACAAAATAATTCAACTGCTGCATGTGTTTTCTTGTTTAATTTTTGCCTCGCATTGTTTTGGCGCGGTTCCAATCTAGGCTGTTTGGTGCCTACGTAAAATCTCCCAAGCAGGCAGTGGGCCTCCTTTAACAAGCGTCCATGGTTAGATATCTCTCTTAGGCATTTACTTTGCTTCCAACATGAGTAGGTAGGTCAGAACTAACGGTACATCGGTCCTAAGTTCAGTCTTTCTTCAACACTGTATTACTCTCATCTGATTTTTTAGAATATGTTAAGCTTTCAGTTATATGTTTGCACTAAATGGATGAACGAGTTGGTATCTCTACGTTACGACAACTAGATTCATCCATTATGGAGTTAATTACAAGTATAGTCAATAATAACATTAATGGTTTGCGTTAAGACACTAACATGGCAATGTTGGCATTTGACAACATTATCAGTGACATTTGTATATGTTTGCAACAACCTGAAATGAAAGTGTCCATAGATTCAAGATGGCGGCAGATGGAGTCGATTGTCTCAAGTTGCAATTAGTACATGGTGTGTATTAGCAAACAGTGACCTTGTTCGATTCATATTCTATCCACATATGTCACAGGACATTCGTTTTAGGTTCTGCCAAAAGCAGATATATTTGTACGATAATTTAATTCATCCATACGGTTTCTGCGGCTTGAGCGATACCTGAAGGACTGCACGATTATCATGACCGAAAGAATGACATTGTTGACACTCTCGTCACGCAGCACTGTACAGCACTGGTACAGGGTGATGATAAACTACTGAAATATTTATGGAATTTAACATGATGACAAACGCCTCAACACTGAATCTTTGATAGATGAGATAGAAGTAGTGACTGTTGAGAACTTAAAATTTGAGTCGCATTCATCGTATCGCGGCATTTTTGATTTTCCATAGTTCACGCAGGACACGCATCCCAGCGGCCGTTTACTAATGCAAATCAGTAACAAGCAAGTGCTCGCGTCATAAACAATTTCAACTTCAGGCATATGTTTAATATTGTCTCACCCCATTGATCAATGACTATGATATAGGCCATTTCCCAAGTAAATTTTCTCTATCGACCTGAATCGTCTGCATATTCATGGTAACAAATAAGGTGATGGAAGTGAAGTAGTCGGCACATTTTTCCCTCTTTGCGGCCGGCTGTTTTTAGGAGATAATAAGGGCCATAATGCCATTCTTAGCAATCTGTTCTTCAACAGTAGCCAAATGATAAAAAAACATACTGTTAGGGACAAGTAGAACACACAGAATGAACTAGATCAAGTTTCACGAGAATGTAATTGTGATCGTGTTACGATATTTCATTGGCTAATATTTTGCTAGTGTCCCAGACTGGCAATCTAATTTGGATACAGTTACACCAGTCAACCAATTCTCACAATTGTAATATTAATATAAAAATGGTGCTATGCTATTAAAAGGTACTCTGATGACTATTAGAATGCCAGGCTTTGTTGGGTGTACCCATGTTTTATCAATATTCGCACTTGTCGAGTTTCAGACCCGTGAAGATAGGGGTCAGATGCTTGCTGAAAAAGGCGGCTATGCTTTTCATAGGCGACTAGTGGAATTGGGTGGTCAGGCTCGCTAACTTGGTTGATGCATGTCATCATATCCCAAATCCGTGGATCGATTCTAATGACATCAACCACATCAACCAATTCTCCGTCAGACTTGATTATTTAGAGACTGCCGTCATGCAGCAGGAATATTGCTGAGTGTGGCGTTAAACAACAAAGAAGCTTGTTGAGTTTCAAGGATAACGGATATCTCTGCCCGAGAGTGTGGCTGCAACTGACCCACCTTATTGTCAAACTAGCTGTGCATGTTGGTCAACTAATGAAGCAGCCATGGTGACAGACCCATTGTAAAATATGCTATATGTTTTGAAGGATGTAACAATTGATCAACCATTGATTCATTGCTATTGTCAGTGGCTAACATCCTTAAAATGGTTGAGGCGCTCAATCAATTTAGACTGTCAGTAAGTACTAAGTACTGTCTTCACATGCAAACCACAATAGGCACATAATAATTTACCTCTATTTTCCTCCAAGAACCATACTAATGTTACTCAACATGAATAAGGGCAAACAAATTTGTGGCAGGTTTGACGTTAGTATTCAGGGGTAGAAACTAACATTTTTAGCTCACTAGTCCTTATAATGATAACATATAGCAAAACCCTTAAAAATGGCAAATTTCTACTAGTCCTTAGGATACCTTAACTATTGGCCAGTTTGGCAAGGACTACAGGACTAGTGCCAATTTCTAACGCTGGTATTACTGGCTAGTTTCCTTGTTATTAGAGTTTGTGAGTGTTTCCATCTTATATCATGCTTCACTATGTGATTGTTACCAGGTCCAGATAGACATGATCTCTATGTCCCAATCTCAGGTAAACCATACAGTGTTGTGTCACATATTCTCTGTCTTGTAGATCATGTAGATTAATGACTTCCTCTTGCGTCTTGACTTTTCACCTTTTAGGGTAGTGTAAAACACCTTTTCTGGGTGCCGATGAACAAAACAATCTTAGCGCTATAACGGTTTTAAGTATATGTTAAGGTATGGGACAACCCGTAAAGATTAGGTCTTCAGCAACCCATGCTTGCTGTAAAAGGTGACTATGCTTGTTGTAAGAGGCACTAACAGGATCAGGTGGTCAGACCGCTGACTTGGTTGATGGATGTCATCGTATCCCAATTGCTAGGATCGATGCTCGTGATGTCAATCACTGTATTGTCTGGTCCAGACTCAATTATTTACAGACTGCCGTCATATAGCTGGAATATTGCTGAGTGCTTTATACAACAAACAAATATTGTAAGAGAGTTAAAATCACCATAGCGCTAAGATCGCTTTGTACCCTGATCAGCACAACTCTCACTGTCACTAGATCTAAGGTCCCTCCATGTGTGCGGTATGATCCTGGTATTACTAGTATATCGGTATATAGAGAATCTCACCCAAGTGTCTTTTAATATCAAATATATCAACACGAGTTGATAAAAGTGGAAAAATTCCGAGGCTTGCCAAGGATATTTGCCACTTTTATCAACGAGTGTTGATATATTTGATATCAAAAGCCACGACGGTGAGATTATATTTATCATCCAACATCATTCTTCCAACCTTTTCGTAAAAAACGATGTAAAACGAATTACTAACAGCTTCAGTAGCAGAGCCATTAGTGATGTCATTTGATTGTGACGTCATGGTAACCAGTGATGTCACAATGGTCTGCAAATCATTGTGATGTAATTTCATTGCAGCGATATCTACAGTGTAGATATCGCTTGATCTCATCAAAGCGATAACTCCTGTCGGAGCCAGTTTTGGATGATAAATTGAGATTCCTTCCTTCCACGATATGTATCACATCATTTTTTCATGCTCGGTGTAACAGGTGATTTCAAATAGCTATTTTATCAACATGATCAAGTGTTTAATGTTATACACTTGCCAAGTACCTTCGCTGCACCGGAGTGTGCATCCGGGGCACCAAGATGGCTACAAATTTATCAAATTAGTAAACATTATGCTGTACCAGCATCTTGTTTTGTTCTATTCATGTTTCAGATTGTTTCTGAATTAAATTTATACAATTATACACTATATCGTGATACATATCACAATATGGCCTTGTGCTTTGTAAACTATTGTGATACACTTTTAACCTCCAATACCCATCCCTAATATGTACTAATATTTGTAGGGCTGGTTGAGAAGATTGATAATCCGAATTATCGTTCACAGGAAGAAATATAAACGATTATTGATATAGAAATTGTGTCATCGATAATAACTTACATAAACTATTGTGATGAAATGAAGTTCAATTTACCATGATTTACCCAAACAGACTTGTTATTGTCAATCATGTCAATTGCCGAAGATGGAAAGCCACTGTTTTGTTATATCTCAAATGTCCACAAAGTAATCTTTGTGAAAATGTGTCACTGCCCGCCAGTGGCGTGAAATATGTTGATTTCTTTCAGGACTATTTGCATACTTGCTAAAAAATTACTTCTCCGATTTTTTTCGATAATTGATCAATATTTAGTTGGTGATTATCAATCTTTGTGATCAATATTGATCATATTGATAGCCAGCCGTAAATATTTGTGACATACTATTATTACTAATCAGTTTATGAAACTATTTTATGTAAACATGATCGCGATGTGTATCTCGTGAATGCTTATTTTTAGAATTGAATCCTGTTTACCATGTTCATGTATCATGTTTAAAGTATACATATTAATCATGTTATTTGATGTAATATATATGCAGATATGGAAATATAATAAATTAATATTAAAATACCATTTCTCATGTTCAGGGACTTGGCAGATTTTCTGAAGATTTCTGTAATAAATATAATGGGACACAGAACAAACAACCTTTACCAATGTTTACTATGTTTACTCTTTCTGTTTCACTTGTAGCGATTTATAGTTAAACAAAGCACCCATTTCGTCAAATGCAATCAAACATTTTTAGATTCAATCCAAATTTATTTTCCTTACTGCTGTTGAAATGCTCTGTGTCATGTTGTTTTTATTCTTTATATTGATATGCTATTGGTTCTGCATGTTCAGAGTGTAGCCTTATAATTCCCAGCATTACCCAGTTATTTCACAGGTAAAATCAGATGCTATTTCTTGCATCACATCAACAGTGATAAACAATGAAAAAGGAAGTTATGATAACGTCAGTTTGACAGTCTAACATGGACATGATGGAAGAAAACATGACAAAAATTTGGTTTATCTTAAGGACACATGTATGCATAGCATGATTACATAACATATTTATCAATATGCAACACAGCCTTAGAATTTTTGAATTTTTTTTAATCCACATGATCATACCACTGTTGTACATGTTGTATTAACCATGTGTTTACCATGTTTACCCTGTTTACCATGTTTACCCTCAATCTCAGCACAGCTCAAGGTCAGATGGGAACGGTGATCTTGCCTTGTGGCTAAAGCATGCACGTCTCCCCAGGCCCAAGTTTGGGTACAGGGAGTGAAAACAATTTCCTGTTGTCCACCAAATTACACAAAGTCATTTTTCGAAAACTTGAATCCAAATCTGAAACAAAATAACTGTAAAACATATCTTTATGAACAATTATCAGTACATAGGACATAAAATTACACAAATAAATATGCATACTCCCTTAAACATGTTAAATTTTCATCGTTTATGTACTCATAATACCAAAAGAACATTAAAAAGTGAGAATTATTTATTTCAAATTTTGTTATATATTGCAGGATTCATATTTTGTGCATTTGAAACAAGTGTTAAATGTTTGGGCATCTTTTAGGTGCAAAATAGCTTGAGCTTGAAAATCATGAAAATTTGTATGTTCCGAGATTTTTCTGCAATAATCGATGAGTTACATTTTCTTGCAAATCTCAAATTGTGAGTCGGTCTTGATAAGTCCATCCCCCTGTACAATATCTGGCCTGACACAAGCCCCTGGACCATGCCTCTGTTTCCAGGTCCAAGGAAGCATGAACTGGGGATGTGTCTACCAGAGGAGGAGGCAGGCGACGTGCTCACAGTCGGACATCTCACCAAGGCAGTCACTGAACTCACCGAAATCCCACAGACATGTCAGAGGCTCATCTTTAAAGGTGAGTTAGTATTGTTTGATGCCTCTTTTACCAATTTTCCAGCAAGATCATTGCAGAGAACACCAGAAATGGGCTTCACACATTGTAACCTTGTGGGAAAGTGAACCCAGGTCTTGGTGTAACGATAGAACGCTTTAACCACTTGGCTACCCCACCGTCCCCCCTTAAAGACAAGACATAGCAATAGTCACTGCCATTGGTAATAATTGTTGGACCTCGGACATGTTCATCTATCTACGGAAGCCTTTTAGCATGTTTAGGTTCATTTGTTTTTTTAATGTTTTCCTCGAAATTTCAAGATAAGTCTGAATTTCAAGATACTGACTTGAAATTTCAAGATTCATAAGTTGACATTTCAAGATTCATAAGTTGACATTTCAAGATACTAACTTGAAATGTTTAAGATGTTATGTTTAAATTTTAAGATGCTAAGTCGAAATTTCAAGTTATGATCTTAAAATTTCAACTTATTATCTTGACATTTCAACTTAGTATCTTGAAATTTCAAGAAAAAAAGAAAAAAGCAAATCGCCGCAAAAGGCTTCTGTATCTATCACTTGACATCCTCTGTGGTTTAGTGGATACCGAGAGTGGGAGGTCAGCGGTTCGATCCCTGGACTGGTCATACTAAAAGACCTTATAATGGTACTTGTTGTCACCCTGTCTGGTGGTCGGCATTAAGGGGATAAAAACAAGGACTGGTTGTCAGTACACTGACACTGTCAGTCAGTATACTGTGTCTGAGTTTGGTATTCATATTAAACTGTGGAATGGTGGACCTTCACTATGAGATCGTGTGGTTAGTCCAGACTAGTACAAGCAGCCACACACATACACACACGTGCATGCACATCGCTATATAAGTCCAATAATCTTGAACATTATGTTAAACTCCACTTCACCTCAGCTAATGTTGAATATGTAATATCTGCCCATGACATATATATGACAGTAAGATCAGCCGAAAGCCAGTCCAGTAAATCTGACATGTACACAGCCATGGTTGGGTAGAGACCAGTGTGGTTCAAACATCATGAAATTTAACAAATGACTTAAATATGCACAAATAAAATTTTAGTTTCATGAGTCATGCGACTCTTGATTGTCATATTCTTAAAAGCTCACTTGTTTTTAATAATGCTCAGAACACTATTTTCCTGATATGTCATTGATAAGCATCCATGATTGAAAATGTATTTATGTTTCTACATTTTTTACACTAATCATGCTAATAACATGTATTACCAACAGGTCGTTCGCTGACGAAGCTAGATGAAAGTTTGTCATCACTTGGGGTGAAACAAGGCTCGAAAATTATGCTGCTGGGTAAAAAGGTGAGTGAATATATGAGTCATGGAATATCTACCATGTATACAAAGGACATTACGTTTGTGAGTCTGGATGTTTTCACTGGAAGCGTTGGGACTAACTATGCTGGATGTCATGGATCTCTCCAGTTGTAGTCTATAGGACTCTTGTAGTACATTGAGGGGTCCAGGTCATAAAGATGGGGGTTGGAGACTGGCAAAATGGGGCACACTTCCTTTGATTTTAATGAATTTTTCTTATATCATATCACTGTGCATGCATGGTCAGGCTTGGTGACTTGGTTGATTGTGTGTCATTGAACCCTGATGGCATGAATCCTTGCTCATAATATCAACCGACCCGTGGAGATCCGGGGTAGAATAGGTCTTCAGCAACCCATGCTTGTCGTAAAAGGCAACTAACGGGATCGGGTGGTCAGGCTCGCTGACTTGGTTGATGCATGTCATCAATCCCAATTGTGTGGATCGATGCTCATGATATCAATCACTGGATTGTCTGGTCCAGACTCGATTTTTTTCAGACTGCCGTCATATAGCTGGAACATTGCTGAGTGTGACGTTAAACAACAAACGAACAAACATGATGTCAACCACTGGATTGTCTGGGTCTAAGCAAATATTGAATGAACAGTTCCATTTATCAGACATGTGACATGTATGCGAGACAGCACATGAAATTGGTGCAGTCCACATTACTGGGTGAAGCGCTTGACACTAGTTAATTCAGTCAACGTGATCGGCCTATTCAACTGCGTCCCCAGCGAGTGTGATAAACATTCATAAAAATTAAAATTAAAGTGATATTTATTGTAAATAATCCTGCAGTTTCCTGATCAGGGATTGGGCCGTTGCGTCATCCTGATATGCACAAAAAAGATTACTAAAGAAAGCACCTTGTAATCTGCAAGCAGTAAAGTTTAGATATATAATTCTATTCAACAAATGTACATACTTACTCTTTTGTCTGACAAAATGTCACCCATGCTCTAACTCTTGCAAAATCCTTAAAAATGGCAAATTTCTACTAGTCCTTAGGATAGCTTAACTATTGGGCAGTTTGGCAAGAACTATAGGACTAGTGCCAATTTCTAATGCTGCATCCGTTTTTTTCCATTTCCATGGTAACAGCCTGAGTCTGTGGATATGGTGGATGAACAGAAGCTGAAGACAGCTGAGAAGGAACTGGGAAGACTGTCCAAGACCATGAGTGATATCAGTCAAGAGCTGGATGGTATAAACAAGGTAAGTGATATCACACAGCAGCTGGATGGTATAAACAAGGTAATAGATATCACACAGCAGCTGGATGGTATAAACAAGGTAAGTGATATCACACAGCAGTTGGATGGTATAAACAAGGTAAGTGATATCACACAGCAGCTGGATGGTATAAACAAAGGTAAGTGATATCACACAGCAGCTGGATGGTATAAACAAGGTAAGTGATATCACACAGCAGCTGGATGGTATAAACAAGGTAAGTGATATCACACAGCAGCTGGATGGTATAAACAAGGTAAGTGATATCACACAGCAGCTGGATGGTATAAACAAGGTAAGTGATATCACACAGCAGCTGGATGGTATAAACAAGGTAAGTGATATCACACAGCAGCTGGATTGTATAAACAAGGTAAGTGATATCACACAGCAGCTGATGGTATAAACAGTATAAGTGATATCTCACACGAGCTGATGGTGTAAACAGTATAAGTGATATCACACACCAACTGATGCCATAAACAGTATGAGTGATATCACACACCAGCTGATGCCATAAACAGTATGAGTGATATCACACACCAGCTGATGGTATAAAGTGTTAGTGATATCACACACCAGCTGATGGTATACAGTGTTAGTGATATCACACACCAGCTGATGGTATAAAGTGTTGGTGATATCACACAACAGCTGATGGTATATAGTGTTAGTGATATCACACAACAGCTGATGCCTTAAACAGTATAAGTGATACCACACACCAGCTGATGGTATAAGGTGTTAGTGATATCACACACCAGCTGATGGTATAAAGTGTTAGTGATATCACACACCAGCTGATGGTATACAGTGTTAGTGATATCACACCAGCTGATGGTATAAAGTGTTAGTGATATCACACAACAGCTGATGGTATAAAGTGTTAGTGATATCACACACCAGCTGATGCCATAAACAGTATAAGTGATATCACACAGCAGCTGATGGTAATGAAAGTCAAGGCTGCATTTATTGTGTTTTATTTCATCCAAGATGGCGGACATTTCCGAGAGGAAACTTTCTGTGTCACAGTGGATTTATTTCTTTGCATCCATATAAATTTGATCCAGATTGGACGATAACATTGCTCCTAGAGACTGAGAATTTTTAAGTGGTAAACAGACATGCCAAGTCTAAATGTCCGGGTTAGGAAATATTTATCATTTCTCTTGTCTGCAACAGCCATCTATGAAATGGTACAAACGGTAGTCCACAAAGAAATGTAACTAGTCTTTCCTGAATATGCTAGTCTCAGACTACTGTATATCGCTGTGTGTAAGTTTTTCATACCTAGAATTAGGGGGGTTTCAAGGGGGATCGCCCTATACACAGGGTAGCAGAGTTTTGGTGTGTTGTTTCCCCGAACACAAAGACATTAGTGTGAGCACGTAACACCTGAAATACCATGTTAACACTCCGTACTGAGTATGCAATTCAAGATTTCATTCAATATAGTTTACATTCAATTCAGCGAAATTCTGTGTGAAGTGATCAGTAGATCGCACAATTAGTTATTTAACAGTCATTAACAGTTAGGTTACCGCTACTGACACCTTGAAATGAACTTTAGTGGACAGAAAATGTCACAAACGCCATACTTTGACTCGGGGTATATAAATTAGCATCGTTATTGAAGGATTTACAGGGGGGTCGACTTATAGACGGAGTCGCTTTATAGATGGTGGTGTATGGTATGTTAGTTTTGAAGCCTGCATCCCCATGTGTTGCAGGGATTCCTGGAGAAGAAGCTGCAGCAGCCGGCACTGCAGAAGCTGAGGAAGCAGATCCTAGTAGCATCCGAAGCCTTCATGAAGCTGCTCGAGTCATTGGACTCTCTCCGCTTTGCAGAAGACAACAAGGGGTCGAAGATAAAACGGAAGAACATGGCGGACAGAATACAGGTGATGCCACTGAGAATGGTTGTTTTCCAAATGATAAGGTGTTTTTGTTTATTGACTTGGATTACAGAGTTACAAATGTCACAAATGTGGAAGGAAATTGAATTTGAAATTTATTTTTAAAAGAGGCCTTTTTCTCACCATGTATACTACCAATCCTACTGTTTTAATTAAAATCTGTGAAATAAATCAGTAAATAGCGGTCAAAGGTCATTCCTACCTGGGGCCTCGTTTCAAAAAGCGTTTGTTGCACTGCAACTTTTGTAATTCCCATGTTTTAACCTTGACCATGATCGCTTTGTGACATGAGGGCTTGATATCTTTGGTATAGTGTTGTCAAATATTGACTCCTCACCAGGGATTGGTATGAGAGGTTTAAAGTGCATCGCAATATTTTGCAATGATATACCGGTAATACCTCTTTCTGTGGAATCTGTCAAAACAGGACTCTGACAGTCTGTGCAAAACATTTTGAGTATTCTGGCATGAACATGTATGCAGGCACGCACACGCGCACGCACACTCACACACGCACACGCACACACACACACACACACACGCACGCACGCACGCACGCACGCACGCACGCACGCACGCACGCACGCACACGCGCACACGCACACGCACACGCGCACACGCACGCACGCACGCACGCACACACACACACACGCACACACACACGCACACGCACACGCACACGCACACGCACACGCACACACACCCACACCTCTATATAATTATTTCAAACAAGACATTGTCCCTATTTCACATCACCTCTTGCAAATTGAATTGAAGGATTTTTTGTAAAGTATTTATGACTGCAAATATTGTAATGCTACTCTACCATGTTTACGTCATATATATATATATTCAAAAACTAATAAATAATGATTTAATGATTTAATAGTAAAATTGTGGTTTTTTTTCCAGAAACTCCTGGAGCGCTGTGACGTTTTGTCCGAAGGTGTAAAAGAGATTCTACAAGGGTCTTCATGAGTTCAAATTATTTAGTTTTTCATATATTAGGTAATTTTGTTGAATTTTGTTATTTCTTTTTCAAACAGTGCAACTATACTTCATATGTCTATACCTGTTAAACATCATGTTCACAATTTTGTAGAATTTTTAGACACCAAAAAGTGCCTTTTTCAAGTCTTTGAATTTAATTTTTTTATTATTCAATTTTTAGGCGGTGGGGGAGGAGATGTTTTTCCTTAATTGATCTTAATTATTCTGTAAAAACAATCAGACATTGTTTGTTATAGGTAAATTAAGACATGATCAGCATGAGACTTTGGATCTCAATATGTTGGAAACATGTTCAATACTGTGAAGTGTTTCAGAATCATTTAAACGTCATTGATTTGCTCCCTTTGCCAAAGATTTTACTCTCCTACATTAAAGATGGTACCATGGTTACTGACAACTTATGTTCACCTTAAAGAAAGCTACTGGATAGTAACAAACAGCTATGGCCTTTGATTGCTTGATGCAATGATAAGCTAGCTGTCTGAGGAATGGTAAGCTAGCTGTCTGAGGAATGGTAAGCTAGCTGTCTGAGGAATGGTAAGATAGCTGTCCGAGGAATGGTAAGCTAGTTGTCTGAGGAATGGTAAACTAGCTGTCTGAGGAATGGTAAGATAGCTGTCTGAGGAATGGTAAGATAGCTGTCTGAGCAATGGTAAACTAGCTGTCTGAGGAATGGTAAGATAGCTGTCTGAGGAATGGTGATGTGGTGTACATCGAGGGCAGATCCAACATTTTTTTAAAGGGAGGGGTCCAAAATATCAAAGTCCTCTCAGTCAATTTTACTACCTACAGCATACTACATTTGGTTATCAATAGGGTGGCGGTGGGTGGGGGGTGTCCGGACACACTGTATCCCCCCTCTTGAGCCAGCAAAGTACATCATCACAATGATCAGTTTATTTCTGCATCAAGGATGTAGGGATGTTTCTTAGCAAATATGATATTGCACTACTCCAGCAAGTTTCAGTTATGGAATGGAAGCTATGGAGGATGAATCTGGAAGATTTTGGTTGAGTTATGATATACATCATCATTGTTCAAACTATACCTCTTGAACTTATCATGGTTACAGACGTACCATTAAAAGTATTGAACTTTTGTTTGAGAGGAATACCTCAAGATGTACAAGTAGAAACTGACATATTTATTTTCATCACAACACATTCTTTTTCAGGAATGAATGGTGGTGAAATCTTAGGCAAAATTTCGTGTTTTCTGGAATTGCTGTATTCACTGTTATGGGTGCCCTGAGCACTTAGAAAATTGGGGTTGCTTATCAAACCTGTACACAAGTAAAATTTGTTGTCAGAGATTAGAATTAGTTCAAACATCCACGAAAGTTAAGCGTTTTCGATAGTTTCCAGGCTGTTACATACCCTTTCTATACTGCTGTGTTTACTATTATGGATATGTAATATGCACAAGAACATATCCATTGTCATGTCAAGTTTTGGGCTTTGTACCAGGCGCTTATAAAGATTGCTTACAGATTGGTCCAGAAGATGGTCAGGTGGTGCTTTATACAGTGATTAAGGTAATTATGTATCAAGTGGTTGGTCCCTTAGGGTAATGATTCAATCAACAGGCACGACATTGAACACGGTGTCTGTTATGATAAACAAACTGAGAAGAGTTTTCTTAAATACAGGACATGGCATTTGAGTCCTCGTCAACAGGTATATTTTCCTGATAGTAATGAATATCTAGACATTATGTTGTTGTGTATTTGATGGTCAGAGATACATAGTTGTTCTACAGTTGTTTGGAGTACTGTCTGAGTTCTTCCTCACAGCATGGTTCAAGTATCTAGTCCACTCAATGCCTTGTACTCTGATGACCTTCGCAATAAAGCTGCTACCATTACATTGGCATTAAACGAGCAAATATGCAGCATAATTATATTGATTGAAATCCACACATTTCTACATCTCAACTAGGCCAGTACACTGTTTTTTCCCTCGCAATTTTTACCACTACGATGGAAGAGAAATTTGTTTTACAACATCCTCAAGTTAATGTCATTTTGTCAGCCATATTTATATATATAAAGATTTTTTTGTAATTATTAAAATATTACAAATTCGTTAAAATTAACTTGTACAGCATCATCAGCGTCATGGTAACCATCTCCAACACAATAGTTGGCTCTTCAATCACTGTTTTGTTTGGTGTTACCTTCACAAACAATGTTTGGAGGGGGATATAGAAACAGGATCCGTCCATTCATCAATAACTGCTTCAATATGTCTAAGTCAAACTGAGTGTGCACATCAATAAAGTGCCTTGTGGTAGTCAGAAATATTTCAGACTTTGCTTTTTGGAGTTTCCTGGCAACAGGTTGAAATAATGGTAGGGTCTGTGTGATAGTGATTCACAAACACATGCTTATGAATTGTACAAAGGACAGCAGAAATTTCTTATGATTATAGAGGGGTTTTACCACTTTTGTTATGCCCCTGGCAAGTCTGTCTGTCCATCTATCTGTATTTCGTTTCTGGAACATAACTTGAAAACAGTGAAGAAAATTGAATCCAAACTTGGTACCTGTAGCCAAGGCTGAAGTGGTGCCTTTTGCTATTGTGGGGGCCAGGGGATGATTGTCATCTTCTGATGACTCGTTACCCTAGTGTCCACTTCACAAGATGTTTATCACTTCTATAAATCTTTGGTGGGAATCAGGTTAGGTTTTGTTTTTCACAGCATTTCTCATAAACCATTCAATATTTCTTCATGAAACTTTGTATGCAGATCATGGATCGTATGGCAGTTCAGGAATCATCATTTTCTGGTATATATCTTACTTATGCTCTGTTTATTAAACAGAACCATCACCAATTCACTTGATTGGAATATATTTAAAACATTTTAAAAAGTTTTAATAGTGTATATATATACTTGCCAAATATGTCTTTCAAACTCAGATCTTCTGGTTGACTATGTCAATGTGTTCGTTGTGTCAACTACCAGCTGGCTGTCATGGAATTGTTTGTAGAAACGTTCTCATGGTGGTTGGAGATTGTTGCGTGCAAATTTCAGGGTTCCTGTTGTATTTTGATTGTGGTGTCTTTCATACTCAGTGATGTCATGATGATGATGATGATGATGATGATTATCATTATTGACCGTTTATATTGGTTACTGAAGGAAGGAACTTAAAAGTTAGTTATTTTATTTTCCATGCAAATTTATTAAATGGCAGGAAGTATTTTATGTCATATTTATTTTTCAACACACTGTTACTTAATGCCGAGCGCCATACAGATGTCCTGGCTAGCCAGCCAACCTGTATGAGGTTTACAGCACTGTGACTGGCCCATCAGTTATAAGTAAGAAATAATAAAGCTCTTCACAGCCACACTAGGTGTGGTTAAGATGAACTGGCAAGTCTTACGACTGCAAGAAGAGAATGTGTTGATAAATGTTGTCCAATGAACTGTCTAGTTGTAAAGGAAAAGTGATGTTTCTAAGTCAAGACTGACTGTAGGGCCAGTGTATGTCTGTAGGGCCAGTGTGATGTCAGTTTTCCTCTGGGAAGTCAAAGTATGACTGCGTGTCTTTATGAAGGACATTATGACATGTTATTGTTTTACTTTTTGTTCTTTATGAAGAACAGCTTTTTTTGTAAGTTTGGTTATTGTGTATTCATAACTTTGCAAATTTAAGTCATTTTTATTTTTCCTCTTTTAAACATTGGGCATTGCATTTACAAGTAATAAACTAACATGTCACATTCATGTACTTTTAAATGTACTAACATTATTTTCTTTGGACATTTAAAAAAAATATGTTTTTCATATCTTATTTAATGAAATTCGGTTTGAGGTTTATGATTGATTAAAATAATTGCACTCATCCACAATCTCAAAGTTGAAAATCACCTCCAGGTCGTACATGAATGTTTCTTATGAAACAGGTCTTCTGTAATTTCGAAAGGAAAGGTAATGGATCTGTCCCCAAAGAGATATTTTCATTTTGCAATATTGCATGTTTTGTGCAAACTGCTGTTACGCAGCATGGTGTATTACATATTGCATTGACCAACAGTTGGAACTACAAATACCTTCTTGCAAATGTGTTGATGCCTGTTGAATTTTTTTTAATTATACCATATTCGACGTAATAAGCGCCCGGGGCGCCCTCAAAATTAGAAATAGGTGGCTATTATTAGAATATAATTTTGGTGAAAAAGAAAACAGAGTTGAAAGATTGTAAATTTCGTGGTTTATGCTGACAGCCTGACATAAGAAAAGTATGTGCGTATCATACACGACATATATTTTCCCGAAATATAATTGCCCATAATTAAGGGTGCATATAACACACGCGTCTTGTGTACATTGATCAATCGGAAGGGGTGCTAATTGGGATTGTTCACTAGCCAATATATCAGCAAATAACTCTGTGGGCGCTTATCAGAGCGGGGCGCTTATTATGTCAAATACGGTATGATCATTAAGCTTAAAACAAGAATAATACTGTCCATAAATGTTTTGGAACCAGCCATTCAATATTTGAAAAGAATTAGTTGTCCAATTTTAGAAAAACAAATTGTTCACTTCATGTGCTGGATGCTCTGAAAATATAGTGTTTTGGTGCTAAGGTTATTTTGGCCTCCTTTCAGAGAACGAAATGTCTTGAAGTGCTCACTGAAAACATGTTCTGTCTCAGATAATAATCCCGTTAATATCCATGATGTTAAATAGTGATCCCTCACCTGCAACTTTATGCTATACACAAATCAGAATTTGATTTTGAAGTGAATGTGTTTGATGAAACAGAAATAAAGGTGTTGCAGATAAGAACTAGTGTATTTGTTTACCATAGTTCCTGGAGATGAGCCTTATTGTGAAGTGGGTGTATGAGCCACAATAAATTGTACATACATTGTATACTCAACTTGTTTGTTTTTGTGATCTCTCTTTGAGAGTCCTTGACATTTAGGAGTGGGTAGATCATGAAGACTTGACATATTGATGGAAAACCTTGTTTAGGAAATTTGAAAGCGCAAGAAAATTGGTTGTCAGATCTTTGATCAACCCATAAAGTGATATACTCCATATCAACATCAATTTTCTGTTACCAATATATATATGATCACATTATGATGTCTGTTTATTTACTAAGACACAATTCATTTCAAAATTCTGTTGCAATCATGGTAATATTAAACGGTATTATTGCTTTCCCCTGCCATGAAGATCTGGTTTTGAATAGGTCTTCAGCAACCCTTGCTTGCCCTTAAAGGCGACTATGAATGTTGTAAGAGGCGACTAACGGGGTCGGGTGGTAGACTCCTGACTTGTTTGATGCATGTCATCGTTTACCAACTGCATGGATCGATGTGCATGATGTCAATCACTGGATTGTCTGGCCCAGACTTTGCAAACCGCTTGCATTTAGCTGGACTATTGCTGAGTGCAGGGCTAAACAACAAACCAACAACAGAATGTTGTAGTAGTGAATGATATAGACGTCAATGTTATCTTCTAAAAAAGAGTCCCGTAAAGCTGTTAGAAGAGATAGGCACAAGGGTTGCTATATGTCATGAGAAAATCGGAATGTGAAACTAGAACATCGAAAAGGCCCCTTCTGAAGTTTCAAGTATGAATAATTCCTCGATCCAAGAGTGAGTGAGTGAGTTGGGTTTAACATTGCTTTTAACAGTATTCCAATTATATCGCAACGTGTCAGCTTAATGTGGGAGGAAAGCCCGAAGTGATGCAGGTCTCGGACGTTTACCATTTCGGTGAAACCCTCGAACAGGGGTATGGTGCTGACAAACCTAGAAACATCGGGGCGAACCGGGATTCGAACCCACAATCATAGGTTCCTGGCGTGTCCAAGGGACGTAACTCTGCACAGCGACTCGCGGCGCCTTAGACGACTGGGCCACCCGTGCCCTCGTTCAAAAAAACTATTAATAGGAAATAGGTATTGTAATGAAATCATGTGGACATATATTCAAATTGGAAAAGAACTGATTTTCTAAAGCATAAGTATCACATTCATGTATATTTTACCATTATAATAATCTGTGACACATTGGACAGCAGAAATAGAAATAAGGAGCATTATGGAAATATTAACACAGTCTTGACAAGCATCTCTCAGATAAGCATGCAAAGTTTCATTGATGTAACTTCAGTAGTTTTTGAGAAAACGTCGGGTCCCCATTGCAGCCACTATGCGTTAGGTAAAATAACATGGATCAAGGCTCTTGGCTCAAAGAAAATAATTTTACGGCACCATTTGTTAGCTCAGTCGGGACAGAAATCTCTCATAAGCATGCATAACTTCATGTAGTTTCTCACGAAACTTGTCCCCATTGAAGACAGGATGCACAATGCTCTGGGAAGTGTTTTTAAGGAACCAATTTCTTAACTCAGTCTTGACAAGCATGCCAACGTTCATTCATGTAACCTCCGTAGTTTCTGAGAAAACTTGTCCCCATTTCACGAGGTATGCACAAGCTGAAAGGCAAGGGTCTCAACTGTGTGAAAATATACCTTTCGATTTACGTGTATCAGGTTATCAGGTTGGTTTTGGTATAGCCTTTCGTTCAACTTTCAGATAATTAAAATAAAATATACTCCAGTTGTACCAAATGTTCAGCTTTTAAAAAAAATAGGACCCCTTTTTTGTAGTGTTTCTAAAGATAAGCATTATTAACCTATCGATCTTGCCTTTGTAAGTGATTCATCGACATTGTTGTTCTTGACCGTCTATAAACCTTCACTGATACAGTGAGCAAGATTTGTGCGAGTGAGTGAGGTGGGTTTAACGCCGATTTTAACGGTACTGCAGTTTTAACAGCGTGTCAGTTTAAATTTGGAGTGATGCATTTCGAAGTGATGCAGGTCTCAGACATTAATTACTTTGATAAAACTGACGAGCACGGGGATGGTGCTGACAAACTTAGAAACATAATCGGGGCGAACCGGAATTCGAAATCACCATGATAGATTTCTGGAGTGTCCAAGGGACGCAACTCTGCAGAGCGAATTGCGGCGCCTTAGACGACTGGGGCACTAGTGCCCTCGAATATTTCCATTTAAATGGGGTTATGGTGCTGACAAACCTTGAAATATTTTGAGGTCGAACTGGGATTCGAACCTACGGCCATAGGTTTCTGACACGTCTAAGGGACGCAACTCTTCAGAGGGAATTTCGGCGCCTTAGACGACGAGGCTACCCCTGCCGCAGAATGGTTTAGTGTTTTACAATTCTTCTCAGCTGTGGAACTTACCTTGCGATAGCATTTCATTTCCGAACTTAATTCGAACCCGTTACACACTATCTAAACTGGACGTTCTGTATAATCCCCTAGCACCGAACAGCGTCTTGTTCCTGACCGGTCAACTCACGGTCACTCCTGGCTATTACCAAACATGCACTATCTTATCTTAATACGGCATCTTGGCCGGTGCTACATAAATGCGATCCGGTGGCCAGTTCGTCAATCACCATCATGACGTGTCGCAGAATGCTGGCTGTTTTTGCAGGGTTGTGTTTCGCTGTCTCCCTCGCCGGGGCGCACATGCTTCGCGGAACAGTTAATTCCACTGAGGTACGTATTCCGGGCAGACGTTTATGTGCTTGTTATAATAGCTTTATCAAAGTATGTATGCTTTGAAATACTGAGTTTGAGTTAGTGCCAACATTTATTAATTTAGAAGTAAAAACAGCTTGTAACGTTGTATTTAATACACGTCCAGCCTTAGCGGCGATGAAGTTAAGTCATATAGATGCAGATTAGTATGTTACGTCTGTGTATCATGATAGTTGTCACTATCATAGCTGATGCACATTTAAGGACATCCTGGATTATCATACACACAATTAGATTCGTTGGACACACTGGATGTCCTGAAAAATCCGCTCTGAAAGAAATTAAATTGCCTTGAAATGATTGGTCCTTAGACGACTCACAGCGTTTTCGTCTTCGGAATGCCATATTATGACTTATACCACGATAGAACGGAGATAAAATGTAACGCTTAACCGAGGATGATTTGTTTGTTTGTTTGTTGATTTGGTGAAGGTCGATGGTTCAATCCCCGGCCGCGTCACACCAATATGATGGTACTAACTTGTTACCCTGCCTGGCGTTCAGCATTAAGGGGATAGAACAAGGACTGGTCGACTATAATGAGTGGGGTGTCCATGTTAAACTTTGGCATGGTATCTCAGTGAGCCATCACGACAAATCCGTTATGAGTCGGGCTAGTACAATCAGCCACACACACCTACACCTGCACGTCGCTTTATGAGTGAAGAGACACGTGAAGATCCGGGGTAGAAACGGTCTTCAGCAACCCATGCTTGCTGTAAAAGGCGACTATGCTTGTCTTACGGGCGACTAACGGGATCAGTTTGTCAGGCTGACTTGGTTGATGCATGTTATCGATCCCAATTGCGTGGATCGATGCTCATGATATTAATCACTGGATTGTCTGGTCCAGGCTCGATTATTTACAGACCGCCGTCATGGAATATTGCTGCGTGCGGCGTTAACCAACAAACCAACCAACCAACTATGGGTGAAGAAACGTGAACGCAGCGTTAAACCCCATTTCACCTCACATCTTGGTCACTGTATCAACAAGTCGAGGTTGCACAGCACGAGGGACCTCCTGCAACATGTGCGAAATTGATTAGAAGCGGTCGAGTCTACTTTAGAAAATGGGTTGGGCAAATAAATCGTCTCTGTTTAGATTACTATTTTTCGGTTGTAAGTAAGGTATGAAGTGTAAGTTACTTCCTCGGTTTGGATGAAATATTATTCCGTATTATGAACATGAACATGCCAAAATGTCAATTTACAAATCAATAGCGTGTGTGTCCACCCCTGGTTGCGATGCAAACAACACATCTTCGTCTCATGGAATGGACCAGGCGTGGAACAAAGTCCTGTGAGATATCTGTCCATATCTGCTGGAGCAAGTTCCTGGAGTGTCTGTGGAACATGTGGTTGACGTCGAAGGCGCCGATCCATCTCATCCCACATGTGCTCAGGGGAGCGCGCCGGCCAGGGGATGACATTCACGTTATTTTGTTGAAGAGAATCCTGAACAAGTCGAGCAATATGAGGCCGGGGGTTGTCATGTTGAAAGGTAATGCCTGGGCCATGACGACGCAAAAACGGTAGAACAACAGGGCCGATGATCTCGTAAGGGTAGCGCTGTCCATTGAGATTTCCCTCTACCACTATCAAACGGGTCCTCTGTCTTGCTGTAATCCCACCCCATACCATAACCCTGCCGCCCCCGAGCCGATCTTCTTCCAATGACGGTGGGTTCCTGTCAAAATGGGACGTCTGGCGGGTCTTCTAGCAACAATCCCTGCACATCTGAGGCGACGACGTACGGTTTGTGAAGACATTCGTCGAAGGCCAGGGATGCTTCTTGCAGTCACTGTTGCTGGCTGGAATCGATTTCGTAGGAGTGTTGCTCGAATCCAGTTCTCTTGTCGATTATTGGTTACGCGTGGCCTGCCACTCCGAGGATGGTCTCTGACTGCATTCGTCTGTTGCCAACGTTGCCATAAACACCAAATGGTGTTTCTGTGGACGTTTAATTGTCTTGCAACATCAAGTTGACTCGATCCTGCTTCAAGCATACCAATGGCTCGCAGACGCTCATTTTCGGACAGGCGTGGCATTTCGTAATGTTGGATAATTGCGTAATTTTGTTGTTTTTCTGAGTGGTTGTTGTCAGCACGATGCTAAACAATGCATATGGAATCCCGTTGACGCACATGTTTTTATACCCATTCTTGGGTAGTGAAATGCATGGGCCTTGCATAAAAGTCAACTTTTGCATGGAATGCATGCTTTTCTGTAGCAGTTGCGTTTTTGTGACTTGATTCAATACATGTACTACAATACTGAAAACCAAACTTTACTTGTTTGCGGATACCGTGTCCTTTAACACACAAAAATTGCCACAACTGCCCTGGTCGAGAATGATGTAAAACAAGACTTATAGCCACTATAAACGTGTAAAAAATCTTATAAACTTTATTTTGCTAGAATAAAGATAACATTTCTTTGTAAACCGCACGCATTGTGTGACGGACGGGTGCGTGAGTGGTATTATTATTTTAATCTTACATTGAACTTTTCAAACAGCCCATTACGCCCACCATTTCGAAGTACAATGTCACGTTATTTGAATTTACGACAGATTATACATATTAATCGATATTCTTTCAATTTATCGCTACACGTTTGTCAGGAGCTTGTTATTTGAGACGTTTTGCCAAATAACGGTTACAAATGATCATCGACACTGTCGTGGATATTTTTGCGCGTATTTCCTTTCTTCTCCCTCGAAAAAACAGTGAGGCAACCCCAATATGACTAACATAATCCTTATTAATAGCCGATGTCAGCTCGTCAATATAAATACATTCAATAGCACAGATGTTATTCTTCAGGGTTGGACGGTTCTCGGGAGCTATTGTTTACCCGCAAAGGATGGAAGTGTTTATTTCAACATCCGATACCCCAAGGTAAAAGTGAGTGAGTGGGTGAGTTGGGTTTTAACGTGTGTGTGCTTGTGTGTGTGTGTGTGTGTGTGAATGAGAGAGAGAGAGAGAGAGAGAGAGAGAGAGAGAGAGAGAGAGAGAGAGAGAGAGAGCGTGCGTGTATGTGCGCGCGTGAATGGGTGTGTTGGGGGGAGATTATGATCGTCGTCGGTCAGTGGGTCCACTGTCAAAATGTTTACGATTAAATTATTAAAATTCCAATCTCTTTAAAATCAGATCTTAGCTCTTCCTACCGCTAAACATAGGATCTATTTGTAGCGGTAGCGAACACTAAGATCTGATTTTAATGAGATTGCAATAAAAAAATAAAATTCAAAACGTTGGGCAGACGATACATAACACTTCCCACGGTCCTAGGGTACATGTATTAGCGGAAGTGCTCTCCCCAAACATTTTTACCGGAAATATCCTATTGAAGAATTCCCCGCTATTAAGACAGCTCTTCATCAACTTCAAGAACTGTGATCCTCATCTGTTTATCCTAACTTGCAGACGTACGCACCCGAGACGCTGGTGCTGTTCTATGACGACCAAGCAACCCTCATCAAGAGCGCTCCGGTAAGTAGGGTATTTTTCTATAGTGATATAAGGAAATCTACGAAAGGACTATCACATGTCTAAAAAAATTACATTAGTTTGTTAGCGAATTCTCCAAAGATTTACTAATGTGAAACCCTGAAGATCCGGGGTAGAATAGGTCTTCAGCAACCCATGCTTGTCGTAAGAGGCGACTATGCCTGTCGGAAGAGCCGACTAACGGGATCGGGTGATCATCCTCGCTGACTTGGCTGATTCATGTAAAAAAGATTGGAAACAGCCGAGCAGCAAATATCATATAGTACACAAAGAGGTTTGATAAATATGTACGGTCAATGCAAAGCAAATAATGAAAGGTATCAGATTTTGCCATTGACAAACTGTTCCATGATAGTGCAATTTTTGTTTTGTTGTCTTGAATGCAGTCCAGTTAAACATCCTAACATGTAATAGATATGATCTTACAAAATTGAGAATGCAAAAGCTAACATCGAATGGGTTCAAGGTCAAATAGGTTGTGTTTGAATCGCCGGAGTGAGTGAGTATGGTTTTACGCCGCTTTTAGCAATATTCCAGCAATTTCACGGCGGAGGACACCAGAAATGGGCTTCACACACTGTACGCATGTGGGGAATCAAACCCGGGTCTTCGGCGTGACGAGCGAACGCTTTAACCACTAGGCTCCGTTACCGCCCTTGAATCGCCGGAAATGTAGCGACGTGCATGCGTGTGTGTGTGTGTGTGTGTGTGTGTGTGTGTGTGTGTGTGTGTGTGTGGCTGCTTGTACTAGTCCGGACTAAAGCCGATTTTATAGTGCTAGCCCACTGAGATACTATGCCGCAGTTAACTTGAATACCCTACTCAGGCACACTATACTGACTCCAAGTCGACCAGTCCTTGTTTTAGCCCATAAATGCCGAGCACAGGGCAGGGTAACAACAAGTACCATCTTCAAGCGTCTTTTGATATGACGCGACCGGGGATCGAATCCCCGACCGTCCGCTCTCCGGGCAGACGCTCTACCACTAGAGGCGGTCGGCAGTAGGAAGATGGGCGTCCTGGTAATCAGAAAGGTAAAAATATGAGAAACATTTCTCTTTATTGTTGATTTCAGACCTGCAAGGCCAAGTACAATATTCTGAAAGCCGAGAATGATCAGTTTGTGAAGCTGACCCCCGACTTTCTGTTCAGCCGCTGTCAGACAGTTAAACACAATGGCGAGGCCTGGTACAGTTGCTATGGTCACCGATCTTTGGTAACCAGTCAAGACCGGATGTGGTATATTGGCGTCTCTCATTGCCAAGACAAAGTAAGACGTTTGAAAGAAAGTGTAAGTGAGTGAGTTATTTTTTACGCTGATTTGAGATGTATTCGGGCATTAAGATCAATATCTGGTGTGTCCACCATGTTTGGCGATACATACTGATGACATACTATTTATTAGCTTGTGTGTGGTTGCCCTTGGTAATGCCCGCCATTCCACCTGAAGAGCTACCGCCACCTGGGCCTCCTTTGGTTTGGTTTGTTGTTTAACGCCGCACCCAGCAATATTCCAGCTGTATGACGGCGGTCTGTAAATAATCAAGTCTGGACCAGACAATCCAGTGATTTATATCATGAGCATCGATCCGCGCTATTGGGATCGAAGACATGCTTCAACCAAGTCAGCGAGCCTGACCACCCGGTCCCGTTAGTCGCCTTTTACGACAAGCACAGTCACCTTTTACGGCAAGCATGGGTTGCTGTAGACCTATTCAACCGTAGAATCTTCACGGGGTCTCGTTGGTGGGTGCTGGGTGCTGGTGTACACTCTCCGCCCGAGAACATCCCACAGATGCTGTACTGGGGACTTGGCGGGCCAGTCCAATGTCTGTATGCCTTTTCGTCGGGAGATAAATGGTGGCGACTTGTTCACGATGCGGTTTGGCATTATCTGCCGATAATTCTAGCAAATGGAACAACGGTCGGGCGCAACATTTCGTCCACATAATGCACATAATGCTGGCCTCTACGTCGCCAACAACGTTTTCTGGCATCTGTGAGACGGAGGCAAACCCTTGATTCTGTATGTAACAGTATGTAATGCCATTGCCATCAATCAGAGACCATATACAAGTCTATTATATGGTCTCTGCATCAATGAATGTCCGTGGCGAAATTCTAATGTCGCCAATTAAACCCCATGCGGCAATGTTGCTGACAAACTTAGGAAAATAACACGAGTTTGCTTATTCCTGGATCCTGGCAGAGCCAAGGGACGCTACTTCGATCAGAAATGGCATCGTCTTCGAACTCCAGGCTAATGAACTAAGTAATATACATATACTTCAGTCAGTGTATGGCTGTTTGAAGTCGATAAAGTACAGTAGTAGCATGCTTGTTATGTTTACATTCACACGCGAAATGTTATTTCCATCACCAGCCGTCAGGCATCAAGCTGGACTACCTGATCAAGTTCCTCAACAGCCACCCCGGATCCTGCAACCAGACCTCCATTCCCCTTGTTGATGTAAGTGTTGGGAACAAAAGGATCGTGTATGTCTCAGGCAGGCGGGAAGGGGAGAAGAGATATTTTAATAATAAAAAAACAATCAAGACTCTGCTTAACTGAATTTATGTAACACAAGCCTCGCATTGTATAAAAGAAAGAAAGTATACTTTACCATCTCCCCGAGGCAAGGGCGTTACGTAACTATAAAAAGTGTTACTGGAATTTTACAGTCAGTTAACTCCCTTGCCAAGGGAAGATGATCCATTCAAGTGTTCAAAGAAAATAGTTAATAGCGAGGCGCTTGGGATTTTCTATGGAGACTAGATAAGTTTACCTACATGACTACGAGCCTAAATATTTATTAAGCATTATTAATATTTTCAATCAATTTCTGGGCCAATATTTAAAATAAAATCCCACCCCCCGCCAGGAATATAAACAATAAACTATAATTATGTGCTGACCGTAAAAGGATTTTTGAAGTGACGATTCCCACATCACAATTGAAATAATTACTGACACCCAACGTAGTAATTATACTCAAAGGCTAACGTAAATGTGATCATTTATTCATAACTGAAAACTGATGATGATATGGAACATAACGCTTTATACATCATTGATCTGACATCACTTTCTTTCTCAATCAGATTTCTTTAGCGGGGAATACAGATAAACACACATTTCTCAATTTTGGTAAAATAACAAACAATTCTCTAGACGGAATAAAACATTGTGATATGAAATTTTGAATTTGTATAAATTACAAATATTAAAAATATTCAGAAACCCCATGGCGTCATTTCTTCCACTTGAATTCCACTGCACTTTTAAAATCTTTAAAAATTAAAGATGTTTCTGATTCTTGTTCGACGCGACACTCAGCAATATTCCAGCTATGTGACGGCTGTAGGAATAAAACAGAGCCGTTGTGACCTGTGATAAATAATATGGTAAATAAGAATGTGTTGAAGGCAACATTTGCTTTCAAGTTTGTAATTAATTATCTTGTCAGCACATTTCAACACCTATAGGAAAGTAAACGGCATAGATCTGTAGTAATCTATTTCATATTACCCATCTGTACATTACACATCATAACGAACGCTTATTTATCATTATTTGTAATCTATTTTCAGATGATAGGATGAAAAACAACAACAACGAATATTGTAATATGGTGTCAGCTACTTGTGACTTATTATCGGAATAAATGGGTTAATATATGCGGCGTGATTGTTTGTTGTATCTTCTGAGGTAGCCATCGAGGCCTAATATCAAGCGCTGCTTATGCCAGTCGTATTGGTAGTCACACCGGTGTCTTGTGCAGACACTATCAATCCAGTACGAGTGAGTAGTGTTACGCCAGTTTTAGCAATATTCCCGCAATATCGACTATTTAAAGCCGTCAAATAGCTGGAATAGTGCTGAGTGCGGCGTAAAACAACAAACAATCAATCAAATAATTATCTAGTTTGACATAACAAACAAAACATAATCACACTGGATTTAAGAGTTTATTAAGAACACGCAAACTGTCTCTTTATCTCTCTATGTATATACAAAGAATAAGATTTGAAATAAAATAAAGCCTACAAGTGTTTAGTGATCTATATATGGAGTAAACAATAAGACAGGGAAACAAGCCTTGATTGTATCAAGTAAGTTTCTTCCGATAGCAGGGGGCACGGGTGGCCCAGTCGTCTAAGGCGCCGCAATTCGCTCTGCAGAGTTGCGTCCCTTGGGCCCGCCAGAAACCTATGATTGTGGGTTAGAATCCCGGTTCGCCCCGATTATGTGTCTAGGTTTGTCTGCACCATACCCGTGCTCTTGGGTTTCACCGAAGTGGTAAACGTCTCAGACCTGCATCACTTTGGGCTTTCCTCCCACATTAAGCTGACACGCCGTGATATAACTGGAATACTGTCGAAGGCGGAGTTAAACCCAACTCAAAGCTTTTCCTTATAGAAAAAGGGGCGATCGGGTAGCCTCGTGGTTAAATCGTTAGCTCGTCACACCGACCCGGGTTCGATTCCCGACATGGATACAATGTGTGTACCCCATTTCTGGTGTCCCCCGCAGTGATATTGCTGGAATATTGCTAAAAGCGGCGTAAAACCATACTCACTCATTCACTGAAAGAAAACGACATTGTCGAATGATGAGACTGTCAGTACGGTAATCGGAACATGATATATTTTGTATTTTACAAAAACATATAGTTATTAGCATCATTTCCAAATCAAACTCTTCTACCAGAAGTATAATTATGGTGAATAACTTGCATTCAAATATATATAAATTCATAAATATAAACGTCACCTTACTGAAGTGCAAATAAAACAGAGAAAAAATAACTTGGAAACGTGTACTTTCTGATCATAGACAAATCATTGTAATTGTGTTGGATTCTAAAAGACGCGAACAAATCTCATAACACTTATGGTCTTGAACAGAGAAATCGTTCATTTCACAACTGAATGCAATAGCGTTCCTTGATTTGTACCCGATCCATTAGTGTCTGTTTCAACCTTGAACCCACGGGTGTGCGGGTCTTCGTGTCATCCTGCGTTCAAGTCCGTTAACGAACTGAGCATGCGCAATTCATTTTCTGTGCAGGTTTTCCGAGCACTATTTCCTTTCAAAGTGGGATACGATGTTGTTTCAACTACGCTGTGAGGTAAGACAAAAGGCCAACACGGAAGGAATGTCCATCTACACCAGCTAGACTAGTGTATCCGAATGTTACCAAAGATCAATTGACTGGAATAGAAATGTAAGTCTTTACTGAGCATGCAATTAAAACAAATGTTTGAAACTTCATTCCACAATCACTGACATGCAGTCATTGGTAACTTCCTGGTTGCTATTGTTGCTACTGCTGCCTTTGATGACGAGACTGTTGCTGCTGACAGGGCTGTGATTACTGATGTTGCTGAGGCTGTGATTACTGATGTTGCCGAGGCTGTCATTACTGATGTTGCCGAGGCTGTCATTACTTATGTTGCTGAGGCTGTTATTACTGATGTTGCCGAGGCTGTCATTACTGATGTTGCCGAGGCTGTTATTACTGATGTTGCTTCTGCTGCTGAGACTGTCGTTACTGATGTTGCCGAGGCTGTCATTACTGATGTTGCTGAGGCTGTCATTACTGATGTTGCCGAGGCTGTCCTTACTGATGTTGCTGAGGCTGTAATTACTGATGTTGTCGAGGCTGCTGAGACTGTTACTACTGATGTTGATGAGGATGTGTTACTGCTGCCGAGGATGTCATTACTGATGTTGCCGAGGCTGCTGAGACTGTTATTACTGATGTTGCTGAGGATGTGTTACTGCTGCTGAGGCTGTGATTACTGATTTTACTGGGGCTGTTATTACTGATGTTGCTTCTGCTGCTGAGGCTGTGATTACTGATGTTGCTAAGGCTGTTATTACACACGTGCTGCTGCTGTTGCTACTACTTCTGCTGAGGATGTGTTACTGCTGCTGAGGCTGTGATTACTGATGTTGCCGAGGCTGTTTTTACTGATGTTGCTTCTGCTGCTGAGGCTGTCGTTACTGATGTTGCCGAGGCTGTCATTACTGATGTTACTGAGGCTGTCATTACTGATGTTGCTGAGGCTGTTATTACTGATATTGCCGAGGCTGCTGAGACTGCTATTACTGATGTTGCCGAGGATGTGTTACTGCTGCCGAGGCTGTTATTACTGATGTTGCCGAGGCTGCTGAGACTGCTATTACTGATGTTGCGGAGGATGTGTTACTGCTGCCGAGGCTGTCATTACTGATGTTGCCGAGGCTGCTGAGACTGTTATTACTGATGTTGCTGAGGATGTGTTACTGCTGCTGAGGCTGTCATTACTGATGTTGCTAAGGCTGTTATTACACACGTGCTGCTGCTGTTGCTACTACTTCTGCTGAGGACGTGTTACTGCTGCCGAGGCTGTCCTTACTGATGTTACTGAGGCTGTGATGACTGATGTTGCTAAGGCTGTTATTACACACGTGCTGCTGCTGTTGCTACTACTTCTGCTGAGGATGTGTTACTGCTGCTGAGGCTGTCATTACTGATGTTGCTCGGGCTGTCATTACTGATGTTGCTGAGGCTGTTATTACTGATTTTGTTGAGGCTGATATTACAGATGTTGGTGCTGCTGTTGCTGCTACTTCTGTTGAGGATGTGTTACTGCTGTTGAGGCTGTTGTTGCTGTTGCTGCTGCTCGCCAGACTGGCGTGCACCTTTCTTGCACTTTTCACATGTCAGCATTTCCGTTACTCTCTCCTGCCACTTTTCGAGATCGACGGGAATAATTTCTTTCTTATCCCCTGTCCGAGAAACCCTACAGGCGAATGGCCCCTCCTTCTTCGTGAACACCATGCCCGCAAACTTCTGCGGCACAAGTACTTCGATGACATAGGATGTGTCATCTCCCTTCGTAGAATGAAATGTGATTTCAACTTTCTGAGCAACATCTTCCTCCTTTAATGTATTCCCCTTATCATCCACCCACAGCATGTTTTGTTTTATACTTGTCAAGAGGTCGGTCTTGATTTGTCGCTTATCATTCTCCGTCAGAGAAAGACCTCTGACTTTGTAATGATATGTTGGGAGCCCTTCAGCATTCTCTCGCGGAGGCTCAGTCTTCTCTTCTTCAACTCCAAAATATATCACACCCCCCTTTTCTAGTTTTGTAAAGGTGGTAATGTAATTATATAGGCGACAGGATAGAATTTTCTCTACAGCTGCTTTGTCCGTAGGTAAATCCTTCCACTGACTGCCTAGAAGAACCTCCTTGTCAAGCCTCTTGAACTGGAGGTCCCTGTTTTCGTAATACGGCAAAGTATGGTCTTCCTTGAATTCATCCCCACCTATTTTCGATTCATTCTTGGTGTCGCTGGCTTTGTGAGATTTTGACATGTATTCAGCAATTTCACGAGCCTTTGGTCTCACTATGCTTCCGTCATTTGGCATGTATGTGTTGAAGTCCTGTGTTGATACTGATGACGATCCCTCGACATCCAGAAGGATATAATCTTGGTATTCGCCCCTCTCTGTCGATGGAAGCCATCGCCTTCGATAGTTCATCCAATATGGCGAGTCATCCTCTATCATGTTATTTAGATCTTTTTCGAATCTTTCATCAAATCGATCCAGATTTCTTCCGAAACCTGTATCACGGTTCTTAACGTGTGTGACTAAGAGTCCTCCATTGCTGTTTCGAAGACAACATACCTTTTGAAGAAGTTCAGTTTTGAACGTTTTATCGTTTTTCTTTGCATAAAAAGTACCACCCTCTACATGCATGTACAATATGTTTTTCTCATTAATTTTGTTGATCCCTGGAACGTTATCACCGCATGTACATTTGTTTGCTGGAAGAAACAAAATGAATTGAATTTAGAAAAAAGACATGATATTTTGAGCACGTCTTAAGAAAACATGTTTGAAGCTTGAAGCTTGTACAAGTGAGTGAGTGAGTGAGTGTGTGAGAGAGTATGGTTTTACGCCGCTTTTAGCAATATTCCAGCAATATCACGGCGGGGGACACGAGAAATGGGCTTCACAGATTGTACCCATGTCAGGAATCGAACCCGGGTCTTTAGCGTGACGAGCAAACGCTTTAACCACTAGGCTACCCGACCGCCCCGAAGCTTGCACGAACTCTTTTAAATGAAATTAAGACGTGGATGAATCTACAAGTAAATACTGTAGTATGACACATTTGAAGTAACGTGTATTTCACTAGTCGAGTGGATGGATGGCGGGTTCTGGCAAAAATGGTAATTAACATACAAATATCCACCCTTCCCGAGGCAAGGGAGTTAACTGACTATAGAAGTCCAGTTTCCACCCTTGTCTCATTGTGCATAGCATCGCAACATGATGCATCACATATCAGTATCGTGCATTTCATCGCATTGCAACATCGTGCATTACATAGCAACATCGTGCACCTCATCACAACATCGTGCACCTCATCGCAACATTGTGCATCACATAACAACATGGTGCATCACATAGCAACAGAGAGCATCACATAGCAACATGCATCGCATAGCAATATCGTGTACGCATTGCAACATCGTAATGTCGTGCATCGCATTGCAATACCCTGCATTGTACGTAACATCGTGCATCGCATGGCAACATCGGATGCGTTGCATCATAACATTGTGGACCGCCTCAGTGGTCTAGTGGTAGAGTGTCTGCCCGGGGAGCGGAAGGTCCGGAGTTCGATCCCTGGCCACGTCATACAAAAAGACGTCATACAAAAAGACGTCAAAAAGATGGTACTTGTTGTTACCCTGTCTAGTGCTCGGCATTAAGGGATAAAACAAGGACTGGTCGGCTCATAGTCTTGGGTGACTGAGTGGGGTATTCATGTTAAACTTCGGCATGGTATCTCAGTGAGCTAGCACTATAAAATCGGCATTAATCCGGACTAGTACAAGCAGCCACACACACACACGTGCATGCATGTCGCTATGTAAGTGCAATAATCTTGAACGCGACGTTAAACCCCATTTCACCTAACCTCATAACATCGTACATCGTATCGCAACATTGTGCATCCCATCGCAACACTGTGCGTCACACAGCAACATGGTGCACTGCATCGCAAAGTGGTGCACCGCATCTCAAAGTCATGGGACATGATAGGGAGACGTGTACATCAACGTTGTAGGCCGCCGACCACGTTGGCTGAACTTGGCCAGGCGCTGCATGAGGAGTGGGACAGACCCCCTCAAATCGCCTCGTCGAGTGAATGAATCTTGGACAATTCCTGACAGTATTACGCACTACTGAATCAACAACGTCAACTTTGAATTTTCCCATCTTACCCCCATCGTCCTTCAAGATCCTACTGTCATACTACTGTCATAAAGTGTTCTCGACTCGTTCATCATTATACATTAATTACTAGAAACTAACACCTTTGGAAATTTTAAGTTATTTCCGGGTATCCCCTACTTCTTTTGAAGAGTATATTTGGCAGCCCATGGAGAGTCCGTGTTCGAATTTGTCCCAAGCAACCTATGCTAGTCATATGGGGCAACAAAATAGACCAGGAATGCATGTTCAGTGACTTGGATGTCGCGGTGACAGAATTGTCTTGTCCGGGAGAGTTATTGACATATATTATTCGTCATACATCTTGCATATTAAGGCATAAACAACAAATAATGAAAGACAAGCATTTTGCAATTATTCGTGCTAAAATTATTATCCTTAAATATCACCCACAAGCCATGTTATAAAAACGGTTTACTCACTTTCCGTGGGAATTTCAACTTCTGGATTGATGACCTCTGACCTGAGAACACAAAACGATCGATAATTAGGGTGTGGCTCCGTAGCATCCACCCACAGAAATCGGTAGACCGTAGACAGAGTAGTTGCTTAAATATTTCTGAATCAAATATATGTAATGAGTTTCAGAAATGCACTATCCTATAATATCTTTACATGGATGTGTGGTAGAGAGAGAAGATAGCTCTGGCACACACCCTATTCTATGCGGGTGTGATGTCGGCCATTTGTGCCTAGTGTATTTTAAAACGGCGGAACGACCGGACATCGATCGATATTGATTCATAGTTAAAAGGAATTTGGAGGTATCATACATAGGGGTCGATAGAATAATCACCATAGACCATGTAGATGACAAGTTTTTGTGCATGATTTGCGATAATCCTTTAAAAGCAGCGATTCTATGCAAACGGTGCAGTTTCCACCCTTGCCGAACTAGGCTGGATTTTCGTGGCTCGTTTGTAGGGCCAACAGTGGCTATTACGAGTTTTGTCCCTTCTATCTCCGTCCTACTGACCAATCCAGTGCCGTAGCCAGCCCGGGGGCTGGATGGGGAGAAGGGGAGGGGAAGGGGAGGTGGAGGTGGAGGGGAATACCCCCACCCCACCCTACCCCCGGATTTTTTATAGAAAACATTTTTCCTTGTGAATGATAACGAATAAAAAATGAATAATCTATAATCTTCAATGAAAATCGTGATTTTGAAATTTGTTTCTTGGTTTACTTCCTCTTATAAGTATGAGAGCAACTTAACTGTGTTTCTCACTACACCTGTTGGTAGTGTAGCCTGTGAGAGGTCATTCTCAACCCTTCGGCGCCTCAAACTGTGGACAAGATCATCCATGACTGATGAACGACTGAGTGGCCTTACAGAGGCACAGATTACATTCCATGCCCAAAAGCAGTTTATGACGGAAGAAAGGACTGGCGCAGTGAAACAATGTTAGATTGTAATAACACAAGATCACTCCTCTAGAAGAATATGATATTATTAAGTTGTTTCATTTAATGTGTTCAATGTTTTGCTGAACTTTGCCAAAGATGTTTGAAATATGTTTCAAATAAAAATTACCTCTTTTAGTCATGTGTTGTTTAGGCATGGTATCACAGTGTGCTAGCACTATAAATCGTCCGGACTAGTACAAGCAGTGTCTCACACACACACACACACACACACACACACACACACACGTATGCATGTACGTTGCTATATAAGTGCAATAATCTTGAACGCGACGCTGAACCCCATTTCACCTTACCTCACCTCACCTTACCTCACCTCACTTATAAAAAAATCTGTATCTGGTATAACGACCACACGGATGTCCTCGTCTATTCTCCACGTTGGGATCCGCTAGTGGCGAAAACGTTCGCGTGCTGAGGTTTGAGGTAGAGGACAGTTCTGGACAAGCACGGAATTCTCATATCCCCCGCCAATATGACATGTCCGGTTGTGTGCAATGCATTAGCTCCTGTGAACTATGTTCACTGGGCCTTTTTGTAAATGGTCTAATTGCAGCACTAAAAAAAGTTATTACTGGTGTTGTTTTCTAATCTGCAGTTAATGATATGTAACTGTATTTGTAATGAGTAAGGATGAGACATATGGACGAACAACTTCTTTGTGACAATTAGGAGCGATGGTTTCGGTGTAGGTTCTAACACCGTTATCAAGCAAGTGAAGTACAGAGTATGGTTGACAAGAATATATACAGGATAGGAGGTAGTGTTTATACAGTTGAGTAGGTTTAAGATCACTTACACTGTTGTATTTGTAATGAGTTGTGTTTCTGCATGAAGTTAGTCAGTGAATGCAACAACCGTGTCCATGACACTTTTGGAGGAACATACACACAAGCAATGCAGAACTTACCGACAGGAAAGGAAATGTATTCAATACTGCGAGATGACATTATGTGCCAGGTTTGGTGAAGAAATATGGTACGGTTTTCAAGATCTGCTCCGGAAACGAGGACTACCGCCATTTTCAGTCTAAGTCAAAGTCGTTGCCATGGAAACTCGAAAAATATATCTTTTAAAAATCCCAAACTAGATCTATCTATGTGCCAAGTTTGGTGAAGAAATGTGGTATGGTTTTCAAAATCTGCTCTGGAAACGAAATGTGACGGACGGACGGAAAGACGGACGGACGGTACCAATTCCTACATGTATATCCCCCTTCCACTTCGTGGCGGGGGATAATAAAAGCGTGCCTGCGTACCTGCGTGCGTGCGTGCGTGCGTGCGTGCGTGCGTGTTGTCGTTCAGATACTTACTTATGTATCTTGGCCGGAGGATCGTCTTTGGAGGAACCAGGTCGGGATCGTTTGTGCGAGCCTCGTGTTTTCATGCTTACTATCGGCTAGTCTAGAAATAGTTGAAAGTAAAGTGTTAAACATATACTATTAAATCATTTCATTATAGCATCACTATTAGAAAAATCAATATATTTTGTAACAAACTTTGACAAATCGGACACGGTCCAATCTCAAATATTATTATTTTTGTTGTTGTTGTGCATATTAAGATTAAAGAGACCCCAATGATCATAGGTTTCTGGCACGTCTAGGGGACGCAACTCTGCACAGCGAATTGCGTTGCCTAAGACAGGTGGGCCATGGGCCCTATCGTCGATTTGAAGTGTTGCTTGGGGTCGGAATGAAATAAAATAGAAAATTGAATGATTGTAGCAAAAAAGTGTTATATTCACAGCAGTGAAATATCAAACATTATGTTCTCTGCAGTGAAATATCTAGCGTCATGTTCACTGCAATGAACATAGCACTTTTCTCAACATCGGAACACTCAGCCCTTCACACCGAAGTAAAAATAAATGTGTTTCTTTCAGTGACACAGACACAGAATCAGAAAGTTCACTTGATTATTATGACCACAAGTTCCAGGATCATGTTGCTCGAACTCTTTCTCTTGAAGTTCTAGTGACGAAACTGACGCAGAGCGACAGTAAGAAGGAAACAGAGGCTATCTTTTCAAAATGGAGAGACAACGTAGTGGAAAAAATGGTTGGAAAACAGTCTGTTAAAGAAGCTGGAAAAAAATACCAAGAAAGGAACAAATAAAGCAAGAAATAAGATGAAATATGTAACAGCAGAGAATAACTGTTTGTAGTAACCCGTAAACCCCTGAACAAATTGCATGTCGACGACAGTACAGTTCACAAAAACAGAGAGACGAAATCGGAAGAAGTTGCACAAAAACGAAAAGAAAGGTGAAAGAAGAGTGAAAAGACGTATAGAAATACAGTTAGACAACGAAGTTGAAATAATTTAACTAAAATACCAATAGAAAACATGAAGTTGAAAAAAGAACTGAAAAACAGACAGCTGTGAGGTGAGGCGAAATGATTATTGCACTTACATAGCGACGTGTGTGTGTGTGTGTGTGTGTGTGTGTGTGTGTCTGCTTGAACTTGTCCGGACTGATGCCGATTTATAGTGCTAGCCCACTGAGATACCATGCCGCAGTTTAACATGAATACCCCATTCAGACACAGTATACTGACTCCGAGCCGACCAGTCCTTGTTTTAGCCCCTTAATGCCGAGCGCCAGACAGGATAACAAAACAAGTACCATCTTTTAACGTCTTTTGGTATGACGCGGCCGGGGATCGAACCATACAAAATGTCATCAGATAACAAAGGGGTGGGTGGAGTGGATCCGTCATAGCTTCTAAGTTAATAATCCGTAAAGTAACAACCCACCTTATAGGAAGGGAGGTAACTGCCGTAGAAGATTTACAATACATTCCCGAGGAACACGGCCTTTCCGAGAATTACAAATCATTAAAATTCGATTGACACACCTGGTCAAAGGGAGAAAACTACGGCAATAAAATGTGCATTCGTACCTACTAGAGTTGGCCACGAATGTCGAAAGTGCTGATTAATATGAATAATAACATAGTTATCACCGTTACCATAATAGAATCGTCATGGCACCACTACTGACTCATATGCCCTAGCTTTAGGCTTAGTTCAACGATCGTAGCACTAAGTGAAGTCGACCACAATTTCCATACAATAGACCGACAGTAATCGCCCGAGGATTTGTCATCGCCAGTGTGTTGCATCAACGGAACCGAACTACCATGGATTTAAAGTACATGTATGCTCCGAAAAAAACGAATAAAAAAGTCGCCAAAACACGATAAACAACCATGGTACGACTTCAAAGCTGAACACACCAGCGTCAGAAATACCTGCACATTCACTAGAATATAGTCGGGCAGTCAGAGATCCAGTGATCCTGTGGTGTCAGTCAACCTACCTTGGTCTTCAACTACTTTCGATGTGTCGATTGATTTGCTTTGCTCCGTAGCTTGAAGAAAAATTCAGCTGGTGTGTATTGAATATTATTTCCCTGTGTCGGTGAAGTGCCCTATTGTGGATGTTTATGTTGCTGCTCAACAACTTCCTGGTAGAGGGAGGTAACTCAGTGTAGTGTGGTTTACAAAAAAAACATCCGATCACAGGTCTCGTTAAAATCAAATCTCGGTTGGCGACTGGCGAGCAGTAAGATTTGATTTTAATGAGATTGACATCATATCATTACAACCTGGATGGCAGGTATGGGTCTTGGCACGACTAAGGGGCGAAAACTGAAAAAAAACCCAGTGACGGCGTCTATACAACTGGACTTGTTTTGTTTCGTTATTATAACTCCATACGTTTCATACCGAAATGAACGTTGGTGTATTTGTAAACTATTTATATTTTATGTCCGCTTCATTTACTTCGGCCATAAAGAAAACAAAAACGTCAACTTGAACAAAATGGATTTCCCCCCTCTACCGCAGTGACCGTGCTTGCGTATATTTCGGGAGGTACTTTGACATGGCGTTTTTTGAGGAAGGCCTTGTTTTGTATCACGTTTCAGACTTTCAATATAGTTTCAGATGTCTCTCATCGATGGCTCTTCGTTGTGTCGGTTGAACCGGCATTGTTTCTAGGATTAACGGTAGGTTGCCGTGTAGGCAGGGTCCGCTCTGGGGTCATAACGGGAACTCTTGTATACAGAGCAGTTGAGTGCTGAGAGTACCTCTTTCTATTGTTATATGGCAGTGTTATTTATTGTAAACAATGATTATAACTGTATTACATTGTTTCTTTTGAGATTCAGCAGAGGTTCATATATTTTATATTTGGACAATGAGTAGTTGTCGGGAATGTAGTACTATTTAACTATGTAAGCAGTGGTGGGGAAGTTATTATATTTGGATGCTGGAATTATCTGTAAACTTCCGGAATGGATGTAAAGCGTTATCAGAGACCATATAATAGATCTATTATATGGTCTCTGGCGTTATAGAAATGTGACAGATACAACATTGTACATATTTATTTTATTCACCTTCAGTATCTGCTTTTAAGTGTTCAACTTTAAACATAAATCATTAGTTAAGATAGATTAACTGTGATGTCGATGATTGCATTATGTATATTGTTAATATTACTTATCATTCCTTTAATATGTTTCAGGGTGTAGATACTAGATATTACATATTAGATAGATAAATATGTGACCGATCCATTGGCGAAATAAACGTCTCTCACCCGTAGCGTGTGTTTGGCTATCACATCATTCACTGCCCTGCTACAGAAACATGTGGAATATTTTGTGATGTTCTAGTGACACTGGACTGGTCAAGCCCTGTGTGGAAAGTGCTCGAAGCTAGTCAGACTATGTAAGTGGAGTGGGCGCGTGCCTGTCATATGATATTTCATCTGCCATTTCATCAGACATTACATCAAGACCAACTTTCTGTGAAGATCACTTTTCACCCTGATGTTCCACCTAGGGCTATCTCGGAAGCTTGACCACTGTTGCGGCTAGGCGATTATTATTCTTGTCATTGTCATTTCCACAGCACTCACATTTTATACTGCCATGGAATAGCGTACGACCAATCTATCGTGTACTGCCATTGAATAGCGTACGACCAATCTATCGTGTACTACCATTGAATAGCGTACGACCAATCTATCGTGTACTACCACTGAATAGCGTACGACCAATCTATCGTGTACTACCATTGAATAGCGTACGACCAATCTATCGTGTACTGCCCATAGTAATTGATGTGCATGCAGTTTTTTGTATTGATACGTAATCCTAGCTTATTTTGTAATACAATTGTTGATTGCGTACCGTTTGTTGGTTGTTTGGTGGTTTCATACTAAATTCTTCTACGTACAGATTATTGTTTCAATTTGGGAATCGTTACACGTAACCCTATTCAGGATCTTTGAAGTTCTTTTTGTTTTTTTGTTTCCCAAACTTGAGTGGGAATGACCCTTGGATTCTTTTTCGGAAATTAACTCATAAAACTATGTACTGTGAAATTTGTATACACATTACGCTCATGATGAGCATGTCTTTTTGTATAATTCATATATTTGTATTATTCGCTGTCAAACGCCCCGGACATATGGGTTAATTTTCGAAGCTCAACCCATGACCTGTTTAATATTGTTGTGAAACCTTCAGTTGCATAAAAAATCGGACACGTGCTAACTTGTGCCGTTTACTGTTCATGATATTTTTATTTTGTGATTTTGCGTATCCATGACTAAGATATAGTTCATTAAGTGAAGACAGGCAACTGGTGAACTAGTGCCTTTTGCTATTCTTGGCCCTGTTGTACAAAGCGGTCAAAGCTCTACAACTGTCTTAATTAAGTCTACATTAGAAGTATATTTCTAAGAAATATATCAATATCAAGTTTAAACGTTACTAGGTTGTGTTTCGTGGAGATTGCTCTTTTTTCACAAATAAAAACATCTTTTGTACGTTGATACGCCCGTTAGCGCAAAAGAAATAAAACATATTTAAGTAAATTCTACAGTGTACCCTGTGTAATCCGACATCTGCCTAATTGGTAACAATAATAAACACTCATTAACGCTAACCAGGAATAATTAGGAGATAAACATACTGTATTTTGAATATAGAGCTAGGTTACCTGGAGATTTAACCGCACTAAATTGAATTTGGAACCGTACTGGACTAAATAAAACGCGAACGCTTTGATGTTAGCAAATTTATTGAGTGAAGCGGCATGGGTTGAGTCCAGTGTTTTGAGTGGGTTGTCGACCTGAGTTAAGGATTCCCCGACAACAGCCTGTAAACATATGGCGCTGTATAAGCTCAGGCAGTTTGTTTACACCGTAATATGTCACTCGAACATATGACAGGCATTGAAAGCATATAAACACGGCAACTTGGTAAGCTAATATGATGTGTGCACGCCTACAGAAAACTAAGCAAGCTTTCGTTCTAAACCGCGCGTCACCATTATGACGTCATATCGCTCATTGTGACGCAAAAGATATGACGTCACAGTCGTGTATAGAGAAGCGCCAAGTTCAAAGCTCTCTGTTGTCCCCAAAACATAAAATACATTCTATTAAAGATTTATACCATGATTTGTGCACGAAAATTATTGCCACTCATCCTTTGACTATTTTAGTAACCGCAACTTTGCATTTTGTAACCTGTAATTGTAGGTATAACAAGAGTTTGCCACTAACGTGGCTATATCCCCCACACCTGTTGCAGAATTTATGACATAATTAAATCTAAACAAACCTAATCTTTTTTAACCAAGGTGGAACTTGTCATTGAAATTGTAGAAAAATAAGAGTTTGGAACCTAAGTCCATCTTTTTGTCATGAAAACGTAAAAAATAAAATTTCTAAAACTTCTAAATAGCAAAAGGCACTAGTTCAGCATGTACCTGACAGACCTGCAAAGTTTGATGAAAAACTATTGAACGGTTTATGAGTTATGCTCCGGAAACGAACCCTACCCTCACAGAACCTAAGTCCATCTTGTTGCCATGGAAACGTAAAAAATAAAAATTTCTAAAAGGCACCAGTCCAGCATGTACCTGACAGACCTGCAAAGTTTCATGAAAAAAATATTAGCTACCGCGGTGATGCGGACGTCAAACCAGCTGTTTTAATCAGAGAGGGTTTATTGTGATTTAATAGCCTCTGTATGACCAATCAGAATCGAGTCATTTTCAAATTCATTGTAGAATCTACAATGAACCAATGAACTGTTCATGCTTGGTGCAACACGAGGGTGTTATGATGCCGAGGTATGTTTCAGACGCAAATTTTCATAACATCTGAAGAAGTGAACGTTGTCCGAGAAGTGCGCACTTCAAATATATTTGTCAGCGATTTTGAATGTAGATCTACGCCAAACTCAGAAGATACATTTTCATTGGTTGTTCATTTCTAGCGTATGAGCGAGAGGACTTCTGTGCGAAGTTGGTGATAGGAGAGATGGAGCAGGTGACGTCACTTCCGAAACGAAGCCATCGTGGCGAATGGGTCCAGGATCGTGTCAAAATAAAAAGACGATATTGCGGAAACAAAACCCCACTCACTCACTCACTCACTCACTAACGAAGGACGTCTTTAGCCGATCACAGTTGGCATCCACGTGCTGCTCGTCATATGAAATGTTTTGTATGGCAGTTTAATAAATCCATTGCGTGTTTGCATTTAATATCAAAACAAGAGTGATATTCATTATTCACTTTATTACAAAATATATATTGACATCAACATTTCATCATGACAAATATGAATTTCATGATGGCAATCAAGCATTATTGACTAACAGTTGATACGGATAACATAATCATGTGAACATATTAAATACCTGTTCATCCCCCTACCCGTAACAGACATGTATATATAAATAGTACACAGTTGAGTGTAAACCATGCCTGGCGATACATTGTATTGAAGCCTTTAAATCAATGAGCTTGCAACAGCGTTGATTTGAACAGAGTTTGATTTATATCAGATCGTGTCAGCTTGTTGCGGGGAGGAAATCCTGAAGTGATGCAAGTCTTAGACGGGTATTGTACTGAGAAACCTTGAAACAAAATCACGATTATAAGTATCTGGCAATTCCGGCGCTTCAGACGTCAGGACCAACCGTTTCCCTGGTATGAAACAGGATGTGGAATCATAAACAATATGGACATATAACGACTTAAATAAAGAGAGACTATAATATAAGTAGAACAGATTTGTCTCACTGTTTTCAACAAATTGTAAGTACAGGAAACATTGAGAGATGAACATACAAACATGATATCAAAATTCAATATGAGCTTTCGATATTTCTTTAACAATAAACAAATATGAACAACACAGAAATACCAACAAGACGTTGCAGTTACAATGCCATCAGCAAAACAAGGAGAACATGTCCTCATTCTTTACTGTAAAAGGCGACTAACGATTTGGCGAGGTCAGGTTCGCTGACTTGTGTCCCAGTTGCGTCGATCGAAGCTCATGATGTCAATCACTGGATTGTCTGGTCCAGCCTCGATTATTTACAGACCGCCCTCATGTGGCTTGAATATTGCTGATTGCGGCGTTAAACAACAAACAAACAAACAAACAAACAGCAAAACAAGATGGTTGCTACTAATATCAGGATCAGTTCTCCGTATCTGTAGATTCCGTAAATTCATAATATCAGAAAGAATCAAGATATTGGTAAACAAATAAATGTATTATATGTGAAGTAAATAACACGCCGATAGATTGGTTGAGATACGCAACGACTGAAAAACTGATTTCGATCAAGCCTAAAAACTTATAATGTGACGATGCAGCGGGACTATTAAAACGATGGCAAAGTGAAGTATATGATTAACCTTTAGTGTTAATGTGGAAAGTGTATAAAATATATGGGATAAAGACCTTGGCCGTATTGTGACGAGACAGATGTCATTGAATCCTAACGCAACCGAGATATCTAGAAGAGGTATTTTTTTATTTGAAACAAAAGTGCTACTTAATCAAACAAACAATGGTATCTTGGCAATCCTCCTTTACCACCCCACTATATTGTTCATGTTGTTTCCATTCAACCCGTATAACAAATTTGCGTTATTTCTAATCACCAGTATTTACTAATTCATGCACGCTGTCAATACAGACTCATTCACAACAATGTACAACGGTATCATTGAAAATCAACGACATGGTATTTACAATACTGAAGAATGAGGGTGGTCTCTCCAAGGTGAAGGTCAACATCAGCTGACTAGATTGGCATCTTTCGCCAGGCCATAGAACACCCCAGCCTTGTCTTGTAACAGGACCGAGGGGGACTCAAACTCCACGATCTGTCCAGCAGCCAACACCATTATTCTGAAAATGTAGGAAAATAACATGTTGGAAGGCTTTTCGACAGTGACATACAGTAGGGTACATTCATCTTCAGAAGTAAGTCCCATCTGAACGGTCCTTTGAATTGTGATCAGGCTGCGGCTGCGTATCTAATGTATGGGTACTTAGAATGATACGTTTTAATGCAACAAAGCTGTTACGTTTGAACATGGTTCACGAGCTTCTAAATGCAACCACGAAACGTACGTTTCTCGAATTCGAGCCATAATGTTTAGTTCAATTTCGGATTAAATATAGAATGCTGGGTTATGTGACTACCACGTACACTATCAGTCGTATCACTTTACAATCACGCATATATGCTTGAAATGTACAGTATACATGAATATATAATCCATATCTATATCTCATATCGTCTCAACGCGAGGAGTGTGTGAGTTAAGGCCACATGGTGATGTTGCATGGGGACTGAGGCATTCGTGACAAACTCTGTCATTCAAGCAATTTTCGCCAGGGTACGGAAAGGGGCAAGTGTTGAATAATACTGATTAAGGGTACAAGGCATTCAAAATACTCGTGCACTATGCATGTCATTGGAAGAGAATTTTATGGGGACTGTGTGACCTAAATTATGTGTCACTGTACCCGTCGTGGCCACCAGTTTGCCTTGGCCAGACTTGATTATTAAGAAGCCAACACAATAGTTGCAAAAGTCCTGACTGCAGCGAAAGGTTCTACATTCGCTTCACTCTGTAAGGCTAATTTGACATTTCTTTCTGAATTTGTGGATCGTTGCTCATGCTATCAACCCCTGGTTTGTCTGGTCCAGACTCGATCACCTGCTGCCTCACTCACTTGTCGTAGTCCATGATGGTGTTGAGTCTGTGGGCGATGGTGAGGACTGTGCAGTCATGGAAGGCGGAGCGGATGGTCTTCTGGATGAGTTCGTCAGTTTCCATGTCGACGGCGGCCGTGGCTTCATCAAGAACCAGGATCTTCGTTTTCCTCAACAGGCTGCGGGCCAAACACACCAACTGACGCTGCCCGACACTAGAAGGACATGAACACAAATATCAAATTTACGGTGTATGTTTGTTTGTTTGTTTAACGCCACACAATATTCCAGCTATATGACGGCGGTACATAATCGAGTCTGGACCAGACAATCTTGAAACAAGCGTTGGACGTTTACCTCCTAGATAATCAGGGATTCAAACCCACGACCACACACCATGTAAGGGTAACTAGTTTTGGGGCAGGACTCGAAGCCCTTGTCTGATACCCCGCTGCTAGCGTCTCAGGTTCTGTCAGTATGTTCTGTATCAGCTCAGGGGGCAGGGATGGCCCAGTCGTCTATGGCGCCGCGATTCGCTGTGCAGAGTTGCGTCCCTTGGGCACGCCAGAAACCTATGATTGTGGGTTCGAATCTCGGGTCGCCCCGATTATGTTTCTAGGTTTGTCAGCACCATTCCCATGCTTGTGGGTTTCACCGAAGTGGTAAACGTCTGAAACCTGCATCACGATATAACTGGAATACTGTTAAAAGCGGCGTTAAAATCCAACTCACTCACTCACTCACCTCAGGTTCTGTCCTCCCTCTTCACACTCGTGTTGAAGGCCTTTAGGGACTCCGGACACAAACTCCTTCAGATGGGCTCTCTCCAGGGCCACCCACAGCTCGCTGTCTGTGTGCTCCTGGAACGGGTCCAGGTTCAATCTCATACTGCCGGAAAATAGCACCGGATCCTGCAACAGAAGCATCACTGTCACCACCTTGGCAATTTATTCGACATTTTTTATGTCGTTTTTTTATTGAAACCTGACTCATCTCACAGCTTTATCGTAGCCCTACGACCATCTTAGAAAAACTTTGTACGACCTCAGTCATAAGCCATACAGAGACATGTTTGACAGACATGATGTCATTGTTGTGAGGCGTTAAATCGTCTGTTCTTACCCCTACCACCATGTCGACGGTCACAAATTTGCATGAAAATGAAGAAAATGCTTTTATTCGGACATGAAATTACATTACAAAACTGGTATTTGTGGTTAGGTCAATGATTATTATTCGGTAATAACCAACTTTCGTTGCGAGATTGTTTTAAATGGACAACAACTGAAAACAGCAACAACATGCCAAAATGATGGTCGCATGATATGCAAATTAGCCTGTGCCAGTGGTGTTATGCTAAGTAACCACTGCGCCGTAGTGTGTGTGTAGATCTTACGAAAAGTAGTTCCTACGAAAAGTAGTTCCTACTACCAGTTGACGACCTTATTTGCATATATATCGGATCTTGATACAAAGTTTATCCGATTCGTTTATCACATCGGTAACACGAGTCTTCACAAGTATATGATAACTATTGTTATTACCCATAAAGAACCGAGTTCATAAAACTCGTATGTGCACTTGTGCAAATATCACTTCACGCGCATCAGCGTATTGTTTCCGTCATCCGTACGGCAGTGTTGACGTCATTCGAATCTTTTTGTGACGTAAGGTCGGAGTGATGTTACTCTGGGAGCGACGTCATAGCAGAAGATTATAGATTCCAATCGACAATTGAGGTTTCTTAAGACATCGGTCTTGATCAGTGAACGTTTCTAAGGGGGAGCTCAAAAGGATTAAGAAATACTGTGTACTTAAGAAATTATTACATTCGCATGTATGCTGCTCTCGCTCGGAAAATTAAAGACTTCTGACACTCGTTTCGTAAAATCAGTATGACACACATGCTTGTAAAACAATCTCTATATATGCACCTGAGGAAGAATTGTGAGTCGACTTCTAAGGTCATGGAGACCCATGTCGGCGATGTTGTGACCGTCTATCAGGATCTTGCCACCGGCGCACTCCACGATGCGAAACAACGCCAGCGTCAGTGACGACTTCCCTGCTCCGGTACGTCCGACAACGCCTATCTGTAAAACACAGTTCATACTGAGAAAAAGTTTACGAGGCCAAGTGTTGAGTGTGTGAGCTGGGTGTATAACTCCACTTCAAACAGTATTTCAGTTATATCACGACGTGTCATACTACTGTCATACTTGTATGTCGTACACGTTTCCATTTTGGTGAAACCAACAAGATCAGACATGGTGACGAAAACTAACCCATGATCATAGGATTCTGGCATGCCGAGGGAGGTAACTCTGCACAGCAAATTCCTTAGACGACAGAGCAATTGTGCCTGCTAAGTAGCGAAAGCAATTTGGTCTTAAACCTTAGAATAATGTCAGCGTAAGACCTATTGTAGGCAACACAGAATAAGCGATGCGCAATCTCTTTAAAATCAGATCTCAGTTCTCGCTACCGCTAAACAAAGATCTGAGGACATCCCATTACGGGTCACGTCAGACCCATCTTGCGCGAACTTTGACCGACCAATGGAATGACCAATCAGAAGGCAGCTTTCTCGTGCTTTACGGCACTAATTTCAAATTGGCGACTACGCTTCGAAACATATTTTGAAAAATTCTCGATTACAAATTTGAAACCTAAACAAAAGAACATTCTGGAATGGCTAATAGATAGTCTAGATTGTATGGATTCAGTCGTTAAACCCGTAACTATCGTTCGGAGTTAAAGTTTTCGAGGTTGCATGATCAGAAATCACATTCCGACTGTCACTTTCATAATCTGGTAAGCGATGCTCTGATAGGTCGTATGAAAGGTCGTTTTGACGTGACCCCTGATGGGATGTCCTCAGATCGATCTTTGTTTAGCGGTAGCGGGAGCTGAGGTCTGATTTGCGATGCCTTTTTATTCCTTGTTGGGGAAGGGGGGGGGGGGGGGGGGGTTGAAAACGTCAGATACCTGCATCACTTCGGGCTTTCCTCTCACATAAAACTGACACGCCGTGATATTACTGGAAGAGTGTTCAAACTTACTCACTCATCACTTGTTGACTGAAATAGTGGTAATTATATATCAAAGGAAAATTCTAACAGCGAAACACCGTTTCCGTTCACATTGAAAACGTTCCGGTGTATACTTCATTGGGTTAACGATTTATCAGTATTGCTAAATGATCAGATATATGTGAAGTAACGCACCTTACAGCAATTGACCAGAATATGGTGTTTCTGGACAAACAAGGTTTCTGGGTATATAAGGCAGGCTATAAAATATACCCAAATTTATCGGCTAATAGATTTCATCACAAGGCTACTCATCACAGAAACCTTAAAAATATTTGGTTGTATAAAACGTAAACAAATGCCTAGAAAATCGTCAGTTTATTTTTTGAAGCAATATTAATAACTACAGTAACGAAACAACGTTCTCGGTTTAATTTGAAATACAAACAATTCTCAGAAACAATACTTCTCTTATGCACTCTACTGTCTCTAGTTATCTTTGAATGACTTCGATGAAGAGATAAGAAAGAGCTTCGTAATGGTCACCTTTTCGCCTGGCTTGATTCTACAGTTGATACCCTTCAGAACAAGGTCAAGTTCAGGTCGGTACCTGACCTGAAGGTCATCAAACTTGACCTCTCCTTCAGTTGGCCAATCAGCTGGCGGCTTCTTATCGGGGACTGTCCAGGCGGCCTGGGAGACAGAGACGCACGTTAATATTTGCATGTACTGATTTCTGCAAACTCCCATATAACTAGGATCTTCATGTTTGAACTAGGTCAGGTGATCAGGTGTAAATTCGAAACTTGAACGGAATAGTCCAGAATGGTTGATTTTCGTGCAACAATTTGGTACCAATAGCAACATGTATGACCCGTGAAGATCCGGGGGTAGAATAGGTCTTCAGAAACCCATGCTTGCCGTAAAAGGCGACGGCGACTTTGTTTGCCGTAAGAGGCGACTAACGGGAACGGGTGGTCAGACTTGCTGACTTGGTTGATGCATGTCATCGATCTCAATGCGTGGATCGATGTTCATGATGTCAATCACTGGATTGTCTGGTCCAGACTCGATTATTTACAGACCGCCGTCATATAGCTGGGATATTGCTGAGTGCGGCGTTAAACAACACATAACCAAAGAAACAAAAGAAACAAACAAACAAAGCAACATGTATAATATAGAAATACGTTATATGTTAAACATGTTTTTGAACAAATGTGTCTTCTTATAGAAGAAATGAAAATACGGGAGAATGTCTTAGAACATAACAAACCGATGTAGATATGACATATGTTTAAAGTTTGACCTTGAGTCAGCGACATTATCCGATCAGGATCACGTGATGGTATTTTTAGTAGACATTAAACATGGACTGACAGCAAGTTGCCGAATCCTAGCAAAACTGAGGGTCGACCTATTGACGAGATAAAGTACGGCATGTGTTGTAACTACTGCTGTCATGTTTGTTTACTTTTTTATATTGTTGTTTCATATTGCAGTTCCGTACTGCAGGTTTCATATTGCAATATGAAACAGCAATACGGAACTGCAATATGAATTGCAGTTCCGTATTGCTGTTTCATATTGCAGTTCCGTACTGCTGTTTCATATTGCAGTTCCCTATTGCTGTTTCATTTTGCAGTTCCGTACTGCAGGTTTCATATTGCAGTACCGTACTGCTGTTTCATATTGCAGTCCCGTATTGCTGTTTCATATTGCAGTTTCGTACTGCTGTTTCATATTGCAGTTCCGTATTGCTGTTTCATATTGCAGTTCCGTATTGTTGTTTCATATTGCAGTTCCGTATTGCTGTTTCATATTGCAGTTCCCTATTGCTGTTTCATTTTGCAGTTCCGTACTGCAGGTTTCATATTGCAGTACCGTACTGCTGTTTCATATTGCAGTTCCGTATTGCTGTTTCATATTGCAGTTCCGTATTGCTGTTTCATATTGCAGTTCCGTACTGCTGTTTCATATTGCAGTTCCGTATTGCTGTTTCATATTGCAGTTCCGTACTGCAGGTTTCATATTGCAGTTCCGTATTGCTGTTTCATATTGCAGTTCCATACTGCTGTTTCATATTGCAGTACCGTACTGCTGTTTCATATTGCAGTTCCGTACTGCTGTTTCATATTGCAGTTCCGTACTGCTGTTTCATATTGCAGTTCCGTACTGCTGTTTCATATTGCAGTTCCGTATTGCTGTTTCATATTGCAGTTCCGTATTGCTGTTTCATATTGCTGTGTTGATGGCATGTGACTTAATAACATAACTCTTCGTTAGGAAAATATGTCTTAAACGTATCATTGCAACTCACGTTTCTGTCGCGCATGCGCGTGTTCTAGTGTCGTACTTGCGGTCAATCTATCACCCTATACAGCCGATGATCCTAGCTGCCATATCCTAGCTACGTCCTGATCCGCTGATACTATCTAACATATTTTGTTTGTTGTTTAACGCCACACTCAAATATATTCCTGCGGTCTGTATATAATCGAGTGTAGACCAGACAACCTAGTGATTAACATCATGAACATCGTTCCACGCAGTTAGGATACGATTACATGCATCAATCGAGTCCCCGAGCCTGACCAACTGATTCTGTTTGTCGCCTCTTCTGACAAGCATGAGTTGCTGAAGACCCGGATCTTCATCTTCTGTTCGCCGACTGACAGCTACGATTCACGCTTTCATAACTTTCTACAAAACTCCGATGCTGAATGTGGCACCAGCGCAGTCGTGTATTAACGAGCAGGTTCCCGTTGCACAAAGCGATCTTAGCGCTACGACTATGGTAAGCCTATGTTAAGGTATGGGTTGACCTCAGTCCTGAGATCGCTTGTGGAACGGAGCCTATTAGCGGTCTGACACACATCATGCAATCAGGACACGCCATCCGGCTAGAAACATCGTATGTCCACTAGCTTACAGCAACATCTAGTATTAGACTTGATATATAGGCTAATGGACACGCTATCCGGCTAGAAACATCGTATGTCCACTAGTTTACAGCAACATCTAGTATTAGACTTGATATATAGGCTAATGGACACGCTATCCGGCTAGAAACATCGTATGTCCACTAGCTTACAGCAACATCTAGTATTAGACTTGATATATAGGCTAATGGACACGCTATCCGGCTAGAAACATCGTATGTCCACTAGCTTACAGCAACATCTAGTATTAGACTTGATATATAGGCTAATGGACACGCTATCCGGCTAGAAACATCGTATGTCCACTAGTTTACAGCAACATCTAGTATTAGACTTGATATATAGGCTAATGGACACGCTATCCGGCTAGAAACATCGTATGTCCACTAGCTTACAGCAACATCTAGTATTAGACTTGATATATAGGCTAATGGACACGCTATCCGGCTAGAAACATCGTATGTCCACTAGTTTACAGCAACATCTAGTATTAGACTTGATATATAGGCTAATGGACACGCTATCCGGCTAGAAACATCGTATGTCCACTAGTTTACAGCAACATCTAGTATTAGACTTGATATATAGGCTAATGGACACGCTATCCGGCAAGAAACATCGTATGTCCACTAGCTTACAGCAACATCTAGTATAAGACTTGATATATAGGCTAATGGACACGCTATCCGGCTAGAAACATCGTATGTCCACTAGTTTACAGCAACATCTAGTATAAGACTTGATATATAGGCTAATGGACACGCCATCCGGCAAGAAACATCGTATGTCCACTAGTTTACAGCAACATCTAGTATAAGACTTGATATATAGGCTAATGGACACGCTATCCGGCTAGAAACATCGTATGTCCACTAGTTTACAGCAACATCTAGTATAAGACTTGATATATAGGCTAATGGACACGCTCGCCTCGGGAAGATGGAGGCATCACAGCCCGCTTGACTTCCATTGTCAGTCAGTGCACCAAATGGTAATCGGGGTATGTCGACCATGATATATGTAACTATTGGTACATGTCCCTCGACTATGAATCTGACAGTAGCCATTTTGTCTGTACTCTGTCACGTGATCCGGAATGGATCGAAATATCCATAATGAGTGTGTAAGTATGATTTTACGCCGCTTTTAGCAATATTCCACCAATATCACGACGGGGGACACCAGAAATGGGCTTTACACATTGTCCCCATGTGGGGATTTGAACCCGGGCCTTTGGCGTGACGAGGGTGCGCATTAACCACTTGGCTACCCCACTGCCCGTGTTAGGAATGAATTACCCACCTCGCGAGGAATCTCACTATATTCCACCATTCTCTCGACGGACACTACGTTGGTTTCTAGGTCAGTGGTGATCTGTACCATGGCGATCAGCGTACCGGTCATCTGGATGGCAAACATATTCACATGAATACACACGGGCGAACAGTGAGGTGGTATAATTTAACTAAGCGATTGAATGTTTTAACGCCAACACCGTTAGCAAGTGAGTAAGTTTTAAACCGCTTCAATCTTATTAAAATCAGATCTTAGTTCTTGCTACCGCTAAACAAAGATCTGAGGACATCCCATTACGGGTCACGTCAGACCGACCGTGCGCGAACTTTGACCGACCAATGGAATGACCAATCAGAAGGCAACTCTCTCGTGTTTTACGGCACTACGGCGACTACACTTCGAAACATATTTTGACAAATTCTCGATTACAAATTTGAAACCTGAACAAAAGAACATTCTGGGATGGCTAATAGATAGTCTAGATTGTATGGATACAGTCGTTAAACCCGTAACTATCGTTCGGAGTTACAGTTTTCGAGGTTGCATGAGTAAACATCACATTCCGACTGTCACTTTCACAATCTGGTAAGCGATGCTCTGATTGGTCGGATGAAAGGTCGGTCTGACGTGACCCGTAATGGGATGTCCTCAGATCTTGGTTGAGCGGTAGCGAGAACTGAGATCTGATTTTAATGAGATTGAAACCGCTTTTAGTACTATTCCAGCAACATCAATATAATTATACTGACCTGCAGGGCATACGACACGGACAACCCTACGATGCCGCTTGAAAGGCCTGGCGTGACGACGGCGAATATGGCCGCACTGAGAATGATGATGTTTCCTAGAAACTCCAGTCGCATCTTCATCCATCTGTAACAAACCACTGACATTTATCTTGGGATCCATGACAGATTGGTGTTGTTTGTTAGTTGTTCTACACAGCTGCCGGTAATATTCCATCTATATGACGGACTATTATGTTCCCTTACCCCTGTTGCAATAAATTACACGAATACGACTGGGAGCTGTCTTAATGAAGAAGAAGAAGAAGAATATTTTATTATAGTGTCACCCGCTGTACATATAAAATGACAAGGCAAGAATGTAAAAATTCAGCGGCCGGCCAAAATGGCCTCCGAGACACTAAAAGACTCATAAAAACACTATTTTATATATGTACACACCACATTTAATAGCAATTATGAAAATAACATTCATAATATTATCCCCCATACAAACATCCTATACACACACAACCACATCCATTCCCACATCCAGGCCCCCTTCACTCACAGCAGCTTACGCAAACCACGCAAACACACCCGCACATTCAGACACACCCAAACCCTCATTGACATCACTTCAATCACATCCGAACCCTCGCTCGAACCCTCACCGTCAAAAATCACTCTCACACACACCCTATTTCTTAAACACACCCTCACCTGTATCCGTTCCCGCATCCACACCAACTCCCTCATCCGCACCCATCAACCACGTCCTCACTCGCATCCACATCCCTCCCCGTCTCCACAAAAAAGAAGCACCAACCATGCACAAAGAAACCAACAAAGTAACAATCTACCGCCGCATACACACACTCCCTCCCAACGACCCCCCCCCCCCCCCCCCCCCCCCCCACACACACACACACACACACACTCACACACACCCGCGACAACATGAAACAAGCACCCATCACAACCCCTCGGGCCAGCCACCCATCACAACCCCTCGGGCCAGCCACCCATCACAACCCCCACACATCAACCCTACAACACAGCAAAACATGATAGATGATAATACACCAATACGTCTCGTACCTCATCGCCGCCAGCGCAGCATAGTGGAAGATGTTGTTTTTGTCGACTCGCTTCAGAGACTCGTCACAGAAACGTTCGACGGCGTCGTAAGCTCGGATAGAACTGGCGCCTGTGATGGTCTCGGTGAAGTGGGAGTAGATGGGGGAGCGGGTGGTGGAGTGGTAGCGCCGGAACTGACGGGACGTGGGGATGTACATCCTCTGTAACAAGAGTGGGTGAGTGGGTGAAGAAGGGAGTGTGTGACTGAGGGAACAGGGGATCCTGGCACGCATACGGCACGTAACTCTGCTACATAGCGAATTGCAGCGCCTTAGTTTAAGAGCAATACATTCGTCACCACTCGCATCTTTCCGTAACGAGTTGGTCACGAATGGAAGCAATATGTAGTAATCTTTCGGCTTTTCCAGGATTGACACGAATGGCAGTCGTGTGATTCAGTGGATTTCAAATGGATTTACGACGTAATTCGACGCCTCAACGCAGGTTGCGTCCATATTGATGGGGTGGTGAGGTAAAGCGTGTGTTTAACACTTATATAGCGACGTGCATGTACGAGTGTGTGTGTGTCTCTTCATAGTACTAGCTCACTGAGATACGATGCCAAAGTTTAACATAGATGACACATTTAAACTCCTGACGCCGAGCCGACCAGTCCTTGTTTAGCCCCTTAATGCCGAGCGCCAGGCTGGGTAATAACAAGTACCATCTTTAACGTCTTTTGGTATGAGAGGCCAGGGATTGTACCATCGGCCTTCCGCACTCCGAGCAGACACTACCACTAAGACCACTGAGGCTGTCTCTTCTATGTGTGAAGATTGCAGTGAGGTTACCTGCACGAAGAAATACACCAGCAATGTCGGTATAGCTGCCGCCAGGAACAAGGGTGTGCTGTAGGCGATCACGATGAGGACGCTGAAGACGTTAAACAAAGTTGCCAACCACTGTCGAGTTATTCGGGGCAGATGGTTGTCCACGATGTCCACATCTCGAGTAAAGCGGTTCAGTATTCGACCAGTGGGCGTTGTGTCGAAGAAGGTCATTGACTGCCTCAGGATGTTGTCGAGGAGGTCCCTGTGCATGATGCTGGCAGCCCGCACCATCTTCCGGTACGTCACCATGACGTATAACATGACGAGAACAGCTGCAACAACGGGAAATGAACTACAAATATAATAATCATTATTCCAGGACATATAACGTAATTGTCGTGGATTGTCCTGACCTTCACATTGTTTTTCTCATCACATATTTGACCGCCTCCTTGGTCTAGTGGTAGAGCGTCCGCCTGGAGAGCGCAAGGCCGTGGGTTCGATCCCCGCCGCGTCATACCAAAAGACATTTAAAACATGTTACTTGTTGTTACCCTGATTGGCGCTCGGCTTTAAAGGGATAAAACAAGGACTGGTCGGCTCGGAGTCAGTATACTGTGTCTGAGTGGGATATTCATGTTAAACTGCAGCATGGTATCTCAGTGAGCTAGCACTATAAATCGGCATTAGTCCGGACTAGTACAAGCAGCCACACACACACACACGTACACGCACGTCGCAATATTAGTGCATTAATCGTGGACGCGACGTTAAACCCCATTTCACATCATGACAGATACGTCACTATTTTAATGACACATACATGTAGGTTCTATAAGTCCTCATGACTCACAACTTAAAACACCTGTAAAAATGTTTTAGAATGTAAATACACAAAAGACAGGAATGTGGTTCAATCCTAAACGGTATAGACATTATATGTGTTCCATCTAATCAAGCTTTAATAGGGTCTGAACACATGAAATGAGCTACCGCTTTATAACCTAAATATCTTCTAAACACAATATTCCCATACACCAAACACATTTAGAATTTAAATACATTTAAACATGTTTTAAAAAGTGCATATCATTAGATTGTAGGTCACGCATGGATGAGATGTATAATATATATTGAAATTAGATGTACAAATCTGATTCACAGGCATATGCATAAAATATATACCACTATGACTTACCACGAAATTGGTACAATATTAACATTAAAATGTACAAAAAACAAAGCTAATGCTAACGAGGAAACTTGACACTTTAAACCACAACAGTCTCCGTAGCAGAGGTGGTAGCGTGACGGACTATAAATCCCACCGAGAATAAATCATTGTGTTCATCAGCGAGCTGTTGCTGTGTGCTTATTATATTTCTGTCATACAGGGAGCTGATAATTAACCCTCCCCAGACAGTCAATATGCTCATGATGTCAATCACTGGATTGTCTGGTCCAGACTCGAATATTTACAGACCGCAGTCATATAGCTTGAATATTGTTGAGTGCGGCGTTAAACAACAAACCAACAAACAATGATGATAAGCCACCTAGTGAAAGAAATACTGACATATTACGAGTGCCTGAGTGGACAGTGTAATTCACTTTTGAAGTTAACTTTACAAACTATTTCTGTCTGTGATGACACGTGTCCTGTTACTCATCACATGTCACGACACATGTGTCGTATTGTTATGACACATACATCATTCTTTTCACGATGCGGATATTATAATATTTATTGTCTGACTCCGCATTAATCCAAATAAATGTAACTTAACCACGAAAATTACGTTAAACGATGGTACTTGTTACCCTGGCTTGGCGCTCGATATTATGGGAATAAAACACGGACTGGCGCGGCTTGGACGCAGAATAAAGTGTCAGAGTGGGGTATCCATGTTAAACTGCGGCATGGTATCTCAGTGGGCTAGCACTTAAAACAACAAGCGCATGTCCAGACGAGTACAAGCAGCCACACACACACACGTGCATGCAAGTCGCTTTATAATTAATGCTCAAGTGACACTCATGTGCGAGAAATTCTAATTCAAAATCCATGGGGAAGTCACTTCCTTAACAAATATTTCCGTTTTATTCATAGTCCGCAATCTGCATCGTTACTTACCTTGAGCCAATGATAGGAAGCAATATATCCCAAGGTAATAGTAGGAAAGCGCTGATAGGTCGACCTCCGTGGCGTTGGCGGACAAGGAGATGTTATTCAGACTGGGGTCGTCGGTCCAGATGCTGAGCCACACGTTGGTGGAAATGCCGCTGATTTGGAAGATGAAGAAGAGGAAGAAGATGAGGACAGCCGCAGACGCACCCAGAGCCCGGAAGTAGGATTTGAGGACGGAGAACTTCACCTGCAAAAGGGAAATTATGTTTGTATTCAAACTCTTTTATCACGCATCTCTTGGTGAATATGACATGAATAGAGAGTCGCGTCAGGTAAACTTTCTTATCAACCAGTCAGTGTCGAGGCGTTAAAATACTCGGTACGAGGGATCGAAGAATTTAAACAAGCACATTTCATTTCTGTATCTCGAAAATGAATATTATCGGTTCCGAATGCAAATAAAAATCCGTTAATAATGTATGCAGCCCACGTTTCTGATCGCCCTACTAACAATAATATTTGTGTTTTTATGATTCTGATCTCTGTTCGCTCTAAATCCTGGTTAGTCTGATTGTAGGTGGCACGAACACATATTGTCGATGTCTTATATTTCGACTTTTATTTATAATTCTTGATCCAAGGTAGATGAGGAATTTATTCATAAAAGCTACATTTCCTTCTTCGTATGATCAGGTACAAAATGTAGAAAGGGACCTTCGGGGCTGTATACTTTTCTTGACGCTTGGAAACGTTTTTATCAGACATGAGATAATAATCCGTGACGAAAAAGGCAGAATTTCGCTGTGAGAGAGTTTGGTTTTACGGTACTGAGTGTATGTTTGAACAGTATTTCAGTTGTATCAGCTCCTGTTCGCTTGATGTGGGAGGAAGGCCCGAAGTGATACAGTTGTAGACGCTTTCTGCGCAAACCCACGAGCAGGGGTAAGTGCATCTTCCCGAGACAAGAGCGTTAACTGACTTTAAAGTCCAGTTTCCACCCTTGCCGAACTAGGCTGGAATTACTGGGCTCCATCGTAGCGCCACCAGTGCCTATTACGAGTTATGTCCCTTCTATGCCTCTCCTATTGACCAATCAGATTCCACCTCTCGTATCACTTGCAATTGCTTCAAACAAAACGGTGGCGCCCAGTCAAGACGATCTGATCGTGCACATGCTTTGCAAATCCTGCAATCGACCGAAATCTGCATGACACATTACGAACTGGATTTCGATTTCGGTGGGCGATTTTGATTGGACTCGTTAGTCCAGCCAAAATGTAACTCCATAATACCAGCCTAGTTCGGCAAGGATGGAAACTGGACTTTTATAGTCAGTTAACTCCCTTGCCTCGAGAAGATTAGGTTAGTGCTAACAAACCAGTGCTCATAATCATGGCCAATCTGGCAATCAAATCATCGCCAGAAGAACCAGATTCGATTAAGGGAAGCAACTCCGAATTCCGGCGCCTAGACTGCCCAAATCGCAGTTAGAATTAAGCGATTGAATGAATGGTTTGTAAAATATAAGAATTGTATGAACACAAGATAATTTAAACCTGTATATCTGCATCACGATTATATATGTTTGTCTCGGGGCGACCGTTTCCAGACAATCTTCTAGTTAAAATGTGGACTAATGTTTATTAGCCGTCACTGACACTGACCCTCCCGATCTCGTACTTCTCATCCTCTGTGAGTCTGTGTTCTTCTTCCTCCTCCTCTTTGTCATCAGCAACAGACCCGGCCCTCTCCTCATTCGGGCAATCATTTTCGTCTGTGAGGACACTGAAATAAAAAAATTAATGATGACGAAAACTGTAACACAACTGGTGCGGTGCGGTGCGGTGCGGTGCGGTGCGGTGCGGTGCGGCGCGGTCCGGTGCGGTGCGGTGCGGTGCGGTGCGGTGCGGTTCTCTGTCCACTGCACAATAAGCAGTGATTGAAACGCGATACCAACTATTAGAAACTTCTGATTGTATTCTTCTTGTTATTTTCTGTGTCATGAAATCCAAATGGTATGCAGTTTGTAAGTATGTACCACATTGGTAGACCAACATTTTTGTTTTTGAAATTATTTTAATATATTTTTTTTCAATTGTCTTTTAATATAAACTGCCGGGCAAAACAATGTATATACTCGAAAATTAGACTTGGCCCAAATTTACAAACGTTATCAAAACGTTCCTAGGCTGAAACAGTCGCCGAAACACCGCAAACGTAAGGTCAAATACACAAGTATGACACCTGTATGAAATACATCATCATCGACTTATCATTGGGGCGGTCGGATAGCCTAGTGGTTAAAGCGTTAGCTCGTCACGCCGAAGACCCGGGTTCGATTCCCGACATGGGTACAATGTGTGAAGCCCATTTCTGGTGTCCCCCGCCGTGATATTGCTGGAATATTGCTAAAAGCGGCGTAAAGCCTCACTCACTCACTCACTCGACTTATCATTCTTGTTTGTTTCATTATAAGCCATCATTAAACATTGGTGTATACTAACTTTTACAGATAGTTTATGATAGAAACTTCATCAGATGTCATGAATCCCTGGTTTGACAAAGAATCGTAGGCTCAGCTTAATTATTTCCTTTGTTTCAGGGTCTGTAGGATCTCCCCCTTGGTGCCATCACGAGCCTGGGTGTGGTGCTGACTGACCAAGGGTCATATAAGGCAGAATCCAGTATTCTTTACCCACGATATACGGATCCTTGTTGGACCCAACAGACCAACTGACACACTGCGTGTTGTCGTGTGGGCGTGACTCAAAGACATCCAAGCATGTTTGCACTGTGAGAGCTTTGTCCTGGTTTTCGGGGAAGACAATGCTTGGCTTACCTTGTAGACCTTTGTAGACTGATATCTCTGTCTAGTGGGGCAGCAGGAAGTGACGAAATGGAATGAGAGTTGAGACTAGAAGCCAGCGGGCTGAAGTGAGGTGACAGGGTCAAAGGTGATTTTCCTATGGAGGTCACGGAGTCGACTCTCTCGAGTATCTTCGCCCGGATCTCTTGTACTAGAAGGTACAAGAAGACACTTCAATATACGTGACATAGGCGTTAACCCAAACTCACTCATTCCTTATAAACGTACCGTTATTAAATGATTGAATTGTATAATAACAATGCAACTTAGTCTTTCCACATAGTTTTCACGATTTCACGCATAAAGTAGGAACATTCAAACGTAATCCTTCATCACTGTATCAGCCACCCCGATGCTTCTTCAAGTCCCCGGGACGTGGTTGGCCCGGTCCTGCAAGTGGCCGCTCGCTGCTCAGAGTTAGACGTACAAGAAACCTACGGTCGTGGGTTCGAATCACAGATTCAGCATGAATATGTTTCGACGTCAACGCCATACCACTGTTCGTCCGTTTCACAAAAGCGGTGAACGTCAATGATTGAAGTACTGTTCAAAGCGTTGTTAAACCAAAATAACTCACCCACTCTCAATCAATAGGTACCAAGCTCATTGTTATCTTTTTTATTAGAGATATTATTATATTTATAAGGATATGTTTTCGTTCATTGCCATGAAAGTCATCTTCCCGAGGCAAGAGCGCCCACTAGCTTATTTATCAATGAAACTGGCCTTCGATACAGGCTAGTGGACAAGCTTGCTTCAGGTAGATGGTGAAGGTAGGATCCGAACATATCTTTATCATAACATATTCTTTTCAGGGCATCAGGAATGTGCAGGGAAAAAAAACCTTTTTCACCAGCTTAATTTTGAAGAATAAAACATTCCTCCCACCATCCGTCTATACATACATTCGTCGTCCTCGCCGACATCCTGGGATCCCTCCAACAAATATGCTTTCAGGAACTGGGCGAAGGCACCGTCGTGGTTTAGAAGTTCCTCGTATGAGCCAACCTCGCTTATCTCCCCTTGATCCATGACAACGATGACGTCAACCATAGGTAACCAATGAACGCCGTGGGTTACTAGTACCCTAGTCTGCAGTGGTGGATGTCACAGGTTTAGACATTTTACCCCTCCATACATTTCAAATTATATGTAATTTCACGCAATAGACGTGAATTTGTCAGTGTGTTTTATCTGCCAATGGCATGTATGATGCTTACTGGTATTTTCAAACCTCTTGTCAAGAAAGACAGTTTGGTATTGTCTACACGCAAACTGGGTAAAAAACGAAGGTCAGGTCAAACAGCTGAACATCTCCAATACAGAAGGACAATAACTAACTATAACTACCTAACCTATATAATTATATATACACCTAACTTTAAGTTCGAGTTCGAATGAAACAGTTTATGATTGTCTTCCCTGTACAAAAATAACCCACGAACAATCAGCGGACTCGGGATAAGTCCAGGAGAGAAAGACGGAGGACACATTACCTTGTCCTTCAGAATTCCTTCGTTACCGATGACGTTTCTGAAGATGTGTTTGCCGACGTGGGAGTCGACGGCGCTGAGCGGATCGTCAAGGAGGTAGATGTCCCTGTCGCTGTAGACGGCCCGTGCAAGTGACACTCTCTGTTTCTGGCCTCCGCTCAAGTTGATACCCTAATAATAATAATAATAATAATAATAATAATAATAATAATAATGTAGATAATGTAGATTATGTAATGACGTTAATGAGACACATTGTCAGTGGATGCCCAGCCTTGGCACAAACGACATGATGGTGTAGCTCGATCATTTTATTGCCGTCTTCGCCATGCTTGTGGTTTTGACACAGAGGTCCACCCATGGTACGATGGTATGTAGAGGGCGTCATGGAAAAAGATAAAATACAAAATTCTTTGGAACAGAACAAACCTGATCTTGTCCTGTTTGTAATGTGATTGACACGATTCAGGAAAAACATGGCAAATATGCGGACTTCGCTGCATCCCAGATACCAAGTTGTCCGACTCCCCATTGTTCTCGGTGCCTTAGGTTTGGTACCTTCCAATCTGTTGACTGACATTGGGAGAGTACCCGGATTTGCTACCAGGAATACAGCCCTTCTGACAATCTGGGTAATGCAGAAGGCTGCAGTGTTGGGGAGTCTTCACATTCTCCGAAAAGTTTACTGACACCGAGTTTACTGACAGTTTTCTGACACCGAGCCGACCAATCTCTGTGCAGCGATTTATCCAGGATTCCAGACGTGTCTTTGGCAGGCAATTTAGGAAGAAATTGTTAATTTGCTCAAACAGGTCAATGAAAACAAGTCACGTCTACAAAGTCATAATGTCAGATATCCTTGAATGACCGAAACGTTTTTTACTACGTTTCGTTGCTTAGTTAACTTTTAGTATACTCGGTTTCGTTTCCTTCCCCGTTCTCCAATTTCCCTGTGTAGCACAATGGCAGCCTCCAGCCAGGAGTGTTCACCATGTGCACTACCGATGGAAAATACAGTGTTTTACGTTTGCACTCGCCGTGGCGTCCTTTAGTCACTAAGAACCGCCATTTCCTCGCCTGTGTTTTCACATTAATTATTACCATCAGCCATGAATTGGGAATTTGTAATTTCAATTTGGGAATTTTTAGGGACCTCTGAGCAGGTCTAGAAAACTCCCTGTCGTTTAACTCATTTTATGTCGAGCGCCAGGCAGGGTGACAACAAGTACTGTCATTTAACGTCTATTAGTATGACGCGGCCAGCTGATCGAACCACCGACTTTCCACTTTCCTCGCAGACGCTCTCTCTACCAGATCACGCAGGTCTTTTTATCAAACAAACCAGCGGTTACAACGTTGAATAATTTCTGTTTTAGTTTGACGCTGAAGCGAAAAACGAAGATATTTGCATTTTGCCGTCCTGTTCATCTTGTGCGATGTTGATGAGCGATCTTCCTAAGACTTCTTAACTCACCTTTTCTCCTATTTCCGTGTTCTCTCCTCCCGGAAGTACTTCCAGATCGGCCTCCAGTGAGCATGCGTGGAGCAGATGTCTGTATTTAGTCTCATCATGTGGAGTTCCGAACAGAATGTTCTTGCGCAAGGAGAGGTTTTGCATCCATGCTTGTTGCGGAACATAGGCAACAGAACCCTGTAAACAGAACATGTTCAGGACGTGTTTATGAAACAGAGCCTAGTGGACAGAGCATTTATATCAATGATCTACTTATAAAACAGTGGACATAACATGATAATGGCATAATGATGCGGGCAACTACACAAGTGCAGGTCGAACATGCATCGGATAAACCCGCATTGAAGCCAGTCAGTAGAAGCCCATGAGAACACCGTGGGGAGTCCAGGTTAGAATATATGCTACCTATGTACATTCAAATACCCTTGTGTCGAACTTTGATGTGTCGAACGTACGGTTGTCTCGCAGTAGAAGTTTCGTCCCTACGTATTTTTTCCATATCCATAATTTGTCGGTTGTGTCGAACCTCCGATAACTCGAAGTAATTACAACTTCGACACAACTGTGTTTGACTGTAAGTCGTAAGAGGCGAATAAATGGATCAGTGGGGCAGCCTGTAGATCTACAGATACAGATGTTGTCATTGAACAAGGGCAGTTTGATGTTAGGGGCTTACCTTCATACGGACATCGCCGTGGATCTTCTCCATCTCGCCGAGGACTGCCGACAGCAGGGATGACTTGCCTGCTCCAACCTGACCCACAATAGCGACCAGCTGACCCTTCTTCACCTTGAAGTAGATGCTGTAAATAAATGGGTGAAGTGAATAAACGGCATAAAGACAGACAGGCATAAAAATAAATATATTTAAAAAAATATATATATATACAGTAAACTACGGTTATAACGAACACGCTTATAACGAACTGACGGATATAACGAACTTACTTTTTGGTCCCGACTACTTGCTGTAGTCATGCTGTATATGTACTTATAACGAACTACGGTTATAACGAACTAAAATTAGTAGTCCCTTTGAGTTCGTTATAACCGTAGTTTACTGTAGTGTTCAAAATAATTAAATGGTTGAAATAAATAAACGGGTAAAAGGCAGGCAGGCAGGCAGACAGACAAATAAATAAGTATAGTGATTAGAAATAATTAAATGGGTGAAATACGTAAACGGGATAAAGGCTGGCAGGCAGACAAAAAATAGATTAGAAATAATTAAGTGATTAGAAACAAATGAATAATTAAATGGGTGAAATACATAAACGGGATAAAGGCAGGCAGCAGCCAACAGAAAAATAAATAAAGTGATTAAAATTATATAAGGATTAAAACAAAAAGGGTAATAGCCAACTTTAAGCATATGCGTTTGTATACCGGTGTGTGCTGTCGTCAGCTAAATGCGGATAGATAAACACAATAATGTAACTATTTCTGCACCTACTTCTTCAGTATCTTGTCGGAATCTCTGTCCCAACTGAATTGGCCGTGTTCAATGCTTATCACATTATCTGAAAAACAGTAAAAAGATTTTTTTTGCAAATTTCACATTTAAGCAAAGCAACACCTTCGTTGTGAATTTTATTAGCACAGATCCTTCAATACAAATAGCTGTATATTATGTTTTCTAAATACATAGAAAACGACTTCGCCAAAAGGTCAAATATTGTTTTTCTGTGTTACATCCCACCAACCCTCTCACTCTTGATAACTTCTAGGCGCCCAGCAATAGCAGGAATATTGCTGGGTCCACCGTTTAACGTCGTTCTCATCAAATCTCATTTACCATGTGACTTTATAACACCTGTTATAAACCCACTGCCACTTATTGTATTGTAGACCGCCTCCGTGGTCTAGTGGTAGAGCGTCCGCCCGGAGAGCGGAAGGTCCGGGGTTCGATCCCCGGTCGCGTCATACCAAAAGAAGTTTAAAGATGGTACTTGTTGTTACCCTGTCTGGCGCTCGGCATTAAGGGGCCTAAACAAGGACTCGTCGGCTCGGAGTCAGTATACTGTGTCTGAGTGGGGTATTCATGTTAAACTGCGGCATGGTATCTCAGTGAGCTAGCACTATAAATCAGCATCAGCAAAAGCCGTATTAACTTTACAATCGTCTCTTTATAACGCACCAAATGTAAATTGGATTTTTAAAAAGACGGGTTATAAGCCAGAGAAAGCACTACTCCTCGGATTTGGTTGGCAATATTAATGTAACACTCGGGAGTTTCGTTTCCCGGTTTACATTGTCAACCAAAACCTCGTGAGCGTGTTTTCTCCAATACTTAACGTGCACCTCAGGAAAGACAGTACATCATTTGTAGGATCGTGAGGATGAAGATGATGAGGAAACAGTTAGTCAAATAAATCATAAACTATTATATCGGTATCAAGAACCCTGTAAACTGTAACAATCTCACATACCATGGCGGTATAAGTGCAATGTTCTAACGGTGTTATTACTGTTATTAACCTAACCTGCTACTGATCCTCAATACAAATACCTGTATGTTATGTCAATTGAATTGTTTCCACAATTGTTACAAAAGATAGCAATAACGATAGGCAAAGAATTTAATGGAATTCATCACCAGAGCGTACCAACGTTCCATAGAATTCTTAATTTCACCACGAATGTCCACAATACATTTCTGTATCAATCAAAAACTAGGACAACGATGTGTTTGTTTGAATGGGCAATACCGCCAGCCGTTAACAAAGGGGAGAATAGCGAGGCTCAACCGGGCGTTTATTAAATGCAGGTGCTTTCAAGTTCGAGAAATGTTCACAATTAAACAGTTTTAGAATATGCACACCATCTGTGACGTTCATTAATCATTAGTTTCATTTGCAGTCTGTCAACGGTGAATATCTGCGCTCTCATAACGTTGTATACATCCCAGGTCGATGTGTAGATGTTAACAAACCACTGAGTCACATGTCCAAATATACATGTAAATTCATATTTATTTTAATATGTTATAATATATCTTTAAATTGGTTATGCTTATGGACTATGCTTATATAGATAAGTGATTAATTTCAGGAGCTCCTCATGCGTATCTGTTATATAATACATGTCCTCGTGAGCTGTTCGCTCCAGAAAGTTTGTTTATTGCGCAAGGGAATGACAATTATACTGATGTCAGAAGATGAATTTACATCAATGCAAGGCCGTCCAAACTTCTGAAAAACACAGGATTTGAAAACTTAAAAGGGTGTTTTATTCCGAAGATTTATGAGATACTAGTATACGGGGGAATGTCGAAATGTAAACGTCAGTCATCGCACCTTTCTTTATGACGGTGGTCTGTAAATAGTCGAGTCGGGACCAAACAATCCAGTGATTGATATCATGAGAATCGATCTACGCAAATGGGATCGATGACCAGTTTCAACCAAGTCAGCGAGAACGACCATCCGATCCCGCTAGTTGCCTTGTACGACAAGCATAGTCGCCTTTTACGTCAAGCATGGGTTGCTGAAGACCTATTCTACTCCGGATCCTCACGTGACCTCTGATAACGTAGCTGATTGGTCATTTCGTTATTTAACATACAACTCAGAGGAAACCTCACTCACTCAACCAGTTGCCAGGAAGTGATCAATAAAACAATAAAATGCAAATGAGAAACACACCGGGAAGTGATCATCAAGCTATATTCACCTTTCTCTTCCGTGTGTTTGACCGTCTCTGGGTCCAGGTCTTGACCGGACAGGTACTTGGTCAGCCTGGATATGGAGACGGCGGCCTGGAAGATGAGGAGACGGAATGTGATGATATTTGTGACCATTTGTTTGTTTGTTTGTTTGTTGTTTAACGCCGTACTCAGCGATACTGAAGCTGAGCTATATGAAGGCGGTCTGTAAATTATCGAGTCTGGACCAGACAATCAAGTGATTGACATCATGAGCATCGGGGGGGGGGGGGGGGGGGGATCCCCCATGACGAAATTTTAAAACTACAAGATTTGTATTATTGTTGTCACAGGTATGTCAAAATATTATACGAAAATGTCATATCATGATCTAATAACTGTGTCATATCATTGTCTGAACATATGTGTGTCATATCTTTGATCTGAACATACTTGTGTCATATTTTGATCTGAACCACTTTGTGTCTATCATGATCTGAACCAACTCGTGTTTGTCATGAATTGAACCACTTTGTGTCTATCATGATCTGAACCAACTTGTGTCTATCATGATCTGATCCAACCTGTGTCTGTCATGATCTGAACCACTTTGTGTCTCTCATGATCTGAACCAACTTGTGTCTGTCATGATCTGAACCACTTTGTGTCTATCATGATCTGATCCAACCTGTGTCTGTCATGATCTGAACCACTTTGTGTCTCTCATGATCTGAACCACTTTGTGTCTCTCATGATCTGAACCAACTTGTGTATCTCATGATCTGAAACAACTTGTGTCTATCATGATCTGAAACAACTTGTGTCACTCTTTATCTGATCCAACTTGTGTCTATCATGATATGATCCAACCTGTGTCTGCCATGATCTGATCCAATTTGTGTCTATCATGATATGATCCAACTTGTGTCTATCATGATATGATCCAACTTGTGTCTATCATGATCTGATCCAACTTGTGTCTATCATGATCTGAACGCGTTTGTGTAACGTCAGAATTTGAACACATTGATATTTTATTCTTGCCTGAAAATGTTTTTCTTCTGCAGTGGGGGACACCGGATAATTGGTTTCACACATTCTACCTATGTGGGGGAATCGAACCCGGGTCTTCGGTGTGAAGAGCGAACACTAGGCTACCCCACCACCATTTTTCTGTATGACGAATGGACCTACCTGGGCCATGTTAGATATCGCCATGGGGAGTGCGTTCATGGGTTCGCGGAGAATGTTGAAGAGCGCCAGGGCCACGAAGCCAGTCTGCGAGTCCAGGAACTGGTGCTCTGACATCAACACATACGTCACAAAACTTGCCAGCGTCACCTATATTGAAGGACATATTTAAGGACAAACAACCACACAGCAAACAACTTGGAAAGCTACGATCGGAATGGAATTTTCGTACTTCGACAATGTTCCAGTTTTCCCAAAACTAAAGTATACCAGTGATATTTCGGTACGATATTATTGTATCGGTGATAGTAAAGACGCTCTAGACTTTTGACAACCCAAGAAACTTTGATTCAATTTTGATTCAATTAAAATATTATGACGTCTGGTTACACAACTGATTTATTTTATTCTATGTAGTTTGAAGACCACTAACATCGGTTCGTGACTGTATAAGTACTGTAAATATAACTGTCGCATCGATATTTATCACACAAAATGAGTGCGCACACCAAGTGGGTTTACAAGGTTGATTGGTTGGTTGGTTTGTTGTTTAACGCCGCACTAAGCAATATTCCAGCTATATGACGGCGGTCTGTAAATAATCGAGTCTGGACCAGACAATCCAGTGATTAAAATCATGAGCATCGATCCACACAATTGGGATCTTGACATGCATCAACCAAGTCAGCGAGCCTGACCACCCGATCCCGTTAGTCGCCTCTTACGACCAGCATAGTCGCCTTTTACGGCAAGCATGGGTTGCTGAAGACCTATTCTTCCCCGGTCGGTTTCCCAAGCCGTGAATCAGATTTTCTGATATTGCCAATTGTTCAGAGGCGTGTGTCCCTTTAAGGAGTAGAACACCGTTCCCCCAACTCGTTAACACTTACCAGCGTCGGGGCGCCGACCCAGCAGAACACGTTGAGGGCGTTCATGACGGCGAGTTTCTTGATGAGTGCGATCTCTCTGCTTCTGATAGCCATCACCTTGTCCCTGAACGAGGACTCCCACGCATAGAGCTTCAGTACCTGTAACAGGAGCGGGTGGATGGGTGAGTGAGTGAGTGAGTGGATGAGCGGGTGAGTGAGTGAGTGAGTGGATGAGCGGGTGAGTGAGTGAGTGAGTGGATGAGCGGGTGAGTGAGTGAGTGAGCGACTGAGTTCGTGAGTGCATGAGCGGGTGAGTGAGTGAGTGGGTGAGTGAGTAAGAGAGTATATTTTTAGCTGCTTATTCCAGCAATATCACGGTGGGGTACACCAGAAATAGGCATCGTACCCATGTGGGGAGTCGAACCCGGGCCTTTGGCATGAAGAGCGAATGCTTTAACCACTAGGCTACCCCACCGCCCCTGATACAACTGAACACTGGTCAAAACATCATTAAATCCAATTCATTTGTTCACTGCTCCGACCCTTCCTGGTTTTATAGTGCTTGCCCAAATGAAAAAAATGTAATATCGCGACATGTGTTATCTTGATTATCAACTCACAAAAGTGATGGCTTTGTTTAATTTTTCTCTGAAGTTTACAAACAAGCTGCTTGTGGTGTCACCGGTTGCTTTTTTGTCTGTGATATGTCTGTTGGTGTACGCGTTGATACGCGTTGATACGCGTTTATATCAAATTTCGACCAAAATAGAGTAAATATTATGTCCAAATAAAATCTACCAAAATATACTAAATAATTAAAATCGTAAGGGCAAACATCAGTATTACAGCGTTTCCACTGTATATAAATAATTACCTTAATTCCATTCAATATTTCGTTCATGTGCTTGAGTCTCTCATCCTTGATACTAAGCTGTTTGTTGTGGAGTTTCTTCATGTAGAAGACCAACTTATAGTTGAGCGGCGCCATGACGACCATCACCGCCAAGCCGGCGACCATGGAGACGCCGATGACTTGATACAGGAAGTAGAAACACAGCACGAGGCTGAGTGGAGCTGACCAGAGCTGAAAGAGCTGATGGATACACCCCTCCACCCGGTTGCAGTCCACGGACATGAGGTTCACAATGGCGCCGGTCGTGAAGACCTTCCTGGACTCGTTGTTCATCGTCAGGGCCTTGAAGGAATGGAGGGTGAACATGAGGGGACGGAGTTACCAGGTGCTAGTACTGCTGTCACTGCCGTTACTACTACTGCTGCTACTGCTACTACTGCTACTACTGCTCCTTCTACTGCTACTACTACTACTGCTACTGCTGCTGTTACTACCGTTACTACTACTGCTGCTACTGCTACTACTGCTGCTACTACTACTACTGCTACTGCTGCTGTTACTACCGTTACTACTACTGCTGCTACTGCTACTACTGCTACTACTGCTCCTTCTACTGCTACTACTACTACTGCTACTGCTGCTGTTACTACCGTTACTACTACTGCTGCTACTGCTACTGCTACAACTGCTGCTACTACTACTACTGCTACTGCTGCTGTCACTACCGTTACTACTACAGCTGCTACTGCTACTACTACCACTACTACTACTACTGCAGCTACTACTACTGCTACTGCTGCTGTCACTACCGTTACTACTACTGCTGCTACTGCTACTACTGCTACTGCTACTGCTGCTGTAACTACCGTTACTACTACTGCTGCTACTGCTACTACTGCTACTACTGCTCCTACTACTGCCACTACTACTACTACTGCTGCTGTTACTACCGTTACTACTACTGCTGCTACTGCTACTACTGCTCCTACTACTGCTGCTACTACTACTACTGCTACTGCTGCTGTCACTACCGTTACTACTACTGCTGCTACTGCTACTGCTAATACTGCTCGTACTACTGCTGCTACTACTGCTGCTACTACTACTGCCACTACTACTGCTACTACTACAACTACTACTACTACTACTACTACTGCTGCTGTCACTACCGTCACTACTACTGCTACTCCTACTACTGACACTACTGCCACTACTACTACTTCTATTACTGCTGCTACTTCTACTACTACTGCTGTTACTACCGTTACTACTACTGCTACTGCTGCTGTCACTACCGTTGCTACTACTGCTGCCACTACTACTACTACTACTGCTACTACTACTCCTACTTCTGTCACTACTACTACTACTACTACTGCTTCTACTGCTGCTGCTACTACTACTCCTACTACTGCCACCACTACTACTACTACTACTGCTACTACTGCTGCTACTACTGATACTCCTACTACAGCCACTGCTGCTGTTACTACGCGTTACTACTACTGCTGCTACTACAGATTTTGATGTCACCCCTTGAGATGATTTGTTTACGACGACCCACTGCTCAGAGATATACTATTGTGCTTCGTGACAAAGTCTTTGATGTTAATGGTGGTCGGGCTTCCTCTTTTGTAATATTGTACTGTACTGTACTGTACTGTACTCTACTGTAAATCAACCTGCACATTTGCCACAGTGGAGTACTGTTTCTTGTCTGCAATTCCTTTTAAAACCCAAGTCGTACTAAATGGTTAATATGTCCACTCACTTATTGATATATAGAATAAAAGATTTCACTCAGTACCGTGCATGTGAATATAGATGGATAGAATGGAGATATTCACCAAATAGTTGTGTCATAATTTTGGTCAAGCATTTCTTGTTTAGTATGTCATAAAATATTAAAATCTAAAAGCTGCTATGTTGACTATAGTTGCCCTTTAAAGTATGGGAGTTACGATCGTCTTAGCACTAAGATCGCTACGTGGAACGGGGCCCTGGTCGTAAACGGCGACTAAATGGATCGGGTGGTCAGGCTCTCTGACTTGGTTGATGCATGTCATCGTATCCCAATTGCGGAGATCGATGCTCATGAACAGTGGATTGTCTTGTGCAGACTCGGTTGTCTACAGACTGCCGTCTTATTGCATTGCTGGAATATTGCTAGGAGTGATATCTGAGGACATCCCATTACGGGTCACGTCAGACCGACCTAGCGCGAACTTTGACCGACCAATGGAATGACTGACAAGAATTCGACATTGGCCAATGAAAAGGCAGCCTTCCCGTGCTTTGCGGCTCTAATTTCAAATAGGCGACTACGCTTCGAAATATATTTTGACAAAATCTCGATTAAAAATTTGAAACCTGAACAAAAGAACATTCTTGAATGGCTAAAAGATGGCCTAGGTTGTATGGATTCAATCGTTAAGCCCGTAACTATCGCTCGGAATACCCCATGTTAAAGTTTTCGAGATTGCATGATTAGAAATCACATTCCGACTGTCACTTTCAAGCTCTGGTAAGCGACGCTCTGATTGGTCGGATGAAAGGTCATTCTGACGTGACCCCCTAATGGGATGTCCTCAGATCTTTGTTTAGCGGTAGCGAAAACTAAGATCTAATTTTAATGAGATTGGGTGTTAAGCAACAAACAACCATCAACTTTACTACTACTTTTACTACTACTACTACTACTACTACTACTACTACTACTACTACTACTACTGTTACTACTACTACTACTGCTGTTACTACTACTACTACTGCTACTACTGCTAATACTGCTGTTACTACTACTACAGTCGTCTAAGGCGCCGCGATTCGCTGTCTCTTCGGCACGCCAGAAACCTATGATTGTGGGTTCGAATCCCGGTTCGCCCCAATTATGTTTCTAGGTTTGTCAGCACCATACCCGTGCTCATGGGTTTCACCGAAGAGGTAAACGTCTGAGACCTGCATCACTCCGGGCTTTCCTCCCACATTAAGCTGACACGCCGCGATATAACTGGAATACTGTTAAAACCGGCGTTAACCCCAACTCACTCACTCACTCCTCTGAGGGCCAGTCCAGCGTACAGGTCACCTGTCTGTAGCCCCTTACCTTCTTGTACACGGCGGCCACCAGGCCCGTCCGGATCTTCACGGCGATGTTGTGGCTGATGTAGAACGTCTGGGCGTTGAGCAGAGAGATGGAGACGGACACCAGAAAGAAACACACAGAGAGGCCATACCCCTTCCACATCGTCTCGCTCTGTTTTTCTTCGATGAACTGGATCATTAACCTGTTGTAAAATATCCATGAAATATGTGTTATCCATAAGCTGACATGTACTGTACGAGTCGGTGATTATGTTACAGCGTTTTATAATATATGATATGATATGATATGACATAATACTGTCGCCTAGAGTGAGTATATAACGTTTTATGCCCCTTGTAGCAATATTCAAACTATCACTACTAGGGACACCACAAATCGTACATTGTACCCATGTGGGACGTTGAACCCAGGTCTTTGGCGTGTCGAGGAAACGCTTTAACCACCAAGCTACCTCTCCGATTTTAGACGCTTTCGTTAGCTAAAGTGATAAATTAAGTTATGTGATTGTAAAAAGGTATACCCTATTACTGTTGATATATGTTTGATTAGCTTAACGCCTATTGTTTCATTGTTTACGAGGCCCTGTCGTCTAATGCGCCTCAATTCGCTGTGCAGAGTTGCGTCCCTTGGGCACGCCAGAAACCTATGACTGTGGGTTCGAATCCCGGTTCGTCCTGATTATGCTTCTAGGTTTATCAGCACCATACCCGTGCTCGTGGGTTTCACCGAAGTAGTAAACGTCTGAGACCTGCATCTCTTCGGGCTTTCCTCCCACATTAAACTGCCACGCCGTGATATGACTTGACTGTAGTCAGACAAACTGATATTTGTAATATTTTCCTCGCATGAACTCTATATGCGATTATCCTCCCGGATGTTGATTGCTCGACATCCGGGTCTTTGTCTTTGTGTCGAGTGTTACTATTCGTGCGGCGTTAAACCCAACTCACTCAGTCATTGTTTGCGAAATGACACATATACATACTGAACAACAAAAGTTCCTATGACATTAAATACGATTGAATGCAAAGTATAGTTTTTTACCAAATCTGAGACAATTTCGGTTTGCAATAGATAAAAGACTCCTGTAAGTGTTTAAATGGTTTAATTTGCCATACTGACTTCAGAAAATGCGTGATTTCATAGAAAAAATGAACATGCCAAAATGTCAATTTACAAATCAATAGCGTGTGTGTCCACCTCTGGTTGCGATGCAAGCACCACATCTTCGTCTCATGGAATGGACCAGGCGTCGCACAAAGTCCTGTGGGATATCTGTCCATATCTGCTGGAGCATGTTTCGAAGTTCCTGGAGAGTCTGTGGAACACGTGGTTGACGTCGAAGGCGCCGATCCATCTCATCCCACGTGTGCTCGATTGGTGAGAGATCAGAGGCGCGAGGAGCCAGGAGATGACATTCACGTTGTTTTGTTGAAGAGAATCCTGAACAAGTCGAGCAATATGATGACGACCCAATAAACGGTAGAACAACAGGACCGATGATCTCGTCGCGGTAGCGCTGTCCATTGAGATTTCCCTCTACCACTATCAAACGGGTCCTCTGTCTTGCTGTAATCCCACCCTATACCATAACGCTGCCGCCCCCGATCGATCTTCTTCAATGACACAATGATTGACGTAACGTTCACCTCGACGTCGGTACACTCGAATTCGTCCATCGCTGTGGCTGATGTGAAAACGAGACTCGTCAGTGAATAGAACTTGTCCCCACTGCATGACCGTCCAGCGTAGACGCTGTCTGCACCACTGAAGACTTGCTTGACGGCGGTTTCCTGTCAAAATAGGTCGTCCGGCGGGTCTTCTGGCGACCATCCCTGCCCATCTGAGGCGACGACGTACGGTTTGTGAAGATATTCCTCGAAGGCCAGGGATGCTTCTTGCAGTCACTGTTGCTGGCTGGAATCGATTTCGTAGGTGTTGTTCGAATCCAGTTGTCTTGTCGATTATTGGTTATGCGTGGCCTGCCACTCCGAGGATGGTCTCTGACTGTATTCGTCTGTTGCCAACGTTGCCATAAACACCAAATGGTGTTTCTGTGGACTTTACATTGTCTTGCAACATCACGTTGACTCGATCCTGATTCAAGCATACCAATGGCTGGCTCGCAGACGCTCATTTTCGGACAGGCGTGGCATTTCGTAATGTTGAATAATTGCGTAACTTTGTTGTTTTTCAGAGTTGTTGTTGTCAGCACGATGCTAAACAATGCATATGGAATCCCGTTAACGCACACGTTTTTATACCCATTCTTGGGTTGTGAAATGCATGGGTCTTGCATAAAAGTCAACTTTTGCATGGAATGCATGCTTTTCTGTAGCAGTTGCGTTTTTGTTACTTGATTCCATACATGTACTACAATATTGAAAACCAAACTTTACTTGTTTGAAAAATACACTAAAATATTGGTGTCACAGGAACTTTTGTTGTCGAGTATACGTGATGTTGCATCAGTGCATTGTTGCCAACAATTGAATTGACGTCACAGACAATTGACTTAACTGAGCAGGAAATTCAATATTTTCAGACAAAATACTTTTGGTATTGTACATAATATCCAACCTGAAAGACAGAATTACAAAGTGTGTATCCCTCGTTAATTAATGTTGGCAAAATAATATTATCGAAAAATATGTTTTGTTCTTACTTGAGCAATATTGGGTTCAGGAATCGTATAACGTCACACGCCAGTTTGAAAATGTGAGCCTTGCTGAGTTCCCGGCCATGGGTCTTCAACAGAACCTTAAGTATCAGGAAGGAGGTGCCTTTCCCCGGATTCTTGACGTCATCAAACGTTGACGTCTTGTAGATGATGTCAGGGAGGCCATCCTTCTGTGGTAGGGTACTCCCTGCTGGTGGGACAGACTGGAGCTCCAGGAGAGTTTGTTTCTCGGGGATCTTTGGAACATGTGTGACTTCGTCAGTTGTGTCCCTGGAAACAGGACAACGTCTGTGGGTGAGTGGGTGGGTTGACGTGTGAGTGGATAGGTTGACTACAAAACGGGGAAATATATTTCAAATAATCCCCGTCAGAATGTTCTTAAAACGTGATAATACTCCTCTAGGGCAGCACGTAATTGTAAAGAGCCTTGCAAAATGCATTATATCTGGCAACCGAGCCTCATGCACGTGCATCATCAGCAGAGAAAGTATTCCACGTGCATCACGCAAGGGCGACTAACACAGTATTAATTCAGTCGAAAAAGAGTTCTGGGTAATGTTTTAAATATTTTTCACAAAAAGTGTTTTTATGGAAGCGTATCAATGACACACGCCGCACTCTCTTATAATGAGAGAGGAGAGGACAAAATGGTCTCCGAACTACACACAAACAAACAACTATCGGTTTTATTGAAAATTTAAGCGAAATAAAATATGTTGATTCTCACGATTTATTCATTACAGAGAGTAGGTTTAGGGGGCAAAACGTAAATGTGAAGGGGTGAAAATCATTCAAACTATAAAAAAACCTATATCATACCAACATTCATCATCATCCTATGAAGCACTGAAGGTACGATTCTGCATTTTTTTTAGCGCTTGAAATGATTTCAGTATGTAAAAATACTGAAAAGGCCAAATGAAAATACACGACAAACATGCTCCCAAAAATAAAATAAATTTACAGTAATTAAGTTATAACCTTTATATAAAATATAAAATGTTTGTATCAACTAGTATCTAACTAGGGTCCCAACCTCACAAGACAATACGATACGATTGTAATATCACATATACAGACTGAAATGTTATCTACGTTGATCAAAGTATTATCTTCGTATATGATATTTTTTAGACCTTGTACGCTTCCATAGTTTTGTCAAAGTTTAAAAGTAGGGGAACACGGTTTAACAATAATTAAACACACAAATGATTTACAGTCAACTAATCACCACGTACGTGTGTGACTTGAAAAAGTATTTTTGGAGATTCTTGAAGAACCTTGGGACGACTTGTTTACACTTGATGTGAGGGGGGAGGTCCCAGAGATCTTCCTCCATCAGGGGGCGTCGCCATCCCGTCCAGATGATGCTGAGGGGGGAAAACATTTACATCTATGAAAGTGACTATGGTGGATTTTGGAAACTTTGGAAAATGATATGATTCTGTAGAAACGCCATTCCCAAAATCAGGTCTTTCTTGAGGCAGTCAGTGAGTTTGGTCTAACGCCGCTTTGAACATTATTTTAGCTGTTTCATGGTGTGCCAGTCTGAGGTTCGAATCCCAGATAATGCCTCATGGTTTGCCATTACCATACCCATGGGTTTCACCAGAACGCCTAATGTCTTCATCACTGCGCGACTTTCACCTTACCTATTATTGATTACCGTATTCCACGTAATAAGCGCCCCGCTCTAATAAGCGCCAACGGCGATATTTGCTGATATATTGGCTAGTGAACAATCCCAATTCGCACCCCTTCCGATTGATCAATGTACACAAGACTTATTTATTCACGTATAATACACACTCGTATGTTATTATGAAACATATATCTGTCTTACAAATACATTTCAGGCTGTCACCATAAACCACGAAATTTATCTTTCAACTCTGTTTTGTTCACCAAAATAATGTTCTAATAAATGCCCCCTATTTCTAATTTTGACAGCGCCCTGGGCGCTTATTACGTCGAATACGGTAATTATTAATAATTTATTCATCCATATAATATTCTGACCATTCACGTTATAATGAAAAAATAAACAATTGCTGTTTCAATCCCTTGAGTGAGTGAGTGAGTATGGTTTGACGCCGCTTTTAGCAATATTCCAGCAATATCACGGCGGGGGACACCAGAAATGGGCTTCACATATTGTACCCATGTCGGGAATCGAGCCCGGGTCTTCGGCGTGACGAGCGAACGCTTTAACCACTAGGCTACCCGACCGCCCCTTCCGTCCCTTGACTGTATTCATCGAAACTAGTACTGAATCATAAATATCGTTGCTTCAAATATATTCTATCAATATATAATTGGGAGTATTGTGGGTGAAAATCATGTCAAATTATGCGCCTTGTGAAACCCTAAGCGATACTTTTAAGAACAGAATTGCTTCCAATGCACACGATCACTTGTGAATGTACATGTTAAAGGAAGTTAAGTTATCAGTGAGGGAAGTCGATGAGAAACAACGCCTGTCCATACCTATGCATCCAACCGAATGTGACCTTCTCGGGGAAGGACGATGTTGTCTCGGGACAAGGGACCTGCATGAAAACACAATGGATCATGACACATAACAATTAATATACAAGATTCAAAAACTTATTCAATATGCCCCAGCCACCGCAGTAACAGCTAAACTTCAACGGGTATTTGTCTTCACAGCCATCGAGTGAGTTCATATTTAATGTTTAGCAATATTCCAGCAATATCACGGCGGGGGGCACCTGAAATGGGCTTCATGCATTGTACCTATGTCGGAATCGAACCCTGGTCTTTGGCGTGACGAGCGAACGCTTTAACCACTGGGCTACCTGACCGCCCCTATACTGGTAAATGTACACACACTATTAGTCGAATTACAACCAGCCGTAGCAACATTCCTACAGTGTCACTTATAGTGTACCCCCTGGGGTTAGAATAGGTCCTCAGGAACTTATGTTAGTCGTAAGCGGTGACCAAATGGATCGGCTCGGTGACCTGGTTGATTGTTTGCCATCATATCCCGACGTCGTGGATCGTTGTTCACAATATTAATCACTGGATTGTTTGGTCCAGGCACGATTATTTACAGGCTGCCGCCACATACCTTGAACATTGATGAGTGTGGCGTTAAACAAACAAACAAATAAACAAACAGATTTATATTGCAGCCTTACCCTCTTCTCCTCGACTCCTGTGGTCAGTATGATTTGATCGGTGTCGGCGAAACAGCACAGGATGAATTCCACCAGAATGACGGCATATTGGACGTAGAACAGTGCTAGGTCAGAACGAGGCCGCTCATTCTAGAAGAACAAAACAGTTAAATCAAACACCCAGCCAAAAACAACTTAAAAAAAGCACCACTTATACTATTTCATATAGCCAAGAAACGTTTAGAAACACTTACTAATGACATTGATATCATTGTGAGCTACCATCGATACATGATGGAACATTGGTAAAGGAACCTGCATCATATTCACGACGGCACAAGTACTGGATGGCATCACGTGATATGAAGCGTCATGGGGCCCTGTCGACTAAGGCCCCGCAATTCGCTGTGAGTTGCATCCCTTCGGCACGTGTAGAAACCTATTATTGTGGGTTCGAATCCCGGTTCGCCCCGATTATGTTTCTGTCAGTACCATACCCGTGTTCGTGGGTTTCACCTAAATGGTAAACGTCTGAGAGATTTGCATCACTTCAGGCTTTTCTCCTACATTAAACTGGCACACTGTGATAAAACTAGAATACTGTTCAAAGCAGGTTTAGTTTCTGTATGTTTGGGTTGTTTGTTTGTTCGTTTGTTTAACGCCAAACTCAGCAATGTTCCAGCTATAAGACGGCGGTCTGTAAATAATAGAGTATCATCCAGGCAAACCAGTGACTGACATCATGAGCATCGATCCACGCAATTGGGACACGGTGACATGCCAAACGTCAACGCTAGAGAGTAACCAGTTTCGATTATTGGCCGAACAGATTCCATTTGAAATTATATGAATGGATCACTGAAAACCCGTGATGATATCCTGCTCTACCGATAACACCCGTCACTCACAATCATGTCACTAAGCTTGACCTCCTGATCCATGTTTGCTTGTTTGTTGTTTAACGCCGCACTCAGCAATATTCCAGCTATATGATGGCGGTCTGTAAATAATCGAGTCTGGACCAGACAATCCAGTGATTGACATCATGAGCATCGATCCACACAATTGGGATACAATGACATGCATCAACCAAGGCAACGAGCCTGACCACCCGATCCCGTTAGTCGCCTCTTACGACAAGCATAGTCGCCTTTTACGGCAAGCATGGGTTGCTGAAGACCTATTTTACCCCGTATCTTCACGGGCATGATCCATGTATTCGTCTCTCACGACCAGCACAGGTTGCTTAGGATCTCTTCTAATCCGGAATCCCCACAGGGTTCCGTACAATCCGGAATCCCCACAGGGTTCCGTAAAATCCGGAATCCCCACAGGGTTCCGTATGTCAGTATGAACAGATCACGAGAAACACAAAGACATGTGTCAGACAAATACTGCAATCAAAGGTGCACATATACACAATAACTGTTTTTTAACTGTCTAGCTTTCTTCCAGCCATATTAGGGGCGGTCGGGTAGCCTAGTGGTTAAAGCGTTCGCTCGTCACGCCGAAGACCCGGGTTCGATTCCCGACATGGGTACAATGTGTGAAGCCCATTTCTGGTGTCCCCCGCCGGGATATTGCTGGAAATTTGCTAAAAGCGGCGTAAAACCATACTCACTCACTCACTCCAGCCATATTACGTCGGAGAGGGAAATAAAATAGTTTCTTGCTAACGACCGTTATACAATGTAAATATCGTCATTGCAGAAATAGAAAACCATTAATAATCTTATATCAAACATCCATGTTTATCGAATAAGGTTATCATTTAAATATATGCCATGGTGAGTCAGTGACATCATGAGTGAGTGACGGGATGAAGAATGGCTGCCGCTGAAGCAAACAACATTCCAGCGCATTTTACTGCAGGGATCTTCATGGCGTTGGCCTTGGAAGTCACAACACTGTATACTACAGAGCTGAGAGTGCCTGGCACAACACTGTATACTACAGAGCTGAGAGTGCCTGGCACAACACTGTATACTACAGAGCTGAGAGTGCCTGGCACAACACTGTATACTACAGAGCTGAGAGTGCCTGGCACAACACTGTATACTACAGAGCTGAGAGTGCCTGACACTGTATACTACAGAGCTGAGAGTGCCTGGCACAACACTGTATACTACAGAGCTGAGAGTGCCTGGCACAACACTGTATACTACAGAGCTGAGAGCGCCTGGCACACCACTGTATACTACAGAGCTGAGAGTGCCTGGCACAACACTGTATACTACAGAGCTGAGAGTGCCTGGCACAACACTGTATACTACAGAGCTGAGAGTGCCTGGCACAACACTGTATACTACAGAGCTGAGAGTGCCTGGCACAACACTGTATACTACAGAGCTGAGAGTGCCTGGCACAACACTGTATACTACAGAGCTGAGAGTGCCTGACACTGTATACTACAGAGCTGAGAGCGCCTGGCACAACACTGTATACTACAGAGCTGAGAGTGCCTGGCACAACACTGTATACTACAGAGCTGAGAGTGCCTGGCACAACACTGTATACTACAGAGCTGAGAGTGCCTGGCACAACACTGTATACTACAGAGCTGAGAGTGCCTGGCACAACACTGTATACTACAGAGCTGAGAGTGCCTGGCACAACACTGTATACCACAGAGCTGAGAGTGCCTGGCACACCACTGTATACCACAGAGCTGAGAGTGCCTGGCACAACACTGTATACCACAGAGCTGAGAGTGCCTGGCACAACACTGTATACCACAGAGCTGAGAGTGCCTGGCACAACACTGTATACCACAGAGCTGAGAGTGCCTGGCACAACACTGTATACCACAGAGCTGAGAGTGCCTGGCACAACACTGTATACCACAGAGCTGAGAGTGCCTGGCACAACACTGTATACTACAGAGCTGAGAGTGCCTGGCACAACACTGTATACTACAGAGCTGAGAGTGCCTGGCACAACACTGTATACTACAGAGCTGAGAGTGCCTGGCACAACACTGTATACTACAGAGCTGAGAGTGCCTGGCACAACACTGTATACTACAGAGCTGAGAGTGCCTGGCACAACACTGTATACTACAGAGCTGAGAGTGCCTGGCACAACACTGTATACTACAGAGCTGAGAGTGCCTGGCACACCACTGTATACTACAGAGCTGAGAGTGCCTGGCACAACACTGTATACTACAGAGCTGAGAGTGCCTGGCACAACACTGTATACTACAGAGCTGAGAGTGCCTGGCACACCACTGTATACTACAGAGCTGAGAGTGCCTGGCACAACACTGTATACTACAGAGCTGAGAGTGCCTGGCACACCACTGTATACTACAGAGCTGAGAGTGCCTGGCACAACACTGTATACTACAGAGCTGAGAGTGCCGGGCACAACACTGTATACTACAGAGCTGAGAGTGCCTGGCACAACACTGTATACTACAGAGCTGAGAGTGCCTGGCACAACACTGTATACTACAGAGCTGAGAGCGCCTGGCACAACACTGTATACTACAGAGCTGAGAGTGCCTGGCACAACACTGTATACTACAGAGCTGAGAGCGCCTGGCACACCACTGTATACTACAGAGCTGAGAGCGGCTGGCACAACACTGTATACTACAGAGCTGAGAGTGCCTGGCACAACACTGTATACTACAGAGCTGAGAGTGCCTGGCACAACACTGTATACTACAGAGCTGAGAGTGCCTGGCACACCACTGTATACTACAGAGCTGAGAGTGCCTGGCACAACACTGTATACTACAGAGCTGAGAGTGCCTGGCACAACACTGTATACTACAGAGCTGAGAGTGCCTGGCACAACACTGTATACTACAGAGCTGAGAGTGCCTGGCACACCACTGTATACTACAGAGCTGAGAGTGCCGGGCACAACACTGTATACTACAGAGCTGAGAGTGCCTGGCACAACACTGTATACTACAGAGCTGAGAGTGCCTGGCACAACACTGTATACTACAGAGCTGAGAGTGCCTGGCACAACACTGTATACTACAGAGCTGAGAGTGCCTGGCACACCACTGTATACTACAGAGCTGAGAGTGCCTGGCACAACACTGTATACTACAGAGCTGAGAGTGCCTGGCACAACACTGTATACTACAGAGCTGAGAGTGCCTGGCACAACACTGTATACTACAGAGCTGAGAGTGCCTGGCACAACACTGTATACTACAGAGCTGAGAGTGCCTGGCACAACACTGTATACTACAGAGCTGAGAGTGCCTGGCACACCACTGTATACTACAGAGCTGAGAGTGCCTGGCACAACACTGTATACTACAGAGCTGAGAGTGCCGGTCACAACACTGTATACTACAGAGCTGAGAGTGCCTGGCACAACACTGTATACTACAGAGCTGAGAGTGCCTGGCACACCACTGTATACTACAGAGCTGAGAGTGCCTGGCACAACACTGTATACTACAGAGCTGAGAGTGCCTGGCACACCAGTGAGAAATGTGGACTTCTTTTCAAATAACCCCAGGGCTCTCATAAAGATGTCTAACTGTGTCCTTTATAATGTATGTCTGACAACAACAAGACGAAGATCCCCGCAATCTACGCAACTGGGATCGGTGACATACATCAACCACGTCAGCGAGCCTCATCCGATCCCGTTAGTCGCCTCTCAAGGCAAGCATGGGTTCAATTCTAACCTGGATCTTCACAAATGTGTTATTGGTATGAAAATACATCTTTCACTAATAAATCAATAAATCAATCATTAAATAAATACATAAATAAGTAAGTAAATATATATTTGTTTTATTGATGAATTGTTCTATAATTCCAAACCTTCTCCGCGCTTAATGTCCCAAACAACATTGGCGATGCGACGTTATATTGCCTCACTCACTCTACGGCATCAGAACAGAGCACAACAATAAGACATCTGCACAGACGTCGTCTTGAGTGAGTGAGTTGGTGAGTTTGGTTTGATACCATTATAAACAGTATTTTAGTTATATCACGGCGTGTCAGCTTGATGGGGAGCAAACTCCCAAGTGACGCATGTTTGTTTGTTTGTTGTGTAACGCCGCACTCAGCTATACTCCAGCTATATGACGGCGGACTGTAAATAATCGAGTCTTGACCAGACAATCCAGTGATTGACATCATGAGCATCGACCGACCCACTTGGGATACGATGACATGCATCAACCAAGTCAGCGAGCCTGACCACCCATCCCGCTAGTCGCCTCTTACGCCAAGCATAGCCGCCTTTAACGGCAATCATTGGTTGCTGAAGACCTATTCTAACCGGATCTTCACGGGTGAGTGATGCTGGTCTCAGACGTTTATTACTTTGATGAAACCCCCGAGCACATGTCTGGTGCAGACAAACCTAGAAGCATAAATCAGGGCGAATCTGGGACTCGAACCCACGAATAAACGTTTCCTGCTCGCCTAAGGGACGCGGCGAATTGGTCTTGGTTGCCCGAACAGGGCACTGGGGCATTATGAAGAGTTTGTTCAAAACATTCTACCAATGTGGGAGTCGAACCCGGGTCACCGCCATGACGAGCAATTAAGCTATCCCACCACGTATGTGATTATGGTTATAAATGTATGTAAGGGGTACTCACCCACTGCATTGCCCGTGTGTAGAATGGAACGATGTCGCAGAACAGCCAGAAGAACCAGTACAAGAACAACAGGCACGGGCTGTACAGACCTTTACGTCGGGACTGCATCGTCAGCCCTATGGACAAGACCTGGACGGAGATAGGTGAGGAGAGGTGAAATGGTGTTTAACGTCGCGTTCAAGATTATTGCACACATGTGTGGCTAAAATACCACGCCACAATTTAACATGGATACCCCACTCAGACACAGCATACTGATACCGAGCCGACCAGTCCTTGTGTTATCCCATTAACGCCGAGCGCCAGGCAGGGTAACAACAAGTACCATCTTTTAACACTCTCTCAGCAGACTCCATCCACTAGACAACGGAGGCGGTCTGGGCGGATATACAAGGTATGTTGGTACATGTGGCATCAAGTGATTCAGCATGGTTGACGCCGCGTTCAGCAATATTCCAGCAACATCACAGCGGAAGAAACCCGGAATGGGCTTCAGTTATTGCACCCATGTCAGCAGTCGAACCTTGTTTGACGAGCAAAAAGATACCCATCGCTCGAGTAGCAGCGATACATGCTTGGGGTGGGATATAGTGACACCTTGTTAATCCGGACGATGGTGCTCCCTGTAAAATCACCAGGATTAACAATTCATCAGTAAATATGTAAAATATTAATATTTTCCAAACAGAATCCCTCGGGACGTTCGAGTCAACGGGGTTGCACTGTATGTAATTAAGTTTGTTTGGGTTAGTGATATTTCGGCGACACACGTGAGCCGGGAACTGAACCAGATGGAGCTGTGGTCTGTTTGAGGTTTGCATATAATTGAAACAATGTAGGGATTGTGCGGTGCCAAACAATATTCACTCACTCGTGTACTCGGAAACATATGTTACACAATACAGATTACCCATGTTATGCAGTGAGATGATGGATTGATGGAACAAGAGAGTGATAGAACGATGGAGTGATGGAGCGTTGGAACAATGGAGTGATGGAGCGATGGAACAATGGAGTTATAGAATGATGGAGCGATGGAACGATGGAGTGATGGAACAATGGAGCGATGGAACAATGGAGTGATGGAGCGATGGAACAATGGAGTTATAGAATGATGGAGCGATGGAACAATGGAGTGATGGAACAATGGAGCGATGGAACAATGGAGTGATGGAGCGATGGAACATTGGAGTTATAGAATGATCGAGCGATGGAACGATGGAGCGATGGAACAATGGAGTGATGGAACAATGGAGTGATGCAGTGATGGAGCGATGGAACAATGGAGTGATGGAGCGATGGAACAATGGAGTGATAGAACGATGGAGCGATGGAACAATGGAGTGATGGAACAATGGAGTGATGGAACAATGGAGTGATGCAGTGATGGAGCGATGGAACAATGGAGTGATGGAGCGATGGAACAATGGAGTGATAGAACGATGGAGCGATGGAACAATGGAGTGATGGAACAATGGAGTGATGGAACGATGGAGTGATAGAACGATGTAGCGATTGAACAATGGAGTGATAGGACGATGGAGCGATGGAACAATTGAGTGATAGAACAATGGAGCGATGGAACAATGGAGTGATAGGACGATGGAGCGATGGAACAATTGAGTGATAGGACGATGGAGCGATGGAACAATGGAGTGATAGGACGATGGAGCGATGGAACAATGGAGTTATAGAATGATGGAGCGATGGAACAATGGAGCGATGGAACAATGGAGTGATAGAATGATGGAGCGATGGAACAATGGAGTGATGGAACGATGGAGTGATAGAACGATGGAGCGATGGAACAATGGAGTGATAGGACGATGGAGCGATGGAAGAATTGAGTGATAGAATGATGGAGCGATGGAACAATGGAGTGATGGAACAATGGAGCGATGGAACAATGGAGTGATAGAATGATGGAGCAATGGAACAATGGAGTGATAGGACGATGGAGCAATGGAACAATTGAGTGATAGAATGATGGAGCGATGGAACAATGGAGTGATGGAACAATGGAGCGATGGAACAATGGAGTGATAGAATGATGGAGCGATGGAACAATGGAGTGTTGGAACAATGGAGCGATGGAACAATGGAGTGATAGAACGATGGAGCGATGGAACAATGGAGTGATGGAACAATGGAGTGATGGAACGATGGAGTGATAGAACGATGTAGCGATTGAACAATGGAGTGATAGGACGATGGAGCGATGGAACAATTGAGTGATAGGACGATGGAGCGATGGAACAATGGAGTGATAGGACGATGGAGCGATGGAACAATGGAGTTATAGAATGATGGAGCGATGGAACAATGGAGTGATAGAACGATGGAGCGATGGAACAATGGACTGATAGGACGATGGAGCGATGGAACAATGGAGTGATGGAACAATGGAGTGATAGAACGATGGAGCGATGGAACAATGGAGTGATGGAACAATTGAGTGATAGGACGATGGAGCGATGGAACAATGGAGTGATAGGACGATGGAGCGATGGAACAATGGAGTGATGATGGAGCAATGGAGTGATGGAGCCGTGTGTACCTACCAGTGTAGCCAGCCGCACAGCAGCTGTCGTATAAAAGGCCGGAGTCTTTGATATGCTGTACGGCTCCAGTTGTCCTGATACCACTTCAGCCACTGCCAGTCCCACTAACACCACCTGGACCACCTGTAACACATACCCGGTATATACATACATGTACCCACCCACCCATCAATCCATCCATCCGTCCGTCCGTCCATCCATCCATCTATATATCCATCCATCCATCCACACGAACTAATAACGACAGCATTAGTAAATACACAATTTCCTCCGCTTCATGCAGGGATTAGTGTGCCTATCACCTCAGCTTGAGCAAAACCGACACTGGAGTAAGATGATTAAAAAAATTCATGATTTTAAGGCACACGATAGTGTAGTTCGTCACTCATTCTTTCCGTGTTTGGTTGGCCTGGCCCAGATTATTTAAAGACCGCCATGGCGTATCATGTATACTGTCTGCTGCACAAACAAACAAACAAACAAACAAACAAACAAACAAAGAGGAGTGTTGCTGGTTGCGGCGTTGGGCAATCACTTACTTTTTCCAACAGATTCTGTGAGTGGCTGGTGCTGCCGGGAGTACATTGCACACTTACACTTTTCGTGAACACCTGGTGTCACCCCGGATGTTCAGCGAGCCATTCATTAATTTTTTTATCACTATTTGCTTTCACGCCCAATGGAATCTGTTTCGGCAGATAATCGAAACTGATTATTCTTCTGGCTCTGACGTTTAGAACTATCCTCTCACAATTGTGATGCTTCAGACAGAAATTGAAATGGATTTTACTTGTCGAAAACATTGACAACGCCGGTGAATACCCTTACTGGGTATCTAGCCGGGTAGCGAGGTCGTGGTTGCCACGCCCAGGTACCCCTGCGAATCAGACATATTATGAATGACTTGCGGTGATAAAGAGTTCGTATCCGGTTAAAATCTTTTTTAAATTGATTATCATGATAGTTTCGAAACAGCGCTGAACAGTTAGGGGCGGGAGCAATTTAGGCAAGAGTGTGCCTTGAGAAACAAATATATATTGACAAGGCAGTTTATGTTTGCATACATAAATTTGCGTGTGTGAATATTGCAAAAACAGTTTGCAAACTAGTTTGTGGCGTGTGACAAACAGTTGGCGATAAAGGTAATATTATGGTAACACAATCGCATACAACCACTCAGGTATACATATATGTAACTGAAAATTGAAAGACTTCCTGTTAAACGCAATTATTATGGCTTTTTAATCATCACTCATTCCTGCAGCAGTTTTTAAAATATGTAAAATAGGTTTGTAACTATATGGCTGGGTAATTCTTTGTAAAAATAGATTGGTTCAATGAAGACTTGGGTAAGGAATAAATCTACCATGTCTGAAATGTTGCACATTTGTGCCCAAAAATGCAGATTAATTGATTTTTCAAAGACCTAATATTCAGCAGTTGTGTATTTTACGAACTCGTTTTCCTTAAATTTTTAAAGGTCTTAAACCAAGATATATTTGACAAATTATAACCATGCAGCAGAGTTCTTTGAGTGCTGACTAAGCGCCTGTACAGTTCAGTTTGTAAATATAGTTGAGCTTACTCAGATATTGACTATTGAAAATCAAACATAAAATAAAATCATCTGAGACGTGTATTCTTTTGGCTGCTTGGTTTCGCACAGAACAATGAATTGTTTCATGCAAATCATTCTTCCTGCTAAGGCCAATATTATTCTCCTAAGTCCTCCCCTACTTCCAGCATTAAACAAACTTAACGAATATCAAAACGCGAAGGCAAATGACCCTTTGCATTATCAATAACACATTTTTTCATCTAACCTATATTAATTTAGAAGGGAAACTACGCATACTTTTTATGGTATTCCTGTGTAGATACACGGGGACCACGCATGCCCTTTATGGGGACTACGCAAGCCCTTTATGGTATTCCTGCGTAGATACACGGGGACCACACATGCCCTTTATGGTATTCCTGTGTAGATACACGGGGGCTACGCATGCCCTTTATGGTATTCCTGTGTAGATACACGGGGACTACGCATGCCCTTTATGGTATTCCTGCGTAGATACACGGGGACCACGCATGCCCTTGATGGTATTGCTGCGTAGATACACGGGGACTACGCATGCCCTTTATGGTATTCCTGCGTAGATACACGGGGACCACGCATGCCCTTGATGGTATTGCTGCGTAGATACACGGGGACCACGCATGCCCTTGATGGTATTGCTGCGTAGATACACGGGGGCTACGCATGCCCTTTATGGTATTCCTGTGTAGATACACGGGGACTACGCATGCCCTTTATGGTATTCCTGTGTAGATACACGGGGACCACGCATGCCCTTGATGGTATTCCTGCGTAGATACACGGGGACTACGCATGCCCTTTATGGGGACTACGCAAGCCCTTTATGGTATTCCTGTGTAGATACACGGGGACCACGCATGCCCTTGATGGTATTCCTGCGTAGATACACGGGGACTACGCATGCCCTTTATGGTATTCCTGCGTAGATACACGGGGACTACGCAAGCCCTTTATGGTATTCCTGTGTAGATACACGGGGGCTACGCATGCCCTTTATGGTATTCCTGCGTAGATACACGGGGGCTACGCATGCCCTTTATGGTATTCCTGTGTAGATACACGGGGACCACGCATGCCCTTTATGGTATTCCTGTGTAGATACACGGGGGCTACGCATGCCCTTTATGGTATTCCTGTGTAGATACACGGGGACTATGCATGCCCTTTATGGTATTCCTGCGTAGATACACGGGGACTACGCATGCCCTTTATGGTATTCCTGTGTAGATACACGGGGACCACGCATGCCCTTGATGGTATTGCTGCGTAGATAGACGGGGACTACGTATACGCATGCCCTTGATGGTATTCCTGCGTAGATACACGGGGACTACGCATGCCCTAGATGGTATTCCGGCGTCGCATGACTACGTGAAACAACTGAGAACAGTTGGTGTTCATAACAAATAACTCATAACAAACTGACACAAGTCATTTAGTTTTCTTACCTGTCTACATATAACATCCTATACAGTACATGTACAACGTACACGTGAAGATCCGGGTTAGATTAGCAACCAATGCTTACCGTTTAAGGCGACTATCAGGATTGGGTGGTCAGGCTCGCTGACTTGGTTGATGCATGTCATCGTATCCAAATCGCGTAAATTGATGCTCATGATGTCAATCACTGGATTGTCTGGTCGAAACTTGATTATTTTCAGACCGCCGTCAAATAGCTTGAATATTGCTGAGTGTTGCGTTAAAAAAACAACAAACGTATGTTGTACACGTTCTAATGTTGTACCACACATGATACACACGGAAAGATCCATGGTTAATATTTGGTTCTATATTTTTTTAAAGAAATTGAAGAATATGTGTCTGATGCAAATGCGTATATGACTATGGGAGAGAAAAGCACTTTATATGGGTATCGACTGTGTCGTCACACTGAGTAGAAGGGTCCCTCCTTATGTGTGCTTCACCAAGGTACATACATGTATATCATGTACATGTAATAACACCAATGTCAGCGGTAGTCATAGAACCATCACATGTAAGTGCATATGCATATAGATGTGTATAGGAAAAGATACTCAATGTACTCTGATCATGAAAAAAATATTCATGCAAAAAAGAGAGTATGAAATGAGTAAAAAAAAGAAATATTTAATTGATGTTTATTTATCAAACAGTGCCTGCAATCCATTCACACTGTAGCATAATATATACTACTCATAACTACTTAAACAAGCCATAATCCGCGGATCATTCGCGATTGATTCCCGGAGACTACGCGAACTATTCGCAATGTTACTTCGGAACACGGTAATAAAGTTTTGCCTTATAGTGTAAGGGGGAGGACATGAGTGAGTTCGTTGCTGTTCACGCCGCTTTTTAGCAATATTCCAGCCACATCATAACGAAGGGCATTCGAAATGGGCTCCATTCATTGTGCCCATGTGGGGAATAGAACCCGGGTTTTCAGCCGGGCGCGAACGCGTTAATCGCTAGACAAGCTCACTGAGAATGATGGGCATAGAGAGACAATTTCAATATTTATACTGATACGTTGTTATTTATTAATATTATGAAATTAGAAAACTGTCAAGTTGATAGCTTGATACTGTTGTCTGCCAGATGGTAGCAACATTTTTTTTCTTCAACTGTGTTAAATAATAAATGTAGTATATTTATTTCAAGATTTTATCTTCCTTACTCAATGCTGGTTTTATATGCTTAACATGATACCGTTAGAATTAGGCCATGTGTCGAGAACACAAAACGGCATCTGGTCCAGGTCAGTCACGAGCATGAGTCATACACAAATACGTGTTGTCACGGGAGGGTTTACTCAAGTGTAAATTAACCGATTGCTGAAAAAAGCAGTCACGTATAATGGCATTCGGATCGTCTCAGTCCAATAGGACCAAGGCCCTACTGTCTGTTTGTTGTTAACGCCGCACTCAACAATATTCCAACTACATGACGGCGGTCTGTAAATAATCGACTCTGGACCTGACAATCCAGTGATTTACATCATGAGAATCGATCTACGCAATTAGGATACGATGACATGCATCAACCAAGTCAGTAGGTAAGACCACAGCGTTAAACAAATAAACAAACAGAACTTGAAGTTTTTTCTGAACTCACTATTTTAGCGATGCAGAGTTTTGACAGGGGGTAGTGCTGGCGTATGTGGTGGAGGTGGTGCAGGAAGACAGGGAGGGTGGCCCACAGCCACCCACACGGCACCCACGTCAGTACCGTAGTCTGGAAACATGGCGTGAACTCAGGCCAAGTGTTGTTGGTTAACAAGTCCAGATCCTGCAAGACAACACAATATTTCAACATGAAGCATTACGAAACAGGATTAGTTAAAACGAACTTTCTCATAGCATTCTCTGTCGAAGTTGTCTCCCTTTACCATGCCAGGATCCTCTGAAAATGGTTCGAATCATGGAATTACCGGATTAAGGAGGCTTGGCCGTCAGTATCATATCTGTGGTAATTACTCCTACCTTGCTAACAAGTACACCTGGGATGGGGGACTAGTATTTCTGTTTCTTAATCCATTTCCTCGTGCGCTGTTCTCTCTATTCATGTGGGGGCGGTGGGCTAGCATAATGGTTAAAGCGTTTGCTTGTCACGCCGAAGACCCGGGTTCGATTCCCCACATGGATACAATGTGTGGAGCCCATTTCTGGTGTCCCCCGCTGTGATATGCCTTGAATATTGCTAAAAGAGGCGTAAAACCACACTCACTCACTCAAGTTCATAAATGTCACGACAGTATGCTCTTATATTGTCTGAGAATGTGATGTTACTGTAATGTTGGTGAAACCAGCGTAAAACAAACTCACTAACTGTTCCAGTGACTGTCATGTACACATTTCAGATCCCAGTTTTGTTGACACGTGTTCTTATAGTATACATAATGATAATGCACTAAATCCACACAATAAATCATGCTCAAAACGCACTGATAATTAACCGAGGCGTTGGCCTTACGCTATGGCCGCCGTGCAATATCAAGGAAGGTGTAAGAATCGTCTATCCATATATACTCTCCCGATCATATGCACGTGTACCCGAATGTAGACAACCAATTGTTTGATTACTAGTTGTTGTTTAACGCCGCACTCAGCAATATCCCAGCTATATGACGGCGGTCTGTAAATAATCGAGTCTTGACCAGATAATCCAGTGATTGATATCATGAGCATCGATCCACGCAATTTGGATCATTGACATGCATCAACCAAGTCAGCGAGCCTGACCACCCGATCCCGTTAGTCTCCTCTTACGACCAGCATAGTCGCATTTTACGGCAAGCATTGGTTGCTGAAGACCTATTCTACCCCGGATCTTCCCGGGCCGGCTGTTGATTGCGCCCGCCCACTGGGTGTCCTCCCGTTACACAGTCTGTTCCAACATGCAGAGGGTACTTAGATCCCATAATGTCGCGTTTGTACTCTATCCGAGTGAAACGTTTATATTCTGTCAAGCAGGTATTTGGTCACTTGCTGATTGAAATGGACTACACAGAAGAGATATATACTACACAACATTTGCTAAGGACCACACCTTTGACTAAAAATGACTATTTTGGTACTAAGCAAATGCTGAGTTACATTAACTGATTGTAAGGTACAAAAAGGCAGTGGCTGATCAAAACGATCTACGCCTTATATTGGCATCAGATCCTCTGTATATCCGTATGTTATCAGGGGGCACGGGTGGCCCAGTCGTCTAAGGCGCCGCGATTCGCAGTGCAGAGTTGCGTCCCTTGGGCACGCCAGAAACCTATGATTGTGGGTTCGAATCCCGGTTCGCCCCAATAATGTTTCTAGGTTTGTCAGCACCATACCCGTGCTCGTAGGTTTCACCGAAGTGGTAAACGTAAAGACCTGCATCACTTCGGGCTTTCCTCCCACATTAAGCTGACACGCCGCGATATAACTGGAATACTTTTAAAATCAGCGTTAAACCCAACTCACTCACTCGCACCGTATGTTATCAACAACTGTTACAACATACGGGACGATACCGCAAGCTGTTGTCATCTCACAGTGAACTGCATGTTGTAGGTAAAACGTTTGTTTGTTTTAACGCAACTCAACAATAGTACAGCTATTTGACGGCGACCTGTAAATAATCGATGCTTGCCGACAAGGCGACTATGCTTGTCGTAAGGGGCGACTAACGGGATCGGGCGGTCAGGCTCGCTGACTTCGTTGATGCTTGTAACACTATCCCAGTTGCGCTGGTCGATGCTCATAATAACAATCACTGGATTGTCTGGTCCAGACTCGATTATTTACAGACCGCTGTCATAAAGATGAGTGCGGCGCTAAACAACAAACAAACAAACAAAACATTGCGCTTCCATTTGTTCTCTATTTAATCTTTCTTATTCAGTTTCGGTTTTAATTTCGCCTCGGGTATATTTAGGGTCAGCCATGTTGTATTGGGTGTGTGGGGCGCTAGGTTAGCCTAGTTTTAAAAGCGTTCGCTCGTCACGTCGAAGACCCAGGTTCGATTCGTCACATGGTACAATGAGTGAAGCCCATTTCTGATGTCCCCTGCAGTGATTTTGCTGGAATGTTGCTAAACGGGGCGTAAAACTATACGCACTCACAATTAGTGGTTATAACATGTGTGAACTCGGCACTTTTAAACGTGATATATTACACGGTACTTGACCTTTGCGTTAATGTACTGTGGCGTTTTTATAATGAGGTGGTGTGGCGCTATTCCGCTCAGAATCATTTCCTTACATGACGAACTTCCCGATGTATTTATATCTCTTGTGAATATACGTAGCTGTCCCCTCTGAATTGAGTTTGTGAAACTTTAGTTACGAATAGGTTAATGTCCTTCACATAACCTATAGCATTTCGTGACTTAAAGGTCATGATTCGCTCTGTCCTGGATTGAATGCAAGTTGGTCCTTGAATACGATCTTTGATTACGATCCTTGATTACGATCCCGCTGAATACGATCCCTGATAACGATCCTTGATTACGATCACCTGATTACGATCATATGATTATGATCCCAGAATTACGATCTTTGATTTCGATCCCGCTGATTATGATCCTTGATTACGATCCTGACTACCATCACCTGATTACAATCTTTGATTACGATCCCGCTGTGTATGATCCTTGATTACAATCACCTGATTACGATCCCTGATTATGATCCTTGATTACGATCCCGCTGATTATGATCCTTGATTATGATCCCTGATTATGATCCTTGATTACGATCCCGCTGATTACGATCACCTGATTATGATCCCTGATTACGATCCTAGATTACGATCCTTGATTACGATACCTGATTAGGATCCCAGATTACGATCCCTGCATATGATCATTGCTAAGACCCGTGCTCGTCCATTTCACAACCAATACACGCGTCTGTTGCAAATATTTAAAATTCTGCTAAATACCAGCCAAACAGCAGGACTAGCAAGTCCAATAAATTGCCAGTCCGGTACCATCTTGTAACCACTTTTGCTGTAACGTCGCCGGGGATCTTTTTGGCTCCCTCGCTCTATAATTTAGTTACACCAATGTGTGTGTAACTGTGAACAGAGTGTTCATTACAGACTGTTATGACATTATGATGGAATACATTGCCCTCTGTGTGTGTCTCGCTCACTCTCTCTAGTTCTCTCCCTCACTCCCACACCTCTCTGTCTCCCCCACTTCCTTTGTCTCTCTGTGTAACACCAACTTCATACAACCTAATAACGGGTTGTGCTCGTGGGTTTCACCGAAGTGGTAAACGTCTGAGACCTGCATCACTTCGGGCTTTCCTCCCACATTATGCTGACACACTGTGATATAACTCGAATACTGTTAAAAGCGGCGTTAAACCCAACTCACTTACTCAATAATAACAGGGTTATTCCTTCACAACAGTAGATATAGTGCCGTGAGAACAGTAAAATAATGTGCATTAGCGCTACCCGCGCTAACCGACTGATCCACACAACTAATGCCTAACGCGCTTTGTCAACATAGTAGGCGGATTTGGTATTGAGCCAGACTTGCCATATATTGACCTCTGTTTGATATTCAAAGTTTAACGCGAACAATGGATACTTGGCAGTACAATGCAGGTCAAAGTTCGGCATTCATGACCCCTGTAGCCGGGCATAATACACGTGGCCCTCACCTTCACCTCCAGTGCCTGTTTAATGCCATCGAATACAGCTAACATGTCGCTTGGCTTGTGCGTTGTCATCGACTTAAAAGGCTAAAAACAATGTAACACTCGTTAACTCGAACTCTATTATCTCATCACCTCCATGTATTATTCCAGGCGATGTAACGTTGTGACCCCGACCAAGTCGTTATTGGCACTCCGCATGTGTCGTACTCGATAGTACTTCAAATTTACAAGTTTCACCGGTAATTCAGTTTGATATTTTATCTATTTCACAGCGGTATTTGTATCTTCTTATGTCAAAACAAATAAACAAACTATGTCATGACCTTTGCTCGGCTGTTCAACAAGCAGTTTCTCAGATGTCTTCAACGTACATGTATGTCCAAAATAGAGAACCGCTTACAGACATTTTTATCACATATTACAACCAAAGATAGCGATTGTACTGGAGTGGAGGTGACATATGACGTATGTATGACAAAGCAGGTCTCTAGGACAACAATGACTAACCACGAGCTGACCCACACTGTGGTCACGTGACAGGACGATTTATTTTAAACCTCTAAAACAGTTTCAAGGGATTTAAAATCATATACTCTATTTTCTTCAGTATTTAGGGTTCGTATAATACTCTGCCACTGGTCAAATTACACTTGAGTTATAGATAAAGTCTTTATCTTTTACTCGCAAAAATGACCCGAAACATGGCCAGTATGTTATAAATCATTCTTTAGTTTAAATTAATTAGCTAAATTAATATTGCGAAGTTTTGTTGATAAAGTTGGAGGTCAAGGTCATGAAATATCACGTGTGTACCTAGTGACCCTAAGCCATCTTGAACACCCAACTATGGACTCCGTGTTGTGGTGGGGAGAGCGTCTGCAAGGAGGGCCGAAGGTCGGTGGTCCGATCCCCATTAGGAGATAAGGTCTGGTCGGACACACACACACACACACACACACACACACGCACCACCGCCAAACCAGTATTTCCCGACCTGTCTGTGTGGCATATGTGCGGACATAAAACAGGAATATTAACAATCATGTTATGAGACTTTCAGATGATCGGGTGACAGTCTCTTATAAATATCAGTGACAGACGTGGTGATGTTGTAATTTGACACAAACATTTCCAAAAAGTAGCATAAAAAGTACAATTTCCATTACCAGTATATACTAGCTGAGATTAAGGGTGAAACGATACACCGATATTCCGATGCATCGCGATACTTGACTCACGATACGATTTACGATAAACGTGGGCCCATTTATCGATACGCCACGATACGGAACGCAAATCTCAAGTACAGCGTTTCCTCGCTATTGTGCCTTTCAATGAACCGCTAACTTGGTTATAGCGCGCGGTAACGCATGGCTCCCAAAAACGTACTTACATTTTTAATAAGCTCAGGTTTTACACCGACAGATGTTTTTCCCCATGTCAAAAAACATTATCAGCTGATCACATCAGGCACGCAAGCACATAACACCGAAAATACCTGTCAGCAAATCCGAACTGAAGTACGCAATTCAATACCATTATTATACTTTCCTGTTATTAAAACGTGTTCATTGTATATCTGGTCTTGTGTTTGTAATATATTTTAATTATTTTATTCAAAATTTCATTTAATATTGTTTTCATTAAGTTATGTGAAATCGTGTGTGAAGAGATACAGCAACCACGGTCAGATTACCGCTTTTGACGCATTGAAACGAACTTTAGTTGCTAGAGAATGGATACATATATTAAAAATGCCATACTTTGACTCGATAAAAGTCATATTTGTGGCAATTTGGCTAATATATGTCAACATAACGTTTTCGCAATCGAAATACATGTAGCACGGGAAATCCCAAGGGTGACTGGTCAAATTGTTCCATACGTAAAAATATCCCGCAACAGCAATCACCAGTACCAAAATGCTACAATTGTGGTTCTTATAATTTTAAATATATATATATAGTAAAAGCTGTTCAGTAGTCTTGTTATTATAAAATAATTTTGACTGTTCCAAAATCATGAAAGGTTCAATCTTCACATGTATTAAGTCTCTTTTTTTTGTTGTTGTGCGTATCGAGATACGTATCGTATCGTGACCAGAATATCGAGATGCGTATCGTATCGTGACCTTCCTGTATCGTTGCAGCCCTAGCTGAGATATGATGACATCAGCTAGAGAATAGGTACTGTTCGATTGGAATAACAGTAATTTGGATGAGACATGTGGAGCGTATGTTAGACAACAAATAAAACAAACAAACAAACAAGAAAGAAAGACTAACACGAAACAAAATAGCAACCTGATTTGTTAATAGGTTGACATCCAAAAAGAGATTCTTGTGTCAAGTAAATCCTACTTCCCAGTGATTCCTAGTACTTACTGTATTTTGACTAAACTCATTTTTTATACCCACAAAGGTCGTTCGAGAGAGAATAATAATTTCCTGTGAATCCACAGGAAGTTGATCTTGTTTCATAAAAAAATGTAGATTTTTTTCTTTAAAAAACCCCACACTTTTATTGTTCCCAGAGTTGTAGATTAATACAGTATTCCGTCAAAAACATATTTCGGATTGCACAGAATGACACAATACACTCTTGTAAGATTTAAAGGGTTTGAAACAAACATTGTCATATTTCAAACCAAAGAGGTTGCAACAGAAATTCAGACTAAAAAATAGCATGCATCAACAGAGCGCTAAGAATCAAATGCTGAGAATAAAAGCGACCATGTTTTTGTTACAGTTGTTTTTGTCATCGTTTTTTATTGAAAAACGTTTCTCTATTGAATATATGTTTTTAAGTAGTTTTAAAAGTATATCTTTTTTCGGTTTGGTTCCTTTGATTCCACTTACATGAATATGTCTTTTCCCAATAAAAGTATATGATTGATTAAAGTATTAGAGAAATAAAATATCAATGACTGGTTTGTCTGGTCCAAAATCGATTATTTACAGGCCGTCGTCATACAGCTGGAATAATTATGCGCGAGGTGTTATACAACAATCACACAAACAAAGATCCTCAATACAACGCAATAAACATCACGTGTGGCACATGCCTCGTTGCAAGCGTATTGCCGTTAGCGCCCTGAACATGGGTTTCTTAATATGAAGTATGTGTAATCATACATGTTCTGGGACAGGAAGTTTTACTTTATATGTGGACAATATATGTATACACGCGACGATACAAAAATAAATATAGCAGTGTGCCTCATTTATACATTTATACATTTAGAGTTATACACAACATTTTACATCCCCAGTATTGCATATGTTTCTATTTTTATCATTTTCAGTGATATGAAATATATTCCTGAAATGTTTGTTTGTTTGTTGTTTAACGACGCACTCAGCAATATTCCAGCTATATGCCGGCGGTCTGTAAAAAATCGAGTCTAGACCAGACAATCCAGTGATTGATATCATGAACATAGATCCACGCAATTGGGATCGATGACATGCATCAACTAAGTCAGCGAGCCTGACCACCCGATCCCGTTAGTCGCCTTTTACGACAAGCATGGGTTGCTGAAGACCTATTCTAACCCGTATCTTCACGGGTCTATTCCTGAAATGAAATATTGAGTACGTGCATATACTACCATATATAAACCACAGAATGTGTAGTATAATAGTATGTAGTATATGTAATATATGAATAAGATCATTAATATCATAAAAATTAGTCTTCATGTTGAGCGCTTTACATCGTTGTCAAGCAATCATGAATTCATATACAAAGTCTTAAATTTCATATATCGATCGACGCAAATATAAAAACTAATAAACTGTTTAAATGAAACAAGTAAACACATCCATTGTTTTAAAACAAATCCGTACCCAAAGTCGATCGTTGCCACAAAACCCGTCGTACACCATGTTGTGGCGGTAGTTGAACACTTGTGTGTCAGCTGACCTCAATGGCTGGCCGTAGTTTCCCAGTCTTTGTTAGCTTACTGCGTTGTGCCTTTGTCGTCGTGTTATCCATGCACTTGGAGTCTTTGGTTAAAGCCCACATGTACCTCTGTCAAGGGAAATCCAAGAACTGAACCCATCCTTGTTAAGTAACTGTTAAAAAACTCCAATGTCAGCATTGTCGGTGAAATACGTTCGCCGAACGCTTTTGTCTTATCGCTGGGAAAACCCCTGGTGGCGGTTCTATATTTGGAACAAGCCACGCTACGTCACTCTCGTGCAACAGCCGAGATGTGTGGTGAAATCGACACGTGTTATGGCTAGGCCTCAAACGAACGCTTTCACGATAAACTTTTTGGTTCTTGTCTTATCGTTATTTGTCCGATCTCCTCGACTGTAATGTTAGCACGTACTGTAAAATAATCTAACATTGGAAGGTTGCCGCGGAGTATTATCAAGCTTTTCGCTTTTTTTCCTTGTAACGTGACATGAAACCCGCTGACGGTTCGAGTGCGTTCAGTGCAGATTACCGAACTATTCACGAGTCAGACCTTTCAATTCACATGTGTTCGAATCACCCCGACTTCGAATTTAATTTTCATTATTATTCAAAAATATAATAATTTTTTAAGGATCCTTTGTAACATAACACAATGAATTTTCCACTTTAAAATCTGGTAATTTATTTAATCACTTCATTATTTTGTTTACTTTTCCGTACTTTTTACAACAAATTACAGAGCGATAAAAATTGTTGAAATGTGCAAGTCCTTTTTACATATAATTGCTTGATTTGTGAATCTGTCGACCCAAACATTCACAAATGTGGTATTAAATCAAATATAATTAGAACCGTCTCTTTTTGTCTGACGTGAACTTGAAGGAGGCCAATAAAAACGGATGTAACAATTTGACATTTTGTAAAAGAAGATATATAACTTGTATCTATTTCACTAAATTCTTTTTCGCCCGACTGACACTATTATTTAGGGATCAATTCTAACAAAACATGTTAAAAAGCTATATTGATAGAATAGTGAACGCACGTTTCTGTTGTCTCTGTCTACATGTGCAGTCTGAGTTGTGTTAAATTTAATAAATATATTTTTGATTGCTCTTATATGCACGGGGAACGTGACGCCCGGTCGTGTAATTCCAGCGTCGTAATTCACGTGCCAGACAAAATAGATCCCACGTTCTTCTTGATTGTGATTTCTGGCTGTGATCACGCCATATCCATGCTCTCGGCATCACTACTGCCTTTCCTCCCACAATGCAACTGATAAAACAACAATATGGCTCAAAGCGCCGATAAACAAAAACAATTTTGCGTTAGTGCCTCGAAGTGACACATGTTTGTATATATCTTGTTAAAAAACATTATTAACTGAAACGTCACGCTAGGTATACATATTGTTAAACATCATAATTTAAAAACAACAAGCACATGTTATAAATATATATATGATAATATATGAGTGCATATTGTTGTATGTTTAACAAGTATTGTAGTATTTTGAATATCGTTTTTTATATTGGTAGCGATTGGTAGACTGGCCCTAATATTAGGTTCGTGATATCATTAAAAGGACATTTTGTAAAGACAACAAATCAACAAGCACTAACACCTTGACAAGATGATGAAACAGACATATCCTGCTATCATGAAAATGACAGGTTCAATGTTTCTCAAAATATCATGACGAAATATTTTGCAATCGATACAGACAAAAATCTGATATGAAACTGTATGAAATATTTCAATTTTGGGTCGGTAATAAACAAATAAATCCCACAATTTGAATAATGAGTCTTATATTCATTATACACATTTCTCAATACATTTAATTGTCAAAACAATGGATGAACTCACACAAGATGTCAAACTAACTCGTTGTTTTCAAGCAATTGAGATTGAGTAAATGAGTGCTGAACAATTTCGAAGGTAATTGTAGCGCTACATGACTGTACATGTATATTCGTTACGTGTAGTAATTATAAAAGCGTAAAATACCTAAAGTTAATCAGTATGAACAATTTCGAAGGTAATTGTAGCGCTACATGACTGTACATGTATATTCGTTACGTGTAGTAATTATAAAAGCGTAAAATACCTAAAGTTAATCAGTGTGGGGCTGGGTGGTGTCTCTGCGAGATGTAGTGACGATATTCCTCACAAGGATGTTATACATGGAGTATTGAACACAACAGAACAAAGCTGCTATAACGACTCACCGACGTGAAAACAACAGAACAGAGTTGCTACAGCGACTCACCAGCGTGAACACAACAGAACAACGCTGCTACAGCGACTCACCGACATGAACACAACAGATCAAAGCTGCTACAGCGACTCACCGACGTGAACACAACAGAACAAAGCTGCTACAGCGACTCACCGACATGAACACAACAGAACAAAGCTGCTACAGCGACTCACCGACATGAACAATAACAGAACAAAGCTGTTACAGCGACTCACCGATATGAACACAACAGAACAAAGCTGCTACAGCGACTCACCGACATGAACACAACAGAACAAAGCTGCTACAGCGACTCACCGACGTGAACACAACAGAACAAAGCTGTTACAGCGACTCACCGACATGAACACAACAGAACAAAGCTGCTACAGCGACTCACCGACATGAACACAACAGAACAAAGCTGTTACAGCGACTCACCGACATGAACACAACAGAACAAAGCTGTTACAGCGACTCACCGACATGAACACAACAGAACAACGCTGCTACAGCGACTCACCGACATGAACACAACAGAACAAAGCTGCTACAGCGACTCACCGACATGAACACAACAGAACAAAACTGCTATAGCGACTCACCGACATGAACACAACAGAACAACGCTGCTACAGCGACTCACCGACATGAACACTACAGAACAAAGTTGCTACAGCGACTCACCGACATGAACACAACAGAACAAAGCTGCTACAGCGACTCACCGACGTGAACACAACAGAACAAAGCTGCTACAACGAATCACCGACGTGAACACAACGAAACAAATCCCCTGCAATGACTCACCAACGTGAACACAACAGAACAAAGCTGCTACAGCGACTCACCAACGTGAACTCAACAGAACAACGCTGCTGCAGCGACTCACCGACATGAACACACCGGAAAAACGCTGCTACAACGTTGTTAGAACGCCCTAAGGACGTGAACACAACGACAGATCAAAATGCTACTGTGATAAACAGTCAAGCCAGTAAAACAGAGTGGGTATATTGCAACGTGATCGCAACTGTCTGGGAAAGGGAAGCAGCCAGTCGTGGAAGTTGTCTGACGTCATCCACGCTTTCGTGTTTTATAAGGAGCGGGCCTCCAAAGTCACGTTTTCGTCTGGATATACCGATTACGAAGAGCTTATAACTTGATTGAACCATCGGCATTTGCACATGCAATATTCCCCCAACGTATCTAACAGGCGGCCATTGACAGCAGAACAATATAGAGACGTGGCAAAGGTCGGATGTTTACTTGCGGTGTGTTCTCGTCTCCATGTTCAGTATTCTTTGCTTACATGTTCTGTAAGGCTCCCGGCCGAGCTATCAATTCTAATTAATGACACAAAAAAACTAAAAAGGAATGTAGTCTATTTTAAGTTTAATATAAAACAAAAAAAGGGCAAAACCTTTATAGGAAATCCCTACATATTTTTCGCCCTTTTCTGTCTTGAACTTCATATTACATCCACCCTTCTAACCCAACTCCCGTCATAAAATATCCCCAAACAAAACCTATTCAAGTCCTTCACCCACAACTAGTACTGATCTCAAAATTATCCCAGAAAACTAGAAGTCAATGACAATGAAAGGTGTTGACGCAAGATACGGGAGTCGACTCAACTCGACTGCTGGATGAAGGACGTCAGATGATTCCCTGATGAGGATGGTTTGGAGATTTTACGTGCGCTTTCTACCATTATGCGTATTTCGCACACGGGCCCGCAAGGCTATTTAGAGTGGTTCGTCAAAGATATAAGGAGGTTTGTTCGAAATAAGAAGCAACCTGAGAGGGCGTTACGGTTGTTTATTTATATTTTGAAGAATTTAGAATTTAGAATTTTGCCGGAGGTGGAGGGGCGAAGGGAGATCTGAGGTGGTGTGATATGTTTTTTAAATTTTGTTTTATAGATTGGTGGTGGTGGTGGTGGTGGTGTGTGTGTGTGTGTGTGTGTGTGTGTGAGTGTGTGTGTGTGCCCTTCTTAGCGGATGTTTGTAATGTTAGGTGTGTTTTGATGAGAGAGAAAGAGAGAGAGAGAGAGAGAGAGAGAGAGAGAGAGAGTGAGATTGGGATTTTATGTGCGTTTTCCGACATAATGCGTATTTCGTACACGGTGACGATTCCCTTCCCAGGGTTGGCTGACACACGGACCATGTGACTAGGAGTACGCGGACACAACCAATGAACACGCTCCTTACATCTCGGCCCTCTCAAACATGGCTGCCGTCTAGCCGAGCATTCACGGGGCGTCTTCCCAGTCACTACGGCCGCCTGGACAAATGCTTCCACAATACACGACTTAATAGTAGGTACGACGTCAGCCGCCCATACACATTCCCTTAAATTAACCCACCCACTACGTTTCTAGTTGTATAAATTTACCCCAAAATCTCGAGTCGACCACACACATAAAGCGACATTAAAACTCATCTGTGACGCCATTCTATTGTTCGAACGCTCCATTACTTTTCAGTAATGGAGAGTTGTTTGTCAACTGTACATTATCTTGAACCAACCTCTGAATTAATTTCCACTTGGAATAGACGGTACTATTTTTTACATTTATTTACAAGTAAATAATTTCAATTTCTTTTCGAAATCGTGTCGCCAGCGGGGTTCGAAACTGCATCGTTGATTTGGAACGTGTCATCGTCAACCTCAGCTGCTGCGGCACATGAAGGAATCGTGTGAAAATAACTATTGAATATTTTCATAATTTTGCATAATGCTTAAAAGCTCAAAATAATATGAAAAAATATTGTCTTAGAGCAGGTTACCTACAACAATGTTCATATTTACAGCCATTAGATAAAACTTGGACGAGAAATACAAATTAGGTAATATATATATCCTTGTTCGGGGCTCTATATTTCCTATTATTCCCGTCAGCATGTATTGACAATATGCAAGCGATTGATAAATACTAGTTTAGGGCCCAACTAAATTATGAAGAGCCATGTACCTTGAATTGTAAATGTCAGCTCGCGACGGAACTTGGCGCACGTGCAACAGCGGCAGAGAACGCATTCCTCGTGCATCACGCAAGGGCGACT